GCCAAGCGTCACTTAGACGGGCGAAGTAGCGAGACTCTGTGTGACCAGGCGTCCCGCAAGGCTGACCAGTCCGGACACCCGTGCTAATGACGTACCGGCAGCGAGCAGTACTCAGCGACCCTCTACTATGAGCGTACCAATCACGAAGCTGTTGGGGCAAACGAGTCTCGCGCGGACGACCTTGCTGCTGCACCAGGCCACTACAAAAAGCTCCCAAACTACCCACTCCGGGACGACTCCCACTACTGCCACCACGACAACCCCAACTGGCGTACCACTCACGAAGCTGCTGGGGCGTGAGAGACATACGCAGACGGCCCTGGTGCTGCATCTTGACACGCCAGGAGCGGCATTAGAAGCAGTAGCAGCAGGAGCAGCAGTAGCAGTAGCATCAACAATAGCAGTAGTAGCAGCAGTAGTGGCGGTAGCAGCACGGGCAGGGCAATGCTCACCAGTGGTGGGAAGGGCAGGCGCACGACGGAGGCGACTGCGGGGCCACTACAGCGGCAGGGCGGGGCCGCAACCGCGGCAGGGAGCTCCGCAGCAGCTGCTGCAGGGCGGGGCGATGACTGCGGCTAAGGGCTCCGCGGCAGTTGCTGCAGGGCAGGACCGGGCCGCGACGGCAGCTGGTGCAGGGCAGGGACAGGGCCACGACTGCCGCTGCTGCAGGGTGGGGCGGGGCCGCGACGGCAACTGCTGCAGGGCGGGGCAGTCCGCGACGGCAACTGTTGTAGGGTGGGGCAGGGCCGCGAAGGCAGCTGCTGCAGGGCTAGGCAGGGGTGGCCGTCAAAAGGGCGGGCGCGAGGTAGGGCAGGGCGACGCGGCGGGCAGGGGCGACGCCGCGCGGGCCCCGCAGGGGCGTGGCGACGAGCGGGGGGCGACGCCCGGGTCCCGCTGGGGCGGCGCGACGCGCAGGAGCTGCGCCTCGCGGGTCCCGCAGGGGCGTCGCGAAGAGGCGGGGGCGGCGCGCGGGTCCCGCATGGGCGTCGCGACGAGGCGGGGGGGGTGGGGGGGGGGGGGGGGGGGGGGGGGGGGCGCGGGTCCCGGCGGGCTGCAGCCGTCGGCGTGCGGCAGCCGCGGCGCGTGGGTTACGGTCTGCGTGCGAGCGTTGGCCTACGGGCGGCGGCGTCCTACGGGCGGCGTACGGGCGGCCTACGGGCTGCGTAAGGGCAGCCTACATGCGGCGTACGGGCGGCCTACAGGCGGCGGCGGCCTAGGGGCGATGGCGGGCGACGAGCAGCCTACGGGGGGCGGCCTACGTGCAGGCAGGTCGCGAGCGGCTCGAGGGGCCGCGCGAGGCCGATACGAATTGCGTGGGCGGCTAGCAGGCTGCGCGCGGGTGTCGATCAGGCGGTGCGCTGGTGGCTAGCGGGCCACGCGCGCACGGGCAGAGGACGGCGCGCGGGCAGAACGAAGGGCGGGGCGCGCGAGGGCGCACTGGCAGAAAAAGGCGCACGAGGGCGCACGAGCAGAGAAAGGCGCACGAGGGCGCACGTAAGGTAGGGCGCACGAGGGCGCTTCTGGCGGAATAGTGGGCCCGTAGTAGTAAGCGGTCCTAGGTGGCTAACCTAGGCTCGTGATACCATGTCAGAATCAACAAGAGTGATTGAACTAGGAAAGAGTTGGGTACAAGTAGGAAACCCTAAACTTAGTGTACCCCATAGTAACTACCCCACTACGGCCTAAACAAACTGTAGCAGATATGACATTTGACAGTGTCTGCAACTTCAGCCGTCGCTTCTCAACTTCTCGCCCCCACAGTTTCTCCTCCTCCCTTGCCCTCTGTAATAGCCTCTAGTTTTGCTTATCATTGTGAACTATTGCTCTGCCTGCTTGTTGTGCTTATTATACCCCACTTTGACTATGGGGGTGTGTCAGAATGTGATATTTGTCTATTCTGCAGTGGGGTACTCTGTAGCGAGTATAGCCCAAATTAGGGTTTCCTATATGTACTCAACTGCCTGCTAGTGCAACCCCTCTATCTTGTTTCTCATTCCTACTAGTTGTTTCTGACACCCCCATCGTCTGTTTCTGCTCTTGTCCTTGCTATCGCTGACTTTACCGTCACCCGCTGCCTTGACTATGCCACCCGCTTGACGGCTACTCCTCATAATATCCACCTGAGTTCGTCGTTGGCTATGACGCCTTGGAAGACAACAGTTTGAGCTGGAGTTCTTTGCAGCCCCTTCTCCCCATCGCTGTGCCATATTGTTAGAGGGTGCGCGCGAGACTGTCTGCGCGCGGGCTACTAATGCGCCTGAACTGCTGCTTACGTGCGCTATTACACGTTAAGGGGGGGGCGGAACAGGAGGCTAACTAGCTGGTGAATGAGTTAGGGAGGGAGGTAGAGGCTATACTACGCTACGAATGTTACTGCTCTATATATACCGTTATAGAATGCAAGCGGAATGTTGTGGCTAGGAGAAAGTGAGATACAAGTAAGATGTCGAGAAATGCGTTGTACTTTCTAAGATATATCCCACTGTAGCATAGCAAAACTAACACAATATAAGAATACTTTGACACGAAGGACTAAGTTTGCCAAAAGGTTAGCCTGATAAGGGGCCGTAGGAACACGCCATTGTAGTGAAACCCATCGTCTCTTCCTCAAACTTTGCTTTAGCCCCCCCCCCCCCCCCCCCCCCCCCCCCTCCCAGATGAACCCTATTCATATATAAACTCATACTGCCACGGTTTATACAAGAAAGGTGTCATTCAGTAAGGAACATAAGTTTTCTTACACACACAATCAAAGTGATGAAATACATTTTATGTGATGATACTGCTCCTGCCATTGAATGAATTTGTGTTTGAGACAGGGCCGCCCCACCCACACATGCCAGATCTCCAAGGTGTGCTGGATATGCTAGTGGCTGGCAATCCGAAGGAGATCCATCCATTGGAGACGCTGCTGGCAGCGTTGGGCGACGTGTTCTTTCATGTTTTTCACTGCGGGCAGCGAGAATGACCAGCAGAGAGTATGTCTTCCAAGGGACTGTAGGCACCTGATTGCGCTGCATTGATTCGCTTGCACCCCTGCTTGAGGAGACAAACCCTTGAGCTGACTCGACGAAATCAAGGACTCGAATCCCAAGAGAGACGAGGAAGGAATCCCGCTAGCCGGCAACAATAGGGATTCCATTGGACGTTCAACCAATCCTTGAGCAAAAAACGCAGACCTTATCCTCGAACTTGACAGCATTTCGTTTAGTTTCGAAGCAAGGCAAAACCCAGGATTGTTGGTTGACAGAATCAGTCAAAGCGTGCATCTCTCGGCTATCGTAATTCCTGGGCGTATACCGGCCCTCACACAAAGATTCCAAGGAGACGCAGCACAGTGCTGCCCGTTCAGCACAATCCTGCCCGAAACGCCGTACTGTACCTTTACGCAAGGTTTCCCGCTCAGCCCCACGAACAGAATCTCCATTTTTTCTCTCTCAGGTGGAATGCTCGGATCTGGAAAATCTATGGCTGGAAAGATCTGTGGGCTCATCATCTGCTTCCACCAACCTCGACTCACTCCTTCCTTCTTGAATCACCCAGTCTTGACTTTTTGAACCATTTCTGTGGTGATTAGGCTGTTCTCTGTGGTGGTTTGATGTGGAGGTTAGACTTGAAACTTGTAGTAGCCAACGTAGTTACGTAGCTGCTTTAAGCTGTCTGTTTAAGATTTAAACATGACGGCTCGGAACGATGACGGTGACGGGCTATCCCTCGGGCTCTCCACGAGGAACGACACTTGGCGAAACTGTGTCGATTGGGAAGCCACGTTGCCGACTAAGGAGGAGCTTGTTCCTCTTAATCAACGCCTTATTACTCCTATGCTCGCCGCGGCGTTCAGTATTAAGGAGTCAATGTACAACGTTACAGAGCAAGATGTCGAGCGTGCTGCGCAGGTCAATTTTTCTTTGCCTAGTTTCGAGTCGACTAAGATATATTTTCTCGCCTAACCTCGACTCTTTGCTCTGCCGTTATTTTTCGCTGGAAGTTCAATTCTCGCGAGAATGCCGTTATTGGATTTGAAAATTAATTTTGTAATTTAGAGATTCGTTGTATATTCAGACTAGGTATTATGTATCTCGATTCGTCGGATATTCAGACCATGCTTCTCGTTGTCCTCGCTCGCCTTTTGTTCCATTCACACTTACATTTTTTTCAAGTGTGTTTCATTAATCGCTTGCTGTTCTTTATCCTTTCTTTATTCTTTTGTATGCAGGCCACGTTGAACAACATATTGCAACATCCGAGATTAACCACACGACCGGAAATCGTTCCTCCCAGCTTGAATCACCCTCAGTTTCAGTCTCTTCACACGGGAGCCTCCCGCGCCGCCGCTCCGTCCAATCACCCTCCTCCTGCAGACGCGTCTCCTTTCGCCAACGTTCCTTCGCGACCGTCGCACGACCAGGAGCCCATCGAACGCGGGCAGGATGAGCGGAGCGGGCGGGATTTTAACCCCGCTGACCGTTTCGTTGATGATGACCGCGCGCCACAGGGCGACCGCGCACCTGCGCACGAGCGCGCTCGTGCAGAACAGGAGTGGACAGAGCAGCAACGCGAGCACTTGCACGGGAGGCAGCAGCAGAGGGAGCAGCAACGGGAGCAGGGTTACCAGAGACAAGAGTTTGAGAGAGAGCAGCAGCAACAGGAGAGGCAGCAGCGGCTGCAGCAGCCGCAACGTGAGCAGCAGGAACAGCGCGAACACTTTTCTGCGTCAACTGGAGCGGAAGCGACGCGTGGGGAAGGGAACAAGCGCGCGGCCGCTGCGCTGTTCCCCGGCTATCAGGGGACTCCCCGCGACGGGGAGCCTAGGCGCGGGGATTTTGACGGACGGAGGTTTTATAACGAAGCGGATCACAAGCTTTCCAACGAGGATGGACGCAAGCCTTCAAACGAAGACTATCCGTTGGCGTCTGGACAGGATAGGTCTCAAGCGCGGTTGCCACACCACGACGGCCGGCTCGGCACTAGCAATTCTAATCCGCAGCCATCGATTCCCAATGATCCCGACCGTTCGAACGCCCGATTTGGCCCAGGCGGACTTCGAGGCGCTACTGCTGACGTGGACGCCAGGTTCGGAGGGTGGAGACATGAAAGGGTTGGCTCGGAAGCAGGTTCGGATGGAGGCTCGGGTGGTGATGGACGGGGGGGAGAAGGGTTGAGACGCACTGGTGGCGGGATTGATAATGCGCAAAAGGGTCGGAATGGGGGGTTCAATAACGTAGGAGGAGATAGTGGGGGAAATAACCCTAGAAATTTGGCAGCTTCTGGAAGGCGCGTGTCGGAAAATGGACCGGAATTTTTGGAAGATGGAGGGCATGGTCGTAGGGAGGAGAGTGAGGAAGTGAGGGAGAGGGGGAGAGAGAGGGGGTGGGAGCGAGAGAGGAAGAGGGAAAGCCAAAGGGAGCGGCAGAGAGTAAGCGAGGAGGAAGACGACGAAGAGAGGGAGAGGGATTGGCAGCGAGAGAGGGGTGGAGAGAGGTTAAGAGAGGTGGAAGGGCGGCAGCAGCAGCAGAGGGAAGGGGGAGAGGGAAGTCAGAGGGACGGGAGAGGGATGAGCAGGGGAGGTGTGAGCGATAGCGTGGGGAACGGGAAGGGTTTGAGTATGGACGATGGGGAGGGGAGGAATGGGAGCCTGAGAAGCGGTAATGCCAAGGAGAGGATTCAGGAGCAACGGCAGCAGGAGGAGCAGCAGGAGGGTGGGGGGAAGAGGGCGAGGAAAGGGAAGGACTCTTCGCCTGAGCCAGACGAAGATTCAGGTGTGTGGGACGGATAGCGAATGCATCATCCGCATCCATCCGCACCGTTCTGCTCCCTTCCGCACGCATCCAAAACCATGTAACTGACATGCGGCCATTTATTCTGACACGTGTCAATAACCCATACGCATCCGTCCATGAATGATGCAATCGTGATACAGGCAATCAAGAGGGCAACAGCAGCGACGGGCAGCCACGCACTCTTAAGCGCCCCCGCCTCGTCTGGACCCCACAGGTACGTTCAAGAGTTAAGCAGGTAAAAAAGGTAACCCCCCCCTCTCTCAAATGCCTCTCATTCTGAACCCCCCTCGCCTCGTCTGGACCCCACAGGTACGTTCAAGAGTTAAGCAGGTAGAAAAGGTAACCCCCCCTCTCTCAAATGCCTCTCATTCTGAACCCCCCTCGCCTCGTCTGGACCCCACAGGTACGTTCAAAGTTAAGCAGGTAGAGTAGACACTCCCCTCCCTCCTCCCCCCCCTCCCTCTCATTCTCAAGCGACCTCGTTTCGTCTGGACCCCACAGGTACGTTCAAGAGTTTGGCAGGTAGAGTAGATTACCCCCCCCCCCCCCCCCCCCCCTTCCTCCTCTCCCCTCTTCATCTCCCTCACACTCTTAGGCGCCCCCGCCTCGTCTGGACCCCACGGGTACAGTAAACCATCTCCTGTCCCGTCCTCCCTCCCTCCCTTCCATGTGCTTTTACCATCCCCTCCCCAGCTGCACAAGCGGTTTGTGGACGCGGTGTCGCATCTGGGCATCAAGAACGCCGTTCCCAAAACCATCATGCAGCTTATGAACGTGGAGGGATTGACAAGGTGGGTGACGTGTGGTTGTGGAATGTGGAGTGTGTGTTTGGGTATGGGTGTGTGAGAGTGCAGGTGCGGGCGGGTGCGGGTGCGGGTGCGGGTGCGGGTGCGGGTGCGGGTGCGGGCGCGGGCGGGCGCGGGCGCGGGCGCGGGCGCGGGCGCGGGGGCGGGGGCGGGGGCGGGGGCGGGGGTGCGGGTGGTAGAGCATAAAAGGTTCTTAATGTGAAAAACTTAATATTTGCACTAAAGACTTGTACTTCCAACTCTTGTGGACATTCTCACTTACTTCAACATTCGTTTGCTCTTTGAACTCTCTATCCCTCTTTTTCCCTCACCTCCGTCCCCATCAACACCTCCCCTCCCTCCCTTCCCTCCTCCCCTCACCCCCCTCTCCCGCCGGCTGGTACTCATGCAGGGAGAATGTGGCTTCACATTTGCAGAAGTACCGGCTCTACCTTAAGCGGATGCAGGTGAGATGGAGAGAGGTGGAGAGAGATGGAATGAGATGGAGAGAGATTGAGAGAGATGGAGAGAGATGGAGTGAGATGGAGTGAGATGGAGTGAGATGGAGCTAAGATGGAGGTGAGATGGATGGAAGCCAGAGTTAGTAGATATGTGGACTCCACCCCAAGCAAGTGCAGGCATGATAGATTCTCCACTCTCATCTCTCCCTCCACTCTTCTTTTCTGCTCTCATTTTCTCCCTTCACAGGGCCATTCTGGGGACGACCCATCAGGAGGGGACCCGCTCTTCTCCTCCACGCCTCTCCCCACCAGCCTCAACAGCCCGCCCCAGCCCTTCTTCCCCCCATCCGCGCCTCCTCCCCCCACCGCTCCTCCCCCTCTCAACCCCCTCGCGGCCGCTGCTGCCGCCGCCGCAGCAGCAGGGGGAAACCCTATGGGGAACCTCAGGGGAGCTCTATCCGCGTTAGGAGCAGCAGGCCTGTCCTCCCTCCCTCCTTCACTCCACCCAGACGACCCTCTCCTCTCCTCCCCTCACTTCTCCGCGGCTGCTGCTGCTGCCGCCGCCGCCGCCGCTGCTGCAGCAGCCGGAGGAGGGTCAAACCCCCTGCTCTCTTCCCAGCTAGCTGCGTCTCTTTCGAATTCCCAGCAGCAGCAGCAACAGCAGCAGCAGCAGCAGGCGGCAGCGGCGCAATACCTTGCCGCTGCTCATAACCCTGTAGGGAATCCTCTTGGTGCTGCTGCTGCGGCTGCGGCTGCTGCAGCAGACCCGATTTTGGGACGGGCGCTGAGTGCGTATGCGGCCGCTGCTGCGTTTTACGACCTTCAGAACAGTCACGGGCAGAATAATCTTGGGCAGAATAGTCACGTTGGGGCAGGGTTGGGGGGAGGCGCTGGTGGGGGGATGCATGGGGGGGGAGGGCTTGGGGGAATGCACGCTGGGGGACTGGGGGGCGGACATGGGGGGGGATTAAGTGGAGGACATGTGGGGGGGATGGGAGGAGGGTCGAACCAGCCACCAGGAGCAGCAGCAGCAGCCGCGGCGGCGGCAGCAGCAGCGGCTGCGGCAGCAGCACAGCAGCAAAGGTCACCTTCCCTCCCTTTTGCCCCGTCCCAATTCAATTCCTTGCTGTCTGCAGCTTCAGGGGGAATGGGTAGCTTAGGGCCGGGGGGAGCGGGACCAGGGGGGATGGCCGGTCTGGGGGCTGGGGGAGCGGGACCAGGGGGAATGGGGAGCATGGTGGGTGGGGGGACTGGGCCTGGGGGGATGGGGAATCTCGGAATGTCAGCAGGAGGGTTGGGGAATGCTGGTAGTGGGAGTAGATTCGGGGTTATGAGTCACGCCAGAGATATTTTCGGGCGGGATTTCCCAGGTGGTGGCTTGGGGGGAGCAATGGGAGGGGATATGGGAGGTGCGGCAGCAGCAATGGCGGCAGCTGCGGCGGCCGCTGCTGCTGCGGCGGCGGCAGGTTCGGCAGGAGGAGGAGGGGGAGGAGGGGTGGCAGCAGGAAGGGGACCGTCACCGGCTCGACAGGTGCTGAGCCTCTTTCCAGAGCAGCAGTGAGGGAGGAATGGTTGACTATTGTAGCAACTCGGGAAGGAGGGGCGAAAGGGGGGGGGGGAGGGAAGGAGGGGCGGCAGGAGAAGGGCACTGTTGCCGGCACAGCAGGTGCTGATTCTTTTTCCAGAGCAGCAGTGAGGGAGGAGAGGCGGAGGTCGTTTCTTTTTCAGAGCAGCAGTGTGAAAGAAGAGTGCTGGATATTTTTCTTCGTGGAGCAGCAGTGAGAAAGGAACTACGGAGGGACTTTTGCAGGAGCAGCAGCAAGGGAGGAATGGCGGGTTTTCTGCAGGATTAGCAGCAAGTAAAGAATGGCGGAGGGTATTTGCAGTATCAGCAGCACGTGACTAATGGTGGAGAGATTTTACAGGATCTGCAGTGAGGGGGGAAATGCTGGAAGGATTCTGCAGGAGCATCAGTTGCGGGGAATGCTGAAGGCTTTTTGCAGGGGCAACTGTAGGAGGGGGGAACGAATGCTTGAAAGTTATTGCAGGAGTAACAGTGGAGGGGAATGCTGAAGGCTTTTCACAGGAGCAGCAGTGAGGGGAAGAATGTTAGGGGGTAGATGGGCAGCTGTGCTACAGCAGGCAGCAGGTCGTATTGGGGAACATGGTCTGTAATGCTCCTGCTGAGCTTGTTAGGCAGAAGCAGCAAGGGTTCAGGCTTTTGGACAAAAAACGGGCCTACTGCTGCCTGCGGCTGCAGCAGCAGGGGGGTAGAATATAGTGTTTGGCAAGGTTGGAAGTGTGAGGAATTTTCCTTCACCGTTTGCCAGGGTTTAGGATATGATGCTGATACGTGAGACTGCATGTTACTTCTGCCTTCTGGGTTTCTGATGTTGGGCTGTTGCTCTGCCTTAAGTGTAGTATATATAAGATATTAGGCTGGGTGTGAAGCTTGTCCAAGGATATCTGTTGACATAACGGTACAAAGGATAGAGCAAAGCAGGTACCGTTACGAATCCTGGTGTAAATTAAAAAAGATCAGGTGATTATCTTGTTCAGAATAAACTAGGACTACCCAGGAATCATTCACAATCACATTAGTTAAGTACTGTTCAGGGGACATTCACATTAGTAAAATATTCTAATGTTTGTTCAGTGGACATTCACATTTGAAGTATCCCTAACGATACAGACTACAGGAAAATGGCACCTGCAAGACAAAAAACGACGTTTCCATTGCAGGCTTAGGTATGACCAAGAGGGAAAGAAATGATAAAAAATGACAGCAATATATAAGCTGGCCTCAGACATTGTCAGGTGAGACTGTATTTGGCATCACAGCATGCACAAGGCATGTCAGGATAGCGACGTTTATTCTCATCACTGGCCAGCTACGAGTGTCATATGGAAGCATGATACAACAACGATTCCATAAGCAAGACCAATTCGTACCAGAATAGAAGAACGCTCCCGAGGGGCGAAGGTTGCAGGTACAGGGATCAATCAGCAGATTCTGTTTCCGACTTCTGCAATTCCAACTTGGCCAGCATCACGGGACCTGGATCACAGATGAGAAAACATCGAAGGTCGTTAGTATTAGAAACCAAAGACAGGATTAGAACCGTGAGGACCTGGCCGATGAAATGAAAATTGTTGGTAGCCCGTTCGAGATTACTGCAAACTGATATCATTGCGCAATCCCGGAGTAGGGCTGTCTGCTTGATAATCCTCCATTCTAAATCGTTCCATGCGACAAGATCGCACATGTCGTTCTGCTGAACGGAGGGGTAAGCCTAATGCAATAAACGAAACGAAAGAAAAAAAATTGCGATCGCTTATTCGTGCGGCTCAGATCAAGAGATTCAACCGTTTTGTCCAATCGTCACAGTTCCCTCGAAAGGGATCGGCAGCGCGGATAAGGTCACATCATAGCCGACACACCAGACATGTGTAAAGGACGACGCGAAAACTCAACGAAACAAACACGATGAGGATCAAGAGAGAAAGAGAGAGAAAATGTGGCTTGAATGCTCAGGGACAGAGGAAGGTTAAATAACATCAACGATGATCAGCAACCTAAATTATGTGCATCACTGCACAGCAAGCCACAAAAAGATCACCGAAGAAGATTGCAGATGAATTAAACAGCAGACACAGCTGATGTACCACCACGACACGGACTTGGAAAGAGAATGTGGAATGTGCAAGAGAGCTCAGGGAATTTAACCAGCGGACATCAAAAGAATTCAGAAGCAGAACTGGCGTTTAAACTGGTTTGAAAATCATCAACGCTCCCAGACATTGCGAAAAGGGAAAATGAATTTCTTATCTCAAAAGGGACCTCAGTAAAAGCCGCTGTTTCTCTTCAGAAGTAGCAAGCTACTGATGTCAGACGGTAATTCCATAGCGATCATCAACGGCCCCGGTAATCGAAAAACAAAAAGAACATAATGAAGGGCGTTACCAAATAGCCCTTACAAAGTAATGTCCGAAGAAAGGGGTAGTACGAGCGGTGCAGATCGATAACCAGAGAAGGGAGTATTGTGGCTACTCACATTAATGTCACCTGGTCCGGCATGGTAAAAGCTCCCCGTCATTTGCATTGCAAGAGCCAGTCGATCTGGAATACATGACGTCGCGCATTTCACGCCCAGCAGCTGGAGATATCTTCGCACAAGTCTTCTCTTGAGGACCCGTTTTCAGTCGCCAGAACATACGGATGAGGGAAGATGTCGCTGATGGCAACCCATCGCTTCAAGTCCTGGTGCGGAGACCGCAACCATATGGAGCAAGCACGCTGAGGGAACTTGGAGTAAGGATAACCCGAAATGAGATTATGAAGGTGAAAGGTGGAGGGGTTGGGGAAATGAGAGAGGAGGGTGGTGAGTGCACTGGGGGGACGAAGTGGGGTTTTGGGTGCGGCTGGATGGGAGAGATTCCTGTAATCCTCGTTACAGGCACCGCAATTGCAGACCTGCTTCCCCGGTGTTACCGGACATAGAGTTGCGAATATACAGTACTCGAAATTGGGTGAATTTGTGTTATTCTTAAATTCCTCAGAGTGATTGAATTTGGATACTCTCCCGAACCCTTGAATATACATCTGTGATAATGCATCTGCCGGTATTCCCCATAAATATTGTGCGTTCATTGGGGTGATCATTTCGACAAAAGAATGCACATGCGCTATCCTTTTCGTGGTACAACTTCATGGTATAGCATTGCATGGAGAAATTAAAGTGTACACTCAATACTTGCCTAACATCTACCCATTTCTCTTTCACCTACCCCTTGGCTTAGGCACCAAGGGCGAAGGGGACGCAGGAGCATTAGGCTTCACAGACTTAGGAGGGGCATACCCACCTTTCCCAGCTCCCATAGCATTTCTATTTTCCCCGCTCGAGCCATTAGGGGTTGCTGTGCTTGTAGCGGATGCGTTACTAGTGAGCACGGGCTCCCTGCCCTCCTCTAGAAGCACTGCCTTGTGACTCAATCGCAGCTGGCCTCTTGCATTGATCTGGATTGGTGGATGGGGGAGAAAGGGGGAGGGAGAAAAGTAGGGAAGGCATGGTGGGTGGGTGGGCATGTGCAAGACTAGTGATCATGATAGAGTGAGCAATTGACGAAGAAGAGGGAGGGGAGGAAATGGCGAAAAAGACAGAAAGGATTTGCAGAGATGTTGACTTCACCTCAAAATTTTTGACATCGAGAGTATCCCCGACTGCCACAAACTGGTAGAGCAACAAATTTGGACATACCTAAGAATGCCACCCAATGAACACCCCACTGTAGTGAGCATGTCAATAGGGGCACAAACCCACCTCAAGAATTTTGACGTCGAGAGTGTCCCCGACTGCCACAAACTGGTACAGCAGGAGAAGACCGGGGGGAACAGGAAAGGAATTCAGGCGCCTTAATATTCAACGACAGGTGAGACGGAGGACGTTTTACAAGGAAAGAGGAAACAGGCTAGGGGAGAAAAAACAGGGAAATGCGAGGGAGGAAGGTAGGCCATGGCCACAGAAAGATGGCATAATGTCATGTCCAAGGAAGACTGGAAGTGAATGTGAATGGATGTGCAGGGGTGACAAGATGGGGTGGAAATCAAGAGACGTACATCTTCCGGCTTGTTGAGTCGAACGGTGGAGAGCTCACTGACGTGGATGAGGGCCTGGGAGGGGGATGACGAGAGAGGGGGGAAATGGAGAGCGGGAGAGAGAGTGTGGGAGAGAGGCGTGTGCTTATACGTGTTGAGTCACACTGTGGAGAGCTCACTGACGTGGATGAGGGCCTGGGAGGATGGATGGAAGGAATGGGAGGGGGATGGGAGCGAGATGGCGGGAGGAAAGAGAGAACGGGGGAGGAAGGTAGTGGGAGAGGGGAAAGGGGGCAGTAAGGGCAGGAGAGCGAGCAGCCGTGTACCCCCTACTGCTATGCTAATGAGGCAGAGGCACCACAAACACTGCCTGAGAACTGCTCTAAAGCGAGCCTAATTTTGAGTCGAGTCTATTTTTGAGTCGACTCAAGAATAGGCTATTGGACGCACCACAAACATTGTCTGAGAACTGCTCTGAAGTGAGCCAAGTGCTTTCACTAGTGAGCGACAGCACCTGAAAGTGAGAGGAGAGACGTTAGTGTCGCAACAAGCACTACCACCCCACTCCCCTCGCTGCTCACTTCCCCTCTTCTACCCCCCTTCTCTCCCGCTTGCTCACCTCTTTCCCTGGTTTGAGCTCCACAAAAGCCCCGTATGGAACGACAGTCTTCACCACACAGTCACTGCAAGGGGAGGCGGGCGAGGAGAGGGCAGGAGAGCGGGTGCATAATGAGTTGCTTAGAAAGTGAATCACACACTGGGCTGTTTTGAGAATTCTCAAAGGGAACGTGAGAGGAGCAAGATGCAAGATGCAACCGAGACATACTTTGAGAAAGTGACCCCTGTACAAAAAGCCTCCACCGCAAGTGAGAGATGCAAGATGCAAGTGAGATGCACTTTCAATCGCTCACAACGCCCCCTAGTCTGTCGACATCAAATGCAAAGCCCACAAGCACACCCACCACAGGCACCATACACCCACCGGTAGATCTGTCCCACTTCCGGCACCATCGTGAGCCCCTCCACTCGCGCCCCTCACCTCGTGACATACCCATCACCACCAGGGTGTGACGCGCATCCCCTTGCACTCTTTACAGTCACACCCTTATTAGAATCACAGTGGACCCACCGGTAGATCTGCCCCACTTCTGGCACCATCGTGAGCCACTATATGCACGCCCTTCTCAGTCACACGCACCACAGGCACCATACACCCGCCATACACCCACCATACACCCACCCACCATACACCCACCGGTAGATCTGCCCCACTTCCGGCACCATCGTGAGCCCCTCCACTCGCGCCTTCACCCTTGGGACACCCGTGAACTACCCATCACATGCATAGTCACTCACCCATTAGATTCACACCCATTACAGTCACGCCCAATACAGTCACACCCACCGGTAGATCTGCCCCACTTCCGGCACCATTGTGAGCCCCTCTATGCGCGCCCTTGCCAGCTCCAGTGCCGCCTCTGACCGCGCATATATGCGCAGCTGGTGGGGGGGTTGAGGGGGGAGAGAATGTACGGGGGGGTGTGGGGAGTGAACGAGGGGGAGAGGGAGGAGGGGGTGTTTAAGCTGCCCCACTATGCGCGGCCTCGCCAGCTCCAGTGCCGCCTCCGACTGTGCGTATATGCGCAGCTGTGGGGATACAGCGCGGGGATAAAGCGGGGAGCCAAGAGGTGGGTTAAGCGAAAGAAGGGGCACTTGTGTTGAGTCCCTCAATGTGCGCCCTTGCCAGTTCCAGTGCAACCTCTGACCGCACATAAACACGCAGCTGGAGAGAGGGGGGTGGGGTGGGGGTGTGGGGGAAGGTGGGGGGCATGTGGGGGGGAATGAATGGGGAATACTTCCGAGAATTCTCACAAGCACTCCATCGTGAGCCCCTCTATGCGCGGCCTCGCCAGTTCCAGTGCCGCCTCCGACCACGCCTTGCGTAGCCGCTTTAACTAAAGGTGCCGCTGCACGCCTTTCGTTGCTTTATCTGTAGGATAAGGCAATCCGCAGAATAATCAAAATAACACTACTGGGGGGGGGGGGGGGGGGGGGGGGTAACCACGTGCTGGTAACCACGTGCTGGTAACCACATGCTGGCAAGCATGTGCTGGTAACCATGCATTGGTAACCAGAATCACTCAAACCTGTCCCCCATCCTCGATGTTGATTGAGTCGACTCCAGATTCCAGACTCTTCAATGTGACCAATATGCTGGTAATTACATGCTGGGTCACCGATACTGGTAACCATGCATTGGTAACCGGAATCTGGTAACAATGCTTTGATTAACATCAGCGATACGGCCCATACCTGTCCCCCATCCTCGATGTTGATCGAGTCGACTCCAGACTCCTCGATTATACTCTTTATAGTCTTGCCACCACTGCCAATAATGAGATTCACCTTTTCTGGGTCAACCTGCCAGGAGAGCGAGGGGTGGAGCGAGGAGGGGAGAGGAAGGGAATGAGGATGGGAGAGAGGAAGGCAGAGGGAAAAAACAAAAACGGTTTGAAAAGGATGGTCGCATGAGAAGATTAAAGTGGAGAATGAATGAATAAATGGGTGCATCCTGCCATATCGATCTCTACCCACATGCCACTATCCGCGACCCTGCTCATCAACACCCACCTGCATGCCTCCACCGCACCCCACCCCACCCCACCCCACCCCCTTCAATCGCACTGCACCAACCCCACCCAATCCCACAGCACCGCACTGGACTGCGGACCTGGATGGACTCGCATCGGGGGGCATATTGCGAGAGGCGCTTCGACGGGGGAGGATGAGCCTTGGCCATCTCACCTGCACAGACGCACAGTAACATGGGTGCAGGGGTATATGTGCATGAGAACATATGTGCAGGTGAGATGGCGAAGGCTTAACATGGGTGCAATGTGCATGAGAACATATGTGCAGGGGTGCATGGGTGCATAGGTGCATGGGTGCATGGGTGCATAGGTGAATGAATGGGCGCATGGGTGGATGGGTGTAGATGGGCGGGCATGGGCGCATGGGTGCATGGGTGCAATGGTGCATAGGTGAATGAATGGGCGCATGGGTGCATAGCTACTCACCTTTTAGAGCACTCGCCCAGCTTGGCCTGGGCCAGTGTAGCCCAGCTTCAAATAATCAAATCAATTCCGAATGCTCAAACTTTAATGTCCATCTGAAACGCCGCCACTTGAAGGCATGCATCACCTTTGGAAGACCTTGGGCTTGCCACTATCACCTTGCCTGACCCACTCAACCAGTATGTGCAGGCTCCCCTGCTTGGCGAGTTTTGAGTCGACTCAAAACTCGACTTGAAGGCATGCATCACCTTTGGAAGCTCTGTCACCTTGCCTGTCCCACTCAACCAGTACATGCAGCCGCCCTTCCGTGGCCCGTTCTCAATCAACCAGTGTAGCCCAGCTTCAAACAATCACATCAAACTTTAGTGTCCGTCTAAAACGCCCCCACCTTTGGAAGCTCTACCACCTTGCCTGTCCCACTCACCCAGTATGTGCAGGCGCCCTTCCTTGGCACGTTCAAGAGCAGCTCTCATCACATTTATCGTAATCCCTTGCACCTTGATATCCATCTGAAAGGCCGTCACACCCCAGAATGTCTCTCAGTACGTCTCACCTTGACATATGTGTGAGGATCAGGGAGATCCCTTCCTTGCCTGTCCCACTCACCCAGTATGTGCAGGCGCCCTTCCTTGGCACGTTCAAGAGCAGCTCTCATCACATTTATCGTAATCCCTTGCACCTTGATATCCATCTGAAAGGCCGTCACACCCCAGAATGTCTCTCAGTACGTCTCACCTTGACATATGTGTGAGGATCAGGGAGATCCCTTCCTTGCCTGTCCCACTCACCCAGTATGTGCAGGCGCCCTTCCTTGGCACGTTCAAGAGCAGCTCTCATCACATTTATCGTAATCCCTTGCACCTTGATATCCATCTGAAAGGCCGTCACACCCCAGAATGTCTCTCAGTACGTCTCACCTTGACATATGTGTGAGGATCAGGGAGATCCCTTCCTTGCCTGTCCCACTCACCCAGTATGTGCAGACGTCCCTCCTTAGCGCGTGCAAGAGCTGTCCGCATGACGCCGTGACCCCCTTGGCACTGCCCGCCTCCTTTTACCGCACTCACCCAGTATGTGCAGACGTCCCTCCTTAGCGCGTGCAAGAGCCGTCCGCATGACGCCGTGACCCCCTTGGCACTGCCCGCCTCCTTTTACCGCACTCACCCAGTGTGTGCAGCCGCCATTCCTTAGCGCGTGCAAGAGCGGTGTGCATGACATCGATGGTGATCCCTTGAACCTTGATGTCCATCTGGAAGGCTGTGACCCCCTTGGCACTGCCCGCCACCTTGAAGTCCATGTCCCCCAGCGCATCCTCCAAGCCCAGAATGACCGTCAGTACCTCTCACATTGACTTGAAGTCCATGTCTCCCAGCGCATCCTCCGACCCCAGAATGTTTGTGAGAAACACGGGTGTGCCTGGGGAGAGGAGGGTATCCTCCCATCCTAGAAGCAGCCGGCGGCACAGCAAGCACTCACCCAGTATGTGAAGCCGCCCTTCCTTGGCTCGCTGTAAAGCGGTCCGCAATACATCGATGGTGATCCCATGCCATGTCGCCAGCTCATCGTACAACATCCGAAAAGCAGCCAGCCGCACAGCACTTACCCAGTATGTGCAGCCGCCCTTCCTTGGCTCGCTGTAGAGCCGTCCGCATGACATCAATAGTAATCCCCTGAACCTTGATGTCCATCTGGAAGGCGGTCACCCCCTTGGCACTGCCCGCCACTTTAAAGTCCATGTCCCCCAGCGCATCCTCTGACCCCAGGATGTCTGTGAGAATGACCGGGGTGCCGTCCCCTCCTGCCTGCTCCGTGTGCAGAATGAGCCCCATGGCTACTCCAGCTACAGGAGCGCGGAGGGGCACCCCCGCGTCCAGCATAGCAAGGCAACCGCCGCACACAGACGCCATACTGGAGGGGAGACACACGGGTTGAAGGGGAGGGGAGGGGGAAGGGGAAGGTGAAACGGTACCACCTTGAAGTCCATGTCCCCCAGCGCATCCTCCGACCCCAGAATGTCTGTGAGAATGACCGGGGTGCCGTCCCCTCCTGCCTGCTCCGTGTGCAGAATCAAACCCATGGCTACTCCAGCTACAGGAGCGCGGAGGGGCACCCCCGCGTCCAGCATTGCCAGGCAACCACCACACACCGACGCCATGCTGCAAGGGAAACAAGGAAAGGGGGGTGGAAGTCGAGGGAGGGGGGGAAGCGGGGAACGCGCAGGAAAATGGCGACTTGCAAGCTCATCGGCTCAGGCCATACCATAAACTCCAGTGCCTGGTCCATCAACTTTTGAGACGTCTAAAAACAAAACCATCATCTTATCCATGTACCCCAAACCCACCTGGAGGAGCCGTTGCTCTCTGTGATGGTGGACTCCACCCGAACAGTGTAGGGGAGGGAACCCTGCTGCATCCGGCAGTGTCTCCCAAACCTTAAACCCTCCACCTACACCCGCCTTGAGGAGCCGTTGCTCTCTGTGATGGTGGAATCCACCCGCAAGGGGTTTAGCGGAAGCCTGCTGCATCCGGCAGCACCGCCCCCACCAGTAACCCTTGAACCCTGAACCTGAATACATAAACCCTGTGCCCTCCACCTACACCCACCTGGAGGAGCCGTTGCTCTCTGTGATGGTGGAATCCACCCGCAAGGGGTTTAGGGGAAGCCTGCTGCATCCGGCAGCACCGCCCCCACCAGTAACCCTTGAACCCTGAACCTGAATACATAAACCCTGTACCCTCCACCTACACCCACCTGGAGGAGCCGTTGCTCTCTGTGATGGTGGAATCCACCCGCAAGGGTTTTAGGGAAAGCCCGCCGCATTTGGCAGCACCGGCCCCACCAGTGCCCCTAAACCCTTGACTCTCAGACCCATTCAACCCTAAACCTGTTAAACTCTAAACCCTAAGCCCCACCCACCTGGAGGAGCCGTTGCTCTCTGTGATGGTGGAATCCACCCGCACGGTGTAGGGGAATCCTGCTGCATCCGGCAGTGTCTCCCAAACCTTAAAACCTTAAACCCCTTACACCCTGCACCACACCCACCTAGAGGAGCCGTTGCTCTCGGTGATGGTGGATTCCACCCGCACAGTGTAGGGGAATCCTGCTACATCCGGCAGCACCGGCTCCACCAGTGCCCCCAAACCCCTTAAAAATTTGCACCCTAGCCTTTTCAAACCACCAAAACCCACCTGGAGGAGCCGTTGCTCTCTGTGATGGTGGACTCCACTCGCACGGTGTAGGGGAAACCTGCCGCATCTGGCAGCACTGGCTCCAGGGACCGTTCAGCTAAAGCCCCGTGCCCCACCTCCCTGCGACTCGTGAACCCGGCACGTCCGGTTTCACCCACAGAGGAGGGCGGGAAGGTGTACTGCGAGGGGGAAATGAAGGGGGGATATGGGGGAAAAGGAAGGGAATGGGGGAGAACCCTGCCGCATCTGGCAGCACCGGCTCCAGCGATCGTTCAGCTAAGGCGCCGTGCCCCACCTCCCTGCGACTCGTGAACCCGGCGCGACCAGTTTCACCCACCGAGGAGGGTGGGAAGGTGTACTGTGCGAGGACAGGAAGGGGATGAAGGGGGGGGTACATAAATCAGGGAGTCGGGGGGGGAAACGGAGGCTCGCTTGAGCTCCGACATGGCAGTGAGATGGTCCAACCGCTGCAGGGTTTTTTTTAGAAACCCTGCAGCGGTCGGGGGGGAAACGGAGGCTCGCTTGAGCTCCGACATGGCAGTGAGATGGTCCAATCGCTGTGCACTGTAATACCCGTACAGTAACAACACATCTCCCCTGCAAGTAGAAGCACTTGAGCTGGCCCAACCATTCCCCTCCCTCCACCCCCCCTCCTCACACACCATCTCAGCCACACATCTCACCTGCAGGTAGAACCGCTTGAGCTCTGACGTGGCAGTGAGGTGGTCCAATCGCTGCGCGCTGTCCTCCCCCCCCAGTGTCGCCACTGCGAGCGCCTGGGGTGACAGGGGGGAGGGGAAAGGCGAAGAGGGAAGGGGGAGAAGGTGAGGGAAATGGGGAAGGGGGAGGAAAAAGTTCAGTGGCTCAATTGGTCCAGTCACTGCGACTGCCAAGGCTTTTGGATGGGGCTAGGGGAAAAGGACAACAAGGAAAGGGCAAAGGAGAAGGGGGAATGGGGGAGGGGGAAAGGGGAAAGGGTATGATGAAAAGGGGGAGGGGGAACAGGGAAGAAATAAAAAAAAACCATCCTATTCAACCTTCCTCCCCTCCACCCACCCACCCACCCACAGGTTCACCCACCTGTGTTTCTCCTCAGGTGAACAGTGCGCTGCCATGCACACGTGGCAGAACGCCACAGGCTGACTCGATGGGACGCATGTCACCAGGTGCTAAGCTGACCCCCCATCTCTCCAAACCCAACCCAGCCCAGCCCAACCCACCTGTACACCCACAGATCCACCCACCTGTGTTTCCCCTCGGGTGAACAGTGCACTGCCATGCACACGTGGCAGAACGCCACAGGCTGACTCGATGGGACGCACGTCACTGGTTCCCCGGCCATCGCTGCGACGACCCTCCTGTTGCAGGGGTTGGGGGGGGAGGTAGGGTGGCATGGACACGGGACATGGGGCATGGGGCATGGGGAAGGGGACGGGACATGGGCAAAGGTGAGTTGTGATTTGAGTCAAAGAACGCCACAGGCGGACTCAATGGGGGGCACATCACTGGTTCCCCGCCCGTTGCTGTGACGACCCTCCTGTTGCAGCAGAGGAAGGAGGGGAGAAACACGGGTGGCCAGCGGCATGGGACATGGGGCATGGGGGATGGGACGCCATATTCCACCGGGTCATATTCCTCTCTGTCTCGGTATTGTTGTTTCGAGGCCCCTCAGAGTAAACACACAAGCACTCACGGTGACAATGATGCGTCGCCTGATGCTAGGATTCAGCTCCTTGAGCTGCTTCTTCACATCCACCGGGTCATATGTCCCCCATCTTGTTGTATTGAGACTCCAGCAAGCAATCACGACTCTGTCACATCTAGCACTCACGGTGACAATGATGATCCGCACATCTCGCATGATCCGAGACGTCAGCTCCTTGAGCTGCTTCTTCACATCCACCGGGTCACATACCGCCCTGTCTCCATCCAGTTGTTTAAGGCCTTTCCAGAGCAAGCAATCACTCACAGTTTACCCCGGGGCACTCACGGTGACAATGATGCGCCGTATGATGCGAGCCGTCAGCTCCTTGAGCTGCTTCTTCACATCCACCGGGTCATATGCCACCTCCACCACATCCGCCCTCCCTGTCTCCCTACCTCTCTGGCTAGTTGTTCTGAGAAGCTTCTTCCCATACACAGGGTCATATACCTCCCTGTCTCTGTTGTTTTGAGGCCCCCACACTCACGGTGACAAAGATGCGTCGCATGATGCGAGAAGTCAGCTCCTTGAGCTGCTTCTTCACATCCACCGGGTCATATGCCCCCCTGTCTCCCCCATCTTGTTGTATTGAGACTCCAGCAAGCAATCACGGCTCTGTCACATCTAGCACTCACGGTGACAATGATGCGTCGCATGATCCGGGACGTCAGCTCCTTGAGCTGCTTCTTCACATCCACCGGGTCATATGCCACCTCCACCACATCCGCCCTCCCTGTCTCCCTACCTCTCTGGCTAGTTGTTCTGAGAAGCTTCTTCCCATACACAGGGTCATATACCTCCCTGTCTCTGTTGTTTTGAGGCCCCTCAGAAATTCACACACTCACAGTGACAAAGATGCGTCGCATGATGCGAGAAGTCAGCTCCTTGAGCTGCTTCTTCACATCCACCGGGTCATATGCCCCCCTGTCTCCCCCATCTTGTTGTATTGAGACTCCAGCAAGCAATCACGGCTCTGTCACATCTAGCACTCACGGTGACAATGATGCGTCGCATGATCCGGGACGTCAGCTCCTTGAGCTGCTTCTTCACATCCACCGGGTCATATGCCACCTCCACCACATCCGCCCTCCCTGTCTCCCTACCTCTCTGGCTAGTTGTTCTGAGAAGCTTCTTCCCATACACAGGGTCATATGCCTCCCTGTCTCTGTTGTTTTGAGGCCCCTCAGAAATTCACACACTCACGGTGACAAAGATGCGTCGCATGATGCGAGAAGTCAGCTCCTTGAGCTGCTTCTTCACATCCACCGGGTCATATGCCCCCCTGTCTCCCCCATCTTGTTGTATTGAGACTCCAGCAAGCAATCACGGCTCTGTCACATCTAGCACTCACGGTGACAATGATGCGTCGCATGATCCGGGACGTCAGCTCCTTGAGCTGCTTCTTCACATCCACCGGGTCATATGCCACCTCCACCACATCCGCCTTCCCCTTCCCTTTGCCCACGCCCTTCCCCATGCCTGTCCCTGTGCCTTTCACATGCACCTCCCCCTCGTCCACATCTCCTGGCGGCACCACCAGCCCTTCCTCCTCTGCCAGCTCTGCTTCCTCGTCCTCCTCCTTTGCTGCCTGAAGTTGGGTGTGTGTGGATGGGCGGGGATGAGTGCAAGTGTGAGTCCACAACCCCTAGCACGGAGGCAACCATGTCTTGTCCCTGTGCCTTTTACATGCACCTCCCCTTCGTACACGTCCCCTAGTGGCACCACCAGCCCTTCCTCCTCTGCCAGCTCTGCTTCCTCATCCTCCTCCTTTGCTGCCTGAAAGGCAGTCAAAAGATGTGACACATGGGTGGGGACGGGTGGTGATGGGTGGGGATGGGTGGGGATGGCGCAGTTGTGAGGTGATTCAAGGGGCCTTGTGAGGCCACTACACGTCCCCTGGCGGCACCACTCAACTGGCGGGTTGCAGCCTGCTCCGCATCTGTGAGAAGCCCCAGCACCCTGCCACCCGCTCCTCTTATCTGCTGCTGACTCTGCTTCAATTCTCCTGTCCTCCTCTCACCTGCCTGATTGCTGCCTGCCCCGCCTCTGTGAGCGCTCCCAGCACCTTCTCCTCTACTGCCTTCATAGCCACCCCCCGCTGCTTCTTCCCCTCGATCCTCAGCGCCGCTTCCAAGTCCGCCCCCACCAGTCCCTCCAGCCGACCCAGCAGGTCAGCCGGTGGGGCGTGGATGGCGGCAGTGAGCTTCGGCTTTGCCACTCCCTCCACCTCCTGGGTCCACTTGTGTAGGCCGCGGCAGATGGCACTGATGGCTTGCTGCAAGTAAGGGGGGTGTAGGTGGGTGGGTAGGTATGGGTGTATGGGTGTATCGGTGTGCGGGCATGTGTGCAAATGGAGGCGTGGATGGCGGCAGCGAACTTAAGATTTAACACTCTCCCAGTCTCCTGGGTCCACTTACGTAGGCCGTGGCAGATGGCACTGATGGATTGCTGTGCGTCGATGGGTGGGTGTGTGCCAGAGAGTGGGTGCGCGTATGCGAAAAGAGGAAAGTGGGGTTTCAAAACTGAATTGAAGTCTTTTCGTTGTAGGCCATTCACAAACGAGTTTAGAGAAGATTGCAGGCATTGAACAGACACTAGCAGGGCTTATCTTCATGGATGACTGACGTCTTGTTATAAAAGAAGAATAAACAAAGAATAAAAAACCCGTAACAATGCATACAACCACCCACCTGCCCTGCTGCAACGGCCTCCAGAAGCTGCTCCTCCGACAGGAGGTTGCAGTAGCCCTGCGGGAAAGAGGAGGGTACGTGGGGAGAGGAGTAAGGGAGGAGCAGGCGAAAGGGTTTCTTGATGTCAAGAGGTGAGGTGAGGTGAGGTGAGGTGAGGTGAGGTGAGGTGAGACAGCACTTGCCCTGCTGCAACGGCCTCCAGAAGCTGCTCCTCCAACAGAATGTTGCAGTAACCCTGGGGGGAGAGAGGGAGGAGGTGGGCGACGTACAGGCATAAGGGCAAAAGGGGTAATTGATGGTTTTCGGAAAGGACTCTCGGAAGAGGTGAGACAACACCTACTCTGCTTCCACGTCCTTCAGTGGCTGCTCCAGTAGGTGAGGCAACACCTACAGAAAGTTCCAGTAGCCTTGGGGGAAGCTAAGCTGTTGCACATCTATTTGATCATGAGCACCGAGTTGGTAGTCCCACCCAGCCAGGCACCACCAGTTCTAGAGGCGAACCTTCCAGCTGCTAGTTGGTGATGGGGCGAACCTTCCAGCTGCTAGTTGGTGATGGGGCGACCCTTCCAGCTGCTAGTTGGTGATGGGGCGACCCTTCCAGCTGCTAGTTGGTGATGGGGCGACCCTTCCAGCTGCTAGTTGGTGATGGGGCGACCCTTCCAGCTGCTAGTTGGTGATGGGGCGACCCTTCCAGCTGCTAGTTGGTGATGGGGCGACCCTTCAGCTGCTAGTTGGTGATGGGGCGACCCTTCCAGCTGCTAGTTGGTGATGGGGCGACCCTTCCAGCTGCTAGTTGGTGATGGGGCGACCCTTCCAGCTGCTAGTTGGTGATGGGGCGACCCTTCCAGCTGCTAGTTGGTGATGGGGCGACCCTTCCAGCTGCTAGTTGGTGATGGGGCGACCCTTCCAGCTGCTAGTTGGTGATGGGGCGACCCTTCCAGCTGCTAGTTGGTGATGGGGCGACCCTTCCAGCTGCTAGTTGGTGATGGGGCGACCCTTCCAGCTGCTAGTTGGTGATGGGGCGACCCTTCCAGCTGCTAGTTGGTGATGGGGCGACCCTTCCAGCTGCTAGTTGGTGATGGGGCGACCCTTCCAGCTGCTAGTTGGTGATGGGGCGACCCTTCCAGCTGCTAGTTGGTGATGGGGCGACCCTTCCAGCTGCTAGTTGGTGATGGGGCGACCCTTCCAGCTGCTAGTTGGTGATGGGGCGACCCTTCCAGCTGCTAGTTGGTGATGGGGCGACCCTTCCAGCTGCTAGTTGGTGATGGGGCGACCCTTCCAGCTGCTAGTTGGTGATGGGGCGACCCTTCCAGCTGCTAGTTGGTGATGGGGCGACCCTTCCAGCTGCTAGTTGGTGATGGGGCGACCCTTCCAGCTGCTAGTTGGTGATGGGGCGACCCTTCCAGCTGCTAGTTGGTGATGGGGCGACCCTTCCAGCTGCTAGTTGGTGATGGGGCGACCCTTCCAGCTGCTAGTTGGTGATGGGGCGACCCTTCCAGCTGCTAGTTGGTGATGGGGCGACCCTTCCAGCTGCTAGTTGGTGATGGGGCGACCCTTCCAGCTGCTAGTTGGTGATGGGGCGACCCTTCCAGCTGCTAGTTGGTGATGGGGCGACCCTTCCAGCTGCTAGTTGGTGATGGGGCGACCCTTCCAGCTGCTAGTTGGTGATGGGGCGACCCTTCCAGCTGCTAGTTGGTGATGGGGCGACCCTTCCAGCTGCTAGTTGGTGATGGGGCGACCCTTCCAGCTGCTAGTTGGTGATGGGGCGACCCTTCCAGCTGCTAGTTGGTGATGGGGCGACCCTTCCAGCTGCTAGTTGGTGATGGGGCGACCCTTCCAGCTGCTAGTTGGTGATGGGGCGACCCTTCCAGCTGCTAGTTGGTGATGGGGCGACCCTTCCAGCTGCTAGTTGGTGATGGGGCGACCCTTCCAGCTGCTAGTTGGTGATGGGGCGACCCTTCCAGCTGCTAGTTGGTGATGGGGCGACCCTTCCAGCTGCTAGTTGGTGATGGGGCGACCCTTCCAGCTGCTAGTTGGTGATGGGGCGACCCTTCCAGCTGCTAGTTGGTGATGGGGCGAACCTTCCAGCTGCTAGTTGGTGATGGGGGGCAGAGGCTCAATTCACTAACCCTTCCTCGGTATTACCTCGATCATGAGCACCGAGTCAGTCAGTCGTGCCAGCCACCACCAGGTCCAGAGGCGACCCTTCCGGCTGCTGGTTGGTGGGGCTGAAGAGTTCCATTTCAACAAGCTGCCCCTCAGGTTTGGGTTGAGGTTTGGGTTGTACCTACCTCGATCATGAGCACCGAGTCGGTGGTGCCAGCCACCACCAGGTCCAGAGGCGATCCCCTGCAGCTGCTGGTTGGTGGGGCGGCACTAGAAAACAAGCAGGTAGATACTGGACCCCACTACAATCAGGTGGACTGGGTTTGACTGATGTTGACTGGGTTTGACTGATGTTGACTGGGTTTGACTGGGGTTGACTATACCTCAATCATGAGCACTGAGTCGGTGGTGCCAGCCACCACCAGGTCTAGCGGCGATCCCTGCAGCTGCTGGTTGGTTGGGCTGAGAGGTCTCAACCCAATAACCCTGCCTCTCAGTTAATGGTCACAGTTTCTGCTGTACCTCGATCATGAGCACTGAGTCGGTCGTGCCAGCCACCACCAGGTCTAGCGGCGATCCCTGCAGCTGCTGGTCGGCTGGGGGGCTGAGAGGTTCCAATTGAACAACCCTTCCTCTCAGTTCAGGGTTAGGGTTTCAACAGTACCTCGATCATGAGCACTGAGTCGGTAGTGCCAGCCACCACCAGGTCCAGAGGCGACCCTTCCAGCTGCTGGTTGGTTGGGTTGACGACCAGAGCGCCATTCACCATACCCACGCGCACCCCCGCCACTATCCCCGCCAGAGGGATATCTGATACAGCCCTGGGGGAAGGGAATGGGGAATTGGGGGGGGCAGTGGGGGGGGAAGGGTGGGAGGAGGGTGGGGACAGGAGGGAGGAGCGGTGTTGGTTGGTGGGGTTGACAACCAGAGCGCCATTCGCCATGCCCACGCGCACCCCCGCCACTATCCCCGCCAGGGGGACGTCCGATAAAGCCCTGGGGGAAAGGGTGGGAAAGGATGGGGAAGGGTGGGGGAGGCAGGGTGGTCGGAGGGTAGGGAAAGCAGCTGCTGGTTGGTGGGGTTGACGACCAGAGCGCCATTCACCATGCCTTGGGGGGAGGGATGGGGGAGGGAGGGAGCGAGAAGAGTGGGAAAGGGCGGGAGTGGTGTTGGTTGGTTGGATAGATTGACCACCAGGGCACCACCATTCACCATGCCCACGCGCACCCCCGCCACTATCCCCGCCAGGGGGATGTCCGACACAGCTCTGGGAGACGGGTGGGGGAGGGAATTGGCAAGGAATTGACAGCAAGAGCGTCAGTGGGCAGGAGGGAAGGTATCTACTGGTGAATGAGTTTTGAGGAAAGAGGAGAAAAATGCAGTGAGAGCACGAGTGAGCAGGAGTGAGCAGGAGTGAGCAGGAGTGAGCAGGAGTGAGCAGGTGTGAGCAGGAGTGAGCAGGAGAGAGCAGGAGCGAGCAGGGGAGAGAGCAGGGGAGAGAGCAGGAGATGCTTACAGAGCAGCACCAGCAGCAGTGATGGCAAGGGCGTCGGGGCTGTGCTCTCCGTCGTAGCTGAACAACTGAGAAGAATCAGGGAAGGCGGGTAGGGAAGGGAGGAAGGTCAATGGTGTTTTGACTTCTGGGTGGACGCTAAAGCAGCACCAGCACCAGCAGCAGTGATGGCAAGGGCGTCAGGGCTGTGCTCTCCATCGTAGCTGAACAGCTGAGAATCAGGGAGGGAGGGTAGGGAAGGAAGAATGACTTCTAAATGGGCTCTGAAGCAGAGCCAGCAACAGCAGCAGTGATGGCAAGGGCGTCAGGGCTGTGCTCCCCGTCATAGCTGAACAGCTGAATCAGGAAGGGAGGGCAGGGAAGTAAGAATGATTTCTAACTGGGCTCTGAAGCAGCACCAGCAGCGGTGATGGCAAGGGCGTCGGAGCTGTGCTCCCCGTCATAGCTGAACAGCTGAATCAGGAGGGGAGGGCAGGGAAGTAAGAATGATTTCTAACTGGGCTCTGAAGCAGCACCAGCAGCAGTGATGGCAAGGGCGTCAGGGCTGTGCTCCCCGCCATAGCTGAACAGCTGAATCAGGAAGGGAGGGCAGGGAAGTAAGAATGATTTCTAACTGGGCTCTGAAGCAGCACCAGCAGCGGTGATGGCAAGGGCGTCGGGGCTGTGCTCCCCGTCACAGCTGAACAACTGCAGATCACAATAGGAAGGGTGGGGACGGGAGGTCATGGGTTTAGGGATGACTTTTGAGTGGGCTCTGAAGCAGCAACGGTGCCAGCAGCTGTGATGGCAAGGGCGTCGGGGCTGTGCTCCCCGTCATAGCTGAACAGCTGCAGATCACCAAGGGACGGTAGGGAGGGAAGTGAGAGGTTTAGGGTTCTACCGGTACATGAAAGTCGCTACTCATTTTTCTCAAGTGACTCCAATACGGAGACGAAGGTACAGGGATCTGGTGAGCGATACTCTACCATAATTTGCAGTTTATATATAACTCATTGAAGATTCTTCCAGTTTATATTTAACTCATTGAAGATTCTTCACCCCGGCTTTAAACCCGGAACCCCCAGTGTCGTAGACTCACCCACGAGAGGACCTGCACTTCGTGGTTCAACCCCTTGGCCACCATGGGACGCAGAGGTCAGTTGGGGAGGCGACTAAACACCCGAATCAGGTTACTATGGAGTAGTAAAAGAATTCACCTAAGCCCAAAACCCTAGACTCTGAATGCCGTGGACTCACCCACGAGAGGACCTGCACTTCGTGGTTGAATGAAGCCCTTGGCCACCATGGGAGGGAAGCAGAGAGTGTTGCTGAAGCACCAAGACGCCAGCTCAGGTATTTTTTGTAACGCTTCTTCCTGTAGCCCTAAACCCTTCCTGCTGTCCTCTTACCCATGATAGGACCTGCACTTCGTGGTTGAACCCCTTGGCCACCATGGGACGTAGAGGTCGATCGATGAGACGAGACACCAAGATCTGGTGAGAAAACACAGATGGGGGAAACCGGGAGAAGGAACTGTTGAGCGAACCGATGCACATATGGATTGGCCTCGCATATCCGCAACCCTGTTTCCCAACCCCCAATAAGCCTTACAGAGACTGATCTTCATTTCGTGTACTCGCACTTTCGACCTACAAGAAGCTATGAATGAGCAGCCGCTGGTGCATACCTCGTGGTCTTTAGGCCGGCCTTCCCTCTTGAAGTAGCCCCCGCTGCAGGCAGGAGGAAGGGTGTGGCGTGGAGAAGGCGATAAAAGCAGGAGAGCACACGTGACGTCAGGGCACAAATTGCCATGCAAAAGGGATGATTTTATTTATTCGACTATAAAAACGACTCAAAAAGGTGTGCGTGGGGAAGGGGATAAAAGCATTGAACCACACATGAGGGCACGAATCGTCCATGCAATGCGGACGGAAGGCAAGGGATGAGTGGGCTTAAAAAATCAAGACCAGCTGTCAGAATAACAAACAGCTTTCTCCAGTGGCGGGCTTGTTTATGTTCTCATGTCAGCAGAAACCCCTTGAAACGTCTCAAGGATCGCCTTGTTCGTTTCTCAGCCAATCACTCTTAACCACCTTGTGTGCCCCCCAGCGCTGAACCTCTCCTGGTAGCTCACAGGGAGCGGCACAAAGTGCGAGCATGGTGTGTCCAGCACAGTATAGTATATAGGACGCTGAGCATTGGAAGTCCAGTCTCGAATCTCTCACCTGGTGCGCCCCCCAGCGCTGAACCTCTCCTGGTAGCTCACAGGGAGCGGCACAAAGTGCGAGCATGGTGTGTCCAGCACAGTATAGTATATCGGACGCTGAGCATTGGAAGTCCAGTCTCGAATCTCTCACCTGGTGCGCCCCCCAGCGCTGAACCTCTCCTGGTAGCTCACAGGGAGCGGCACAAAGTGCGAGCATGGTGTGTCCAGCACAGTATAGTATATCGGACGCTGAGCATTGGAAGTCCAGTCTCGAATCTCTCACCTGGTGCGCCCCCCAGCGCTGAACCTCTCCTGGTAGCTCACAGGGAGCGGCACAAAGTGCGAGCATGGTGTGTCCAGCACAGTATAGTATATAGGACGCTGAGCATTGGAAGTCCAGTCTCGAATCTCTCACCTGGTGCGCCCCCCAGCGCTGAACCTCTCCTGGTAGCTCACAGGGAGCGGCACAAAGTGCGAGCATGGTGTGTCCAGCACAGTATAGTATATCGGACGCTGAGCATTGGAAGTCCAGTCTCGAATCTCTCACCTGGTGCGCCCCCCAGCGCTGAACCTCTCCTGGTAGCTCACAGGGAGCGGCACAAAGTGCGAGCATGGTGTGTCCAGCACAGTATAGTATATAGGACGCTGAGCATTGGAAGTCCAGTCTCGAATCTCTCACCTGGTGCGCCCCCCAGCGCTGAACCTCTCCTGGTAGCTCACAGGGAGCGGCACAAAGTGCGAGCATGGTGTGTCCAGCACAGTATAGTATATAGGACGCTGAGCATTGGAAGTCCAGTCTCGAATCTCTCACCTGGTGCGCCCCCCAGCGCTGAACCTCTCCTGGTAGCTCACAGGGAGCGGCACAAAGTGCGAGCATGGTGTGTCCAGCACAGTATAGTATATAGGACGCTGAGCATTGGAAGTCCAGTCTCGAATCTCTCACCTGGTGCGCCCCCCAGCGCTGAACCTCTCCTGGTAGCTCACAGGGAGCGGCACAAAGTGCGAGCATGGTGTGTCCAGCACAGTATAGTACATAGGACGCTGAGCATTGGAAGTCCAGTCTCGAATCTCTCACCTGGTGCGCCCCCCAGCGCTGAACCTCTCCTGGTAGCTCACAGGGAGCGGCACAAAGTGCGAGCATGGTGTGTCCAGCACAGTATAGTATATAGGACGCTGAGCATTGGAAGTCCAGTCTCGAATCTCTCACCTGGTGCGCCCCCCAGCGCTGAACCTCTCCTGGTAGCTCACAGGGAGTGGCACAAAGTGCGAGCATGGTGTGTCCAGCACAGTATAGTATATAGGACGCTGAGCATTGGAAGTCCAGTCTCGAATCTCTCACCTGGTGCGCCCCCCAGCGCTGAACCTCTCCTGGTAGCTCACAGGGAGCGGCACAAAGTGCGAGCATGGTGTGTCCAGCACAGTATAGTATATAGGACGCTGAGCATTGGAAGTCCAGTCTCGAATCTCTCACCTGGTGCGCCCCCCAGCGCTGAACCTCTCCTGGTAGCTCACAGAGAGCGGCAGGAAATCTGAGGGCTCACTCTCCTCCTCCGATGCACACACCGTGCAGTACAGCACCTGGGTAATGGGGGGAGCAAAAGGGGGTGTTGTTAGGTGGTGGGCAGACGAGTGGGATTGTTGACTCGCGTATGTGTGCTTGAGTGCCTGAGGGCTCATTCTCCTCCTCTAACGCACACACCGTGCAGTACAGCACCTGGGTAATGGGGGGGAGTGGGAGAACGGGGGAGGTTGTCAGGTGGCAAGAGTAAGATTGCTGGTTCTTGTATGTGAATGCATGAAAGGTGTCCTCCTCTCCTCCCCCAACTCACACGAAGTGCAGTAAAGCACCTGGGTAACGGGGGGAGTGGGGATTTAGGTTACATGCGAGCCTGTTTTGGAACGTCTAGAACCTGAACGGGGAAGTTACCATGTGAGCCGGTTCAATTGTGGAAAGAAATCGAATGGCGGTGCTATCGAATTACGTCGCTCGCTATATGCACGCACCGTCTCTCCGTCCGTTACAGTCACGGCGCCGTTGGCCTGTCGCCCCATCCGGCCCACCTCAACGGTTATCTGAGAGCACGGCGTGGAGATGAGAAGGAGGGAATGGATGCGAATAAATGCGCGAGATGTGTTTCGCGTTGGCCAAGCCAGTCTCGACGGTTATTTGAGGTATAGCGGGCAAACCGGAAGGAGAGGGTCGAATGGGAGGGAATGGATGCGAAGGAGTGCGAGAGATGTGTTTTGCGTCGAAGGTGATCCCGGAAACAAAGCAGGGGAATCGGAAGGAGAAACAAGGAGAATGAGAGGGAAAGAATGGGAATGAAGCGAGAGACTCAAACAATAGAGAAAGCATGATTAGGCATTGTACCAACCGTACCTCTCGATCCCCAAAGGGTATGGAGACAGATCGAGGCCGAAGGAGGGGGCCGTCTGACGTCAGCCTGTTGGCGACATTGGCAGTTTCCGCGACCGGAGTGTCACTAGCATCGCTGGCGTCGCTCGTATCCTCTGCACGAGCATGACCCGGCAATCCCGAGATTCGCCGATTCGGGATTCTGCGGTTGTGCTTTGCTTCTAAGAAGCTTCCGGTTCCGGAAAAGGCGCTTCGCAATGAGATGCTGGTCAGCGGAGAAAACGGTGACTGTCTAACATTTGTGCATCCGTGCAGAGATTTGGCCGTCAAGTTGCCAGAGGCACTAGCGCAGAGTATTTGAGCCATGACGAATAGCGATTAATGCGGAAAGCAGGCTGACGGTTATGCGGAAGAATCAACGGATGGAAACGACGGAAGCCTCAGCAGCTTCCGCTGATGAATTCAAGGGAAAGCAGCGAAACGCAGGAGACTGACACGAACAACGACGCGTCTCGAGCTTTATGAATCCGGCATTAGAGAGGAAAACACACTGGCTGAGGAACAGTGATATTTCTGATAGACGACCACTAAATTAAGCCAAGTGGTGAATGGAAAAATAGTGATCCAGAGTATGCTTTTGCATAGCCGTTCATGTATCGATGTTCAGAAAGGTGAGTAGCGTTCATAAGCGGTACTGTGAGCAACCACCATCCCTAAAGCTGCTCCACAGCAGGAGCCTAGTGGGAAGATATCGAGGTTTAGGCGGGAAGGGCGTGGTCAGAAGAGTGCCACGCTGGCGGAAAAGCTCCCTAGGTTGGTTCAAAAGGCAAACTCGAACACGTGTCTCTACACCACCTGGATAAACGTGGTTTCCTTACGCGTCAGGCGATCACGCGATTTCCGTACAGCTGGGAACAAAAGAAAATCCAAAGTATTTCCAGCTAGCATCAAATCCTTATCTAATCGTTGATGGTAACGGGGTGCAATTATTAAGTCATGAAAAAAAATCGACATAAAATCAGGAGAGAAAAAAAACGTATGAATTTACGTGACAAACATTTATCGAAAAATAGAATGGCAATGTTTCTTAAGAGTACATGTAACACCCCTATCACGACTACATGAATTCACTCCATAAACAGCACAGGCGCGGGGGTTCAAATCGAAGATGTATCACCCTCCAATCCATTGATACTGTAGCTCCTTGTCCGCGCCTCGGCATCCCTTCCACTCTGCACTATCGCTAAGGATTGCCATCCAGGGAAATACCGTCGGAGATACGGAAATGCCGTTCGATTGGATGGTCCAGTGCAATATGCAGGCCGAGCCTTATCCGTGTATTGCAAGAGGCACTGCGTTATAGAAGAGCGATTCGAGCAAATCCAATCAAATTTATGTCGAGTACGGGGAGAGTCGCCATATTTAGTGCGACGTGTAGGCTACCGGATATTGATTTCTTGATTCCGAGTTCTGAGACGCCTCAAAACTTCATGTCGTCGTCGATTCGATTAATTTGCTGTCCGCTCCGGCTCCCCTGATTCGCTGGCCCTAATCGTCCGACTCGCTAGATGTCGCGGTTCCGCTTGCCGGCCGTTGGCTGGCTTTTGTGGCGCTCTGTAGCAGCCGCAGTAGCGGGTCTCGTGCTTATAACGCGGACAAATGCTCAAGGAGACGCGGGTCTGGAGCACGTGATGTCCTTATATCGGGTACAGCACTGCAGTTTTAGCATGATACGTGTCCCTATTTCGTCCTCCTTCCGCCGCACCCATCCCCCTGTCCGTTTCCCCTCCCCCGCTGACCGTTCCGCCTTCCCGCTGACCGTTCACCCTCCCCTGACAGGCATGGGAGGAGCCATATAGGCCGCAGGCGGACTTCCCCCTTTCCCCTTCCGCCATGCCCATCCCCTCGACCGTTCCCCCTCTCAAATAACCGTTCAACCTTCCCTCCCCACCGTTCAACCTCCCCTGACAGGCATGGGAGGCAGCATATGGGCTGCAGGCGGACTCCCCACTTCCCCCTTCCGCCATCGCTCTCCCCCCGCGCGTTCCCCCTCCCCCCCACCTGGAGGACTGCGTTGCGCTGACTGCCTGGCGCTGGGCGCAGGAGCAGTGGGAAGCGGGGGAAGGGGGGGAAGGGGGGAAATCAGGAAGTGGGGGGGAAGCTGGGGATGTGGGGGAAGGAAAAGGGGAAGCATCAGGGGAAACGGGGAAAGTGGGGGCAGAAAAAAAAGGGGAATCAGGGGAAGGCTTGCAAGGAATGGGGGGAAGGGGGAAGCTTCCCCCCTGGGCGGCGCAATCTCACCCCCAGCCGCCCTGGATCCTTGGGTCTGACGCGGCCAATCTGGCGATGACACGTGTCGCTCAGAGGGACATCTGGGCGCACCAGTTCCCCCCCGGGGGGGACTGCAGCAACGAACGCCTCCTATTGGTCGATTGGCCGAGCTCGGTGCACGGGATTGGTTCTCAGCTGCACATCATGAGCGCAATTCTGAGCCTTGCAATGCGGTTCAAAAGGGTGCTGGTTCCCTCTGGAGGGTCGTTCACTCGAGCCAGTCACGCCGATTGCAATGGTGAGCTGAGCTGCTGTTTTCTCCCCCTCGTCTCCACTACCTGTGTGACAACTTGAACAACCCCCAAAACTCCTCCTCCTCTCTCTTTCCCCATTCTCTGTCCCTTTCTTCCAGCCACAGGCACTTATGCTTCCTTCCACTGCTACTTCTTCCCCCTCGTCTCGCCTGCCTGTGAATACCAAGCTGAGCTGGCAGTGGCGGCGGCAGCAGCGGCCAATGAGACGCTGCCACGTATGACAGAGGAGAGCAAGGAGGGGGTTCTGGGTTCAGAGCAGCGTGTGGTGTGGTTCCATGGGGAGCCTTATAACGGATTGCGCTTTGAAGGGGATGTCAGGTGAGGCAGAACAGGGCTCAGGGTTTTGGGTTTATGGTTCGGGAGGAGGACAGGGAAGGGGTTCTGGCGTCAGAGCAGCGCGTGGTGTGGTTCCATGGGGAGCCTTATAACGGATTACGCTTTGAAGGGGATGTCAGGTGAGGGGAGAGGAGGGAGGGCGGGAGGGAGGAAGGCAGGGAGGGAGCGAGGAAGAGCGGGAGAGGGAGGGAGGCGGGGAGGTAGGCAAGAAGGGAGAGGTGGTTCGTGGGGGAGGGGGGAGGCGGTAGGGTAGGGTAGGGTAGGGGGTATGATTTATTCAACCTGCTCTCACATTTCCCATTTATCCCCCCCGCTTTCCACCACGTCTGCAGCCGTTGGCCTAATGCGTACCGTGAGCGACCAAACATCATAGAGCTTGTTGGATTCGTGGTGTTTGGTTCCCCGTTTTCTCCCCTCCCATCCTTCTATCCCCGCCCCTCACACCCACCAGCCGTTGGCCCAATGCGTACCGTGAGCGACCAAACAGCATGGAGGTGGTTGGTTGGATTCGTGGGGGAGGTTATACTGGAGGGAGGAGGTGAGGTTGGTTGAGCTTCATGTCACCTTATTCCCCCCATACCATTCTTCCCGCCCCAACTCACACCCACCAGCCGGTGGCCCAATGCGTACCGTGAGCGACCAAACAGCATAGAGCTCGTTGGATTCGTGGGGTAGGTTGGACCGGAGAGCGGGGAGGGGGTTTTGGTTGAAGTGAGCCTCATCTTACTTGATCCCCCTATACCATTCTTCTCTCCCCTCTCACACCCACCAGCCGTTGGCCTAATGCGTACCGTGAGCGACCAAACAGCATAGAGCTCGTTGGATTCGTGGGGGAGGGGGATGAGACGAGACAACGGGTGAGATGGAGTGTGGTGGGGGGTTGAGAACGGCTGTGGGGGGTTGAGAACGGGTGCTGCATGTGAAGGTCGGTGCCCCAATGCGTACCGTGAGCGACCAAACACCATAGAGCTCGTTGGATTCGTGGGGGAGGGGGATGAGACGAGACAACGGGTGAGATGGAGTGTGGTGGGGGGTTGAGAACGGTTGTGGGGGGTTGAGAACGGGTGCTGCATGTGAAGTTCGGTGCCCCAATGCGTACCGTGCTACCAAACACCATAGAGCTCGTTGGATTCGTGGGGGAGGGGGATGAGACAAGACAACGGGGAGTAAATAGAGATGTACCGCTGGGGTTGTTTGAAGGTTGTGCTGGGGAGTCCTGGGGTGTGTTGGGTTGGGGTGTGCTGGGGTGTGCTGGGGTGTGCTGGGGTGTGCTGGGGTGTGCTGGGTGTGCTGGGGTGTGCTGGGGTGTGCTGGGGTTTGCTGGGGTGTGCTTCTGCATATGTTGCTGCATGTGATAAATGCCACACCACCAACTCACAGTCTATGGATCCCTCAACTTCTTCCCTCTAACTTCCGACCGTCTCCGCCACACATCTTACATCCTCTCAGCCTCCCTTCTTCTCTTTCCCCCAAACCCAACCATGCCTTTTCAGGTGCACTGGTGGCGGGCTCAATCCACCCGCTTCCCCCTCCGCCTACCTCTGCCACATCACCAACCGTGTCCGCCACACCTCCTACGGCTTCTCAGTTGCTGCCCGCCTCGCTCCTACGTCCCTTTCCCCCTCGCCTCCTTCCCCCCCTCACTTCCACCTTCCTTTTCAGGTGCACTGGTGGCGGGCTCAGTCTATTCGTTTCCTCCTCCGCTCCCCCTCCGCCTACCTCTGCCACATCACCAACCGCGTCCGCCACACCTCCTACGGCCTCTCACTTGCCGCCCACCTTGCCGCCTCTGCCGCCCACCAGGCCGCCCTGGCCCACTCCCACCCGGAGTTTTTATCCTCGTTAAGAGCTGCTGCGCCGCCGTGTATAAGCGGCGATGGAAGCAGTAACAGCGCTGGAGCAGTGGCTCATGATATAATCGCTAACAGTAGAAGTAGTGAGGGGGTTTCTGACGTAAGCAACAGTGGTAGTGACGCTGGTAACCCAAGCAGCAGCAGTGGTAACCCCAGTGGTAACCCCAGCAGTAACCCCGGCAGTAATCCCAGCAGGAGCTCTACTGGTAGTAACCCTAGTGGAAACCCTAAATATACAGGGGCATTCCCGTCTGTAGACAGTGTTCTCAATGGTTGCACTCTGGAGTCCAGGGCATGGGCCGAGAGGCGACCCAACAGCTGCAGCTGTGGCAGCACAGACAGCACCAGTGAAACAAATACGGCTGGTGTAACTGAATCTTCCGCCTTCAGACGTCTTGCTTTTGGGGCCGAGCCGTACGTGCCGCGGCCGATAGTGAGCGTGCATGTGAGGCAGGGCGACAAGGGCAGTGAGATGCAGCTCAACTCCTTTGCAGCTTTCATGTTCTTTGCGTATCGGCTGAGACGTGTGGAGCCAGAGTTGAGACACGTTTGGCTGAGCACAGAAATGCAGGTGAGGGTGTGGGGTTGGCTGGACACTTGCTGTGGGTACACACTGTGTGGGTTACTAGAGATGCAGCTCAACTCCTTTGCGGTTTTCATGTTCTTTGCGTATCGGTTGAGACGTGTGGAGCCAGAGTTGAGACACGTTTGGCTGAGCACAGAAATGCAGGTGAGACAGTGGGAGTGGGCTGGGCTCTTCTTGGTACTTATCGCTCAGCACCGAGATCCAGGTGAGACAGTGGGAGTGGGTTGGGCACACCCCACATGCGTGACACTGCGACCAATCGTGAGTGTGCATGTGAGGCAGGGCAGCAAGGGCATGTGTGGCTGAACACTGAGATGCAGGTGAGGGCGGGATTGGTGGGTGAGCACTCACACACACGCTCGCACACACGCTCGCACACACGCTCGCACACACGCTCGCACACACGCTCGCACACACGCTCGCACACACGCTCGCACACACACTAGGGCAGTAAGATGCACCACCACTCCTTCCCTGCCTTCATGTTCTTCTCCTACCGGCTGAGGCGCCTAGAGCCGGATCTGAAGCACGTGTGGCTGAGCACTGAGATGCAGGTGAGGGTTGGTGGGGTGGGCAAGTGAGCACCCACGCACACACACACACACACACACACACACACATACACACACACATACACACACACATACACACACACACACACACATACACACACACACATACACACACACACACATACACACACATACACACACACACACACTAGGGCAGTAAGATGCACCTCCACTCCCTCCCTGCTTTCATGTTCTTCTCCTACTGGCCGAGGCGTCTCTAGTGCCGGACGTGGCTGAGCACTGAGATGCGGGTGAGGGTGGGATTGGCAGGTGAGCACCCACATACACACACACACACGCACACACACACACACACGCACACACACACACGCACAAGGGCAGTGAGATGCACCTCCACTCCCTCCCTGCGGTCTTCTTGACTCATAGTAAAAGGGCAGCTGTACTAGAAGAGAATGCTGACTTTTGAGTCGACCCAAAAGTCTTCTTGACTCATAGTAGCAAGGGCGGCAGTACTAGAAGAGGATGCTTAAGCAATAGGATCAATAGGATCAATTCGTGAGATGCACCTCCATTCCTTGCCTGCCTTCACATGTATTTTCAATTGTCCCCTGTGACCCTCTCCTCTCCCTTTTCTTTCGAATTCTCAATAAACAGACTCACCTTCACACCTTCCCTGCTTTCATGTTCTTTCAAATATCCCCTGTGATCCTCTCCTTTCCCTTTTTACTCCTCTCTCCATCTATCCAGTCTGTCATCGACCAGGCAGATCGATTCAAGGAGTGGTCTTTTCATATTTCCCACGACCAGCGCCAAAGCAGCAACAAGCGCACGGTGGGTTACAAGTCGAGTATTGAGTCGACCCAAAACTGGGCATAAGCTGGTTGGCATAGCTGGTTGACACCAGGTTGAGCCGACTCATAAGTGGGCATAAGCTGGTGGACGTATCACACAGAGCACATGATGGGGTACGAGCAAGCCAAGGGGCATAGGCTGGTTGGCATGGCATGAGCTGGTTGGCATGGCATGAGTTGGTTGGCATGAGCTGGTCGACTCAAAAGTCACCTCGTTACAATGGCGAGCAGCAATCCTCGTGTTCCTGTTACCCCCCTCCCTCTTTTCCCTTGTGAATGTCTCCCTGCAACCCTGCAGTCTGCTATCGACCAAACAGCCCAATTCAAGGACTGGTCATTTCATTACTCGCACAACCCGCGCCAAAACAGCACCAAATTTATGGTGGATTACGAGAGAGACGTGGGGCATCAGCTGGTTGGAATTAGCTTTGCCAATCTGATTATATCATCGCAGTGTGATTATTTCGTGGGCGCGCTGGGCTCGAATTGGAATAGGCTGATCAATGAGCTGCGGGTAACCAACGGCCGGCTTTTTAGAGGATATGTGACATTAAACAATGATGAATTCTGATTTATTAGTTCCTTCACTTGCACAACCCGCGCCAAAACACCAGCAAATTTACGGTGGACTGTGAGGGAGACGTGGCCCGTGGGGCATCAGCTGGTTGGTTGGAATCAGCTTTGCCAATCTGATCATTTCCTCGCAGTGTGATTATTTAGTGGGCGCGCTGGGTTCGAATTGGCATAGGCTGATAAACGAGTTGGGATAACCAACGGCCGGCTTTTTAGAGGATATGTGACGCTAAACGATGACGAGTTCTGATCAGAACCTGTATGCTATCAGAGAGGTGTTTTGACACGTCTCAGTGAGCTGCGGGTAACCAGCGGCCGGCTTTGAGGATATGTGATGCTAAACGACTTTTGAGGCGCCTCAAAGGCCGGCTTTGAGGATATGTGATGCTAAACGACTTTTGAGGCGCATCAAAGGCCGGCTTTGAGGATATGTGATGCTAAACGACTTTTGAGGCGCCTCAAAGGCCGGCTTTGAGGATATGTGATGCTAAACGACTTTTGAGGCGCCTCAAAGGCCGGCTTTGAGGATATGTGATGCTAAACGACTTTTGAGGCGCCTCAAAGGCCGGCTTTGAGGATATGTGATGCTAAACGACTTTTGAGGCGCCTCAAAGGCCGGCTTTGAGGATATGTGATGCTAAACGACTTTTGAGGCGCCTCAAAGGCCGGCTTTGAGGATATGTGATGCTAAACGACTTTTGAGGCGCCTCAAAGGCCGGCTTTGAGGATATGTGATGCTAAACGACTTTTGAGGCGCCTCAAAGGCCGGCTTTGAGGATACGTGATGCTAAACGACTTTTGAGGCGCCTCAAAGGCCGGCTTTGAGGATATGTGATGCTAAACGACTTTTGAGGCGCCTCAAAGGCCGGCTTTGAGGATATGTGATGCTAAACGACGACGACGACGACGGGTTCTGATCTGATGCAGTGGATTTAGCGGGAGAACAATCATACACGAAAAGGTGGCACAAATAACGCCATAAGATCTCCCTTGCTGACACACTCCAGTCAGAACCTCTTCCATGTTGAAACATCTGGAGTGGCTGAAACACCTGAAGTGCCTGAAACACCTGAAGCAGCTGAAACACCTGAAGCACCTAAAACATCTGAAAGCGCCTGAAATGCCTGAAGCACTGTGGGGTGGGGAACAACGGGAATGGCACAGCCAGCACACACGAGAATGTTGTATTAGCAATCACAATACAACGCCGAAGAAAGGACTGACTGGTGAAGCGGTGAGAGTTTAACTACAGTGCATGAGGGTCCCAGAAGCCGTGCTCGGGGGCAGGTCATTTGGTCCCCGCCTGCACGCCTGGAGAGAGGGTGAGTTGATGATTGAGTTGACTCAAAAATCGACTTAACATACGCACGTCATATGGACCCCCCCTGCACACTTGGAGAGAGGAATCTCCGGTGAGGAGGAGGAGAGGGTGAGTCGATTTTTGAGTTGACTCAATAATCGACTTATCATACACACGTCATATGGTCCCCGCCTGCACGCTTGGAGAGAGGAATGTGTAATGAGGAGGAGGAGAGAGTGAGGAAGAGTGGCAGTCTGCCTGCATGATTGAGAGTCAATGAAGACGATGCGGGGTTCAGTTCAGTTGAGGAATAGAAACCATTTCAGTAAGCCCCTCTCCGCCTGTACAGACCCCCCCTCTGTCAAATTACATCCCCCTCGTGTACGTGAAATCATCCCACCCCCGTTCAGAATTCCTTGCTTTGAGTCGACTCAACACACGACTCAAAACATGAACCCCACCTGTCAAATACATCCCCCTCGTGTACATGAAATCACCCCACCTGTTGAGACTCCCTTGCTGTCAGACCCAAACCCACTCCCTCTCCGCCCGTACGAACCCCCACAGTCTATTTACATCCCAATTGTGTACGTGAACTCACCCCACCCGTTGACTCCCTTGCCGTCAAAACCAAACCCACTCTCTCTATCTGCTGGCACGAGCAGCCAATGAAGGAGATATGAGGGATCTTTCAGGGGTGCTCATGCAGCACCACGGCCATGCCCCTCCGCACTGCTGCATGCTCCCTTGCGACTTTTGAGGCGCATCAAAAGTCAGCACCACAGCCATGCCCCTCCGCACTGCTGCATGGACTCTCGCCTGCCCCTGGTGCCTTGGCGACGCGTTCACAGCTGGTGAGGAGGAGGTGCAGAGGAATGGGTGGACGGAGAAGAGAGAGAGAGCAGCGGTCAGATGCGTCGTGTGTGAAGGCGGGATCTGTCATGGCAAACGAAGACGAAGGGAAGGATGAGAGGAGAAGGGAAGCAGAGAGGGAAGAGGGGAGGGAGAGGGACGAAGGGAGGAAGATGGGGGAGGACATTCACATCACACCCCATCGCATCGCATCGCATTGCATCGAATCGCATCGCATCTCATCACAACACATCACATCACATCACATCACATCACATCACATCACATCACATCACATTGCATAGCATTACATCGCATCTTATAACATCACATCACATCACATCGCATAACACATCATATCACATCACATTAAAGCACATTCCATTAGATCAGATTACATTACATCCAACATAGCAACGTCAACAAACATGCCTCACTAATGCAGGATCCATTACAAAGAGCTGCAGCGTCACCTGCACAGTGAACCCAAGCACGCCCCCCTACCTGGCAGCACTTTTGCATTCGCAAAAGGAACACAGCTGCGCCTTTCGTCTAGGGGGGTGAATCGTGGAAGCGGGGGGGGGGGGGGGGGGGGTCAGGCGGGAGAACCGGAGGAGATAGAAGAGGGAGGTTGGTTGGGGAAGGGTGGGGCAGGAGGGGGGAGTTGATTGAGGACCAACGAAAGTCCTGGAGGACATGGGAGGAGGGGGAGATGGTAATGGAACAGGAGTGTGGGGAGGGTGGAGGACAGGAGGGATGCGAGAAGGGAGGTTAGTTGATAATGAATGTGCCTGGAACAGTAGGAAGAAATGATACAGCCCCTGTTGGAGATTTCTTACAATGCAACGAAGTGGCAGGAACATTTCTTGAAGAACTATCAATCTGACGGCATGAAACGGAATGCTTTTACTTGGTCTGGCAGGGCGGAAACGTATCACTTGAAACGGGAAGGAACTAAATGTCGTACTTGAATCGGAAGAGTAAAAAGGGCTTACTCGGAACGGAATGCTTTGCCTGAAAGGACAAGGATGGATTTCCTTATCGTTTGAACAGCGTTCCAGCACACTGGACGACGATTAAGCACCAGGGAACGTGGTTCTGCCACGTGGCATCCTGATTCTGCCACGTCACTGTGCTAAACCCTGACGATAGGGCCATCTGCAAGATCGCAGATTTCCTGATGTTGGCATCACTAGATAGGAGTAGCAGGAAAAGAAAAGCTCGCAAGATTCACACAAGGCACAACACCAAGCATTCCAGACCAGAACTCGAATCTGATGGCGGAATCCCCTAGGGTGGGCATCTGACGGCCAGTACTTCGGAACCAGAGCGACCCAGGACCCATTAGGGATGTGTACCAGGACCTATGTCTGAAGGCTTGCTGTAGACATGCCCTGTCTATGCTGCTTCATAGCAAATTCTCCCAAGGATCTCACCTCCGATCTGGGGAGCTACTTTCGCCAACTCTTTCGCATTCAGTTGTTCGCCCGGCCATCATGGCTCACTGGGTCGCAGAACCAGCTGTGGTCCCTCTTTGCCACGCCCTCGACTAACCATGGGCCGCCACGTGTCAAGGACGCACATCATGCACGCTGTGTGTGCGACGAGGATATGGTGACAACTACCGAATTTCCCCGGAGCTCTTCGCTCGGTCGAGGGGTCCTTACGAAATTGCACGCCATTCTGCCGCAAACGCGAATCGTCGTAGTTCAGATTTGAACTTGGGTTACCCGGGATAGCGGAACTCCCGGGATGACCTTCCATCGCTTGCAATAACAAAGGGATGAAATCAGCAGCCCACCTCTTCAGAGTGTGCTTTGGTAGATCGGTCAAATTCTCAACCAAGAGCAGAGAGCAGCACGACGGAGCAGAGGCAAGAGCTGCTGGAGCTATCTCTTTGACGTCTTCATTTCATACGCCGTCGTTTCTAGCATCTAAGGTACTATGGCGTGTTCGTACATCGATAGGCTTTCGGACGATCTTCTCATAGCTATCTTCTGGCCCTCCAAACGATTCTCTACTCGCCGGGATGACGATGACCTGGTGTGGCCCTGCTTGCAGCCTTCCTCCAGATTAATTCGCAGAAACGATGAGCCATGCTATCAGCAGAGCGGCGACACCGCGTTTCCAAATGCTTCTCTTCCTCCAGCGTTCGCCGACGCGGCCTACAATCTTCTCCTCGCGTCCACGTGCCGTCGCTGGCGTCGCTTGGCTCAGGACCACGTCTCCACGCTCCTAGTCAAGAAAAACCGCGTTGTTCCCTGCGAGGTTCTCGCCGCGGCGGTCGCGTGCTTCCCTAACCTCACGCACCTTCATCTGTGCGACAAGAGCTTGGATAATATGGATGACGCATTCCTCGCCCGCCTCGCGGCGAGCTGCCCCAAGCTGACAGCCTTCCACCTCGGGAAATGGATTGTGCAGCGCTTGCAACACGACGACGCAGAGGAGCATCTGACGCTGGCTGGCTTCGATGCTTTCTTCCGCCAGTGCACGCGGCTGGAGCATCTGTCGCTGAATTGGCCGGAATTCCGGTCACCAGATTCGATCTTTCAGCTCGTGCGTCTCCGACCTCTCGCGCTCAACGATGTGTCTGACTTATTGACTCCAGACGTGCGCGTGTTCTCCGCTCTCACAGCTCTTTCCATGAACGCACCCATTTGGGACTACGAAGGCCTCGAAAACCTCGCTCAGCTCCCAAGCCTCACGAGTCTTTCCGTGCCGGATCTAATCGCTCGTGTAAATACTACGCCTCGCTTCTCGTTCGCGCATCTATCCTCGCTGAAATCGCTATATTTGGGGACCGGCTGGATGGAGTTCGATTTCATGTTCCCCCCAGACTCTCCGTGCAGCCGCCTCGAACGGCTGACGTTCTTCAACCGCGACGAGCTTAGCAACCTTCCAGACGACATCAACTATCGGCTGCCGTCTCTGCAGGTGCTGACCATCAACGAGTGTCAGAATTTCTTAGAACAACCCGAGCAGGTCACTTCCTTGAGGTGCCTGCGCAGCTTGAACCTCTTTAACTGCAGATTCGCCGGGTTGCCTGACAGCTTCGGAGAGATGCCGTATCTGACAAGGCTCGTGCTGTACCAGCTAGATGTCAACTTCCCTGCCTCATGCAGCAGGCTCAAGTCGCTTCAGACGCTAATTGTTACAGAATGCTCGTCGCTAGTCGAGTTACCAGCCCCGTTAGGCGCGCTCACATCACTCAAGACCCTCTGCCTTGCCGATTCTCCCTTGCTCATCCTTCCTGACGACATGGGAGAACTTCTCAGCCTTGAAACCTTCTTCCTGAAACCGTACCGCGCACGTCCCCGGCTTCCGTCCTCATTCACCCAACTGGCTTCACTCGCAAGGCTTGAGCTTCAGGAGTGTGATATAGTGGAGCTGCCAGAGGCTATGGGGGAGCTGAGATGCTTGCGGCAGCTGTACATCGTTTCCTGTTCGCAAATTCAGAAACTTCCAGAGTCCGTTTTAGCCCTTCTGAGCCTGGAGATTCTTGTGGTTGACAAGTGCGCAAGCCTTTTCTCTGTGCCTCAGAATCTGATCAATCTGACAAAGCTGAAGCAGTTGGAGCTGACAGGGTGTGAGAAGATGAGAATAGCTCCTGAATTCTTGCCGTGCTCGCTGGAATTCCTAAGCTTGGGGGGTCCTGATGTGGTCATCCACCTACCTGATACCTATACTCTTCCGAACCTGAAAAGAGCGAGCATGAGCATGGCGATTTTTCCATCTGCATTGTCTAAAAGCCTTTCCCCATTAGAGCACCTGCATTTGGTCATGGCATTAGAGGAGGATTTTCCATTCAGGTTGGCAGACCTTCCTTGCCTCCGCACCCTGACAGTTGCAAGCACCGGAGCCGTGAAGCTTCCACACTTTTCCAGCTCCGCTTTGCAGGAGTTACGTCAGCTGGAGTTACGATTACCTAAATTGACAGAGCTTCCAGCGACTATTGCAGCACTCCGAAAGCTCACATACCTGGAAATAGATGCTCCCAAGCTGCGTTCACTTCCTGATTCGATCGGAGCATTGACCCGCTTATGCAAGCTCATTTTGTCCAACTGCCCAGCTCTCAAACGCCTCCCTGATTCCCTCACTCAGCTGTCCTACCTTCGTGTGCTACAAGTTCGCAGGAGCCGCACCAAGTCACTTCCTTCCAACTTTGGGCAGCTTAGCAGGCTGCGGGTGCTGGATTTGCAGAATTGCAAACAACTGGAGTTTCTTTCTGAAGAGTTGTTACAGCTGAAGCTGCTACGTAGATTGAACGTTGATGGGTGTGACAAATTGCGCGATTCTTGTGGCAGGCTTGGTCTTCCTGGTTGGTTGACTTGGTATACGTACGGGGACAATCATTATGGCGTATAACTGGGAGACTCAATTGTGTATCCTTGTTACGGTACATGTGTCGAGAAATCATGGTTGCTTCATTGTATTGAAGTTTGTAATTTGTGGAAATTACCGGTACTGGTACTTCATGCACAATGGTTCAGTCCTTAATACCGTACAAGGTAATGAACCTGGTACCGTTAAGCATTACTGAAATCGCTGCACCAGAATGGCACAGCCTACAGGGAGTCTGTAGAGCGATTGCATCACCCTTACATCACCTAGCACTAGCATCTTCCCATAGAGCTTTCGTTCAAGAGCTTGAGAGGTGTTGGTGGCGGCCGTGGCACGGCAGGCACATCAAACCTACGGTAATGTGGCAGCATCGAGGCATGGCAGCATGGTGGGGGGAGCATAGAGGCATGGCACCAACAGCACTGTAACCTGATAAAAACTCCTTCAACTACTCCTCTCCAGGCATCAACAGCAGTTTACAGGAGACGCATGGAGGGGAACTAAAGAGCCTCCTGGCTGGCAGCACAACCAGCCTGTGTCTAAGGCGGGGTGATGGGGTCAGGATAGGTGGGAAATTCTGGCCGTTGCTTGAAGGCAAGTTGAACCCACGTATTGGGCATGGCAGCAGAGAAAGAGGAGGATGACCCTCAAGCAGTCATTATGAGCGGGCAGCTGCAGCCGAGGAAGAAGGGCTTGAGCATCAGCCGATAAATACGCATGGAGGCACGGAGGCGTGGAGTGTGGAGGTGTGGAGTGTGGAGGTGTGGAGGACGTGGAGGCATGGCAGCAGCACGACCTTCAAGCAGTCATGATTAGAGGGAGGCTTCGGCCGAGGAAGAAAGACTTGAGCATCAATCGTTCGATGCCATCTGGCGACCACTGATAGGTTGTTATGTCCGATATGATTTCCCTGAGAAAGGGGATGAGGTGATGGGAAGGGAGTGGAGGGATGCGTGGGTATACGTTACTGAGCAGGTTTTCTAATGATAGGACTTCAGGAGCAATAGTCTCGATGCCATCTGGCAACCACTGATAGGCCGTAATGTCCGATATGATTTCCCCGGAGAAGGGGAAACAGAAAAGGGGAGGATGGGTGAGAAGAGGGGAGAAGAGGGATGGGAAGGTAGGCGCATTTGAGGTGCAGTTATGTGTGTATGTGGATGCATGTGTGTGTGTACGTACGTGTTCGTCTCTGTATGTCTGTGTGTTTGCACAAGAAACACTCACCTGTGAGGTGTGAGGAACTCCAAATACGCGTTCTTGAGCGTGCGGGCGAAGCGAATCCTCGTCTTCTTCCTCTGCGAGTCGCTGATTACGATCCAACGGTTCTGCTCCAACGCCACCTCCTCAAAAGCTGAGTTGAACTTCTTTAGCCTGAGAGGAAGAGAGTCGGACAGGGTAAAACGAGGGCAACACAAGTCAATGCAAGTCAATGCAAGTCAATGCAAGTCAAACTAAGAGCAAACTAGATCCTCGTTTTCTTCCTCTGCGAGTCGCTGATCACGATCCAACGGCTCTGCTCCAACGCCACCTCCTCAAACGCCGAGTTGAACTTCTTCAGCCTGAAAGCATCAACAGAGATGAGTCAGGTCTGAGATCTCAGACTGCTCATCATCACCATCCAGCAGCTTGCCTTTTGAGTCGACTCAAAAGTCACCTCGTTACAATGGCTCAGGTCTGAGATCTCAGACTGCTCATCACCGTCCTTCTCATCAGCAGCTTGCACCAGCTTGTATCATATGATCTCCCACGCAAAGCTCTCTCTCCTACGCGGCTGCTCGCTGGAGATGTCTGAAAGCCTGAGATCTCAAACTGCCCATCACCATCCAACGGCTTGCTCCAAGTCAGTTAGAGACACGGAGTCCAAGTCACCACAGGTGTGTTTTGAGTCGACTCAAAAAACACAGTTAGAGACAGGGAGTCCAAGTCAACACAGGTCAACGCAAGTCAGGAAAAGTCAACACAGATATTAGTGAAGGGTCAAGGGTCAACAACACACCTGGATTTGACTGCATCCGCGCTGAGCTTTGCAGACACCTCCTCAGGCGCCAAGCACGCCATGAGCTGCGGGAGAAAGGGAAAAGAAGGAAGTGGGAGAGGGAGAGAGCATTGCTTTGGAGTAGGCCCATCACAGAAGTGACTGCATCCGCGCTGAGCTTTGCAGACACCTCCTCAGGCGCCAAGCACGCCATGAGCTGCGGGAGAAAGGGAAAAGAAGGAAGTGGGAGAGGGAGAGAGCATTGCTTTGGAGTAGGCCCATCACAGAAGTGACTGCATCCGCGCTGAGCTTTGCAGACACCTCCTCAGGCGCCAAGCACGCCATGAGCTGCGGGAGAAAGGGAAAAGAAGGAAGTGGGAGAGGGAGAGAGCATTGCTTTGGAGTAGGCCCATCACAGAAGTGACTGCATCCGCGCTGAGCTTTGCAGACACCTCCTCAGGCGCCAAGCACGCCATGAGCTGCGGGAGAAAGGGAAAAGAAGGAAGTGGGAGAGGGAGAGAGCATTGCTTTGGAGTAGGCCCATCACAGAAGTGACTGCATCCGCGCTGAGCTTTGCAGACACCTCCTCAGGCGCCAAGCACGCCATGAGCTGCGGGAGAAAGGGAAAAGAAGGAAGTGGGAGAGGGAGAGAGCATTGCTTTGGAGTAGGCCCATCACAGAAGTGACTGCATCCGCGCTGAGCTTTGCAGACACCTCCTCAGACGCCAAGCACGCCATGAGCTGCGGGAGAAAGGGAAAAGAAGGAAGAGGGCGAGGGAGAGAGCATTGCTTTGGAGTAGGCCCATCACAGAAGTGACTGCATCCGCGCTGAGCTTTGCAGACACCTCCTCAGGCGCCAAGCACGCCATGAGCTGGTGGGAGGGGAGAATGGAGAGAGAAATAAGCAGGAGAGTCATATAAGCTGGCGAGGGGGAAGTGAGTGAGTGGGCGAGAAAGACATCAAAAGCAGGAGCAGAGACACATTATAGGCACGGGCACATGCATGGCGTGATTATACAGAGGTTCTCGACAAAATTCACTCACAGCCTTGATCCAAGATTGCCCCATAATCTGCAACACAGTCTCCCAGGGGTTTAGGGCTCCCAGGGGTTTAGGGCTACTGGAAATCCTTTTGAGGCGCCTCAAAAGGGCTACTGGAAATCCTTTTGAGGCGCCTCAAAAGGGCTTCTGGAAATCCTTTTGAGGCGCCTCAAAAGGGCTTCTGGAAATCCTTTTGAGGCGCCTCAAAAGGGCTTCTGGAAATCCTTTTGAGGCGCCTCAAAAGGGCTTCTGGAAATCCTTTTGAGGCGCCTCAAAAGGGCTTCTGGAAATCCTTTTGAGGCGCCTCAAAAGGGCTTCTGGAAATCCTTTTGAGGCGCCTCAAAAGGGCTTCTGGAAATCCTTTTGAGGCGCCTCAAAAGGGCTTCTGGAAATCCTTTTGAGGCGCCTCAAAAGGGCTTCTGGAAATCCTTTTGAGGCGCCTCAAAAGGGCTTCTGGAAATCCTTTTGAGGCGCCTCAAAAGGGCTTCTGGAAATCCTTTTGAGGCGCCTCAAAAGGGCTTCTGGAAATCCTTTTGAGGCGCCTCAAAAGGGCTTCTGGAAATCCTTTTGAGGCGCCTCAAAAGGGCTTCTGGAAATCCTTTTGAGGCGCCTCAAAAGGGCTTCTGGAAATCCTTTTGAGGCGCCTCAAAAGGGCTTCTGGAAATCCTTTTGAGGCGCCTCAAAAGGGCTTCTGGAAATCCTTTTGAGGCGCCTCAAAAGGGCTTCTGGAAATCCTTTTGAGGCGCCTCAAAAGGGCTTCTGGAAATCCTTTTGAGGCGCCTCAAAAGGGCTTCTGGAAATCCTTTTGAGGCGCCTCAAAAGGGCTTCTGGAAATCCCTTTGAGGCGCCCCAAAAGGGCTTCTGGAAATCCTTTTGAGGCGCCTCAAAAGGGCTTCTGGAAATCCCTTTGAGGCGCCTCAAAAGGGCTTCTGGAAATCCTTTTGAGGCGCCTCAAAAGGGCTTCTGGAAATCCTTTTGAGGCGCCTCAAAAGGGCTTCTGGAAATCCGTGCACTCAAACTAAGAAAACGGGTAGAGAGCTGCAAGCTCGGTTCGACCGACCTGACTAATCTGATGAAATCACTGAGTAGTAATCTGCAACACAGTCTCCCAGGGGCTTAGGGATTTTGGAAATCCGTGCACTCACCTCTTGCTCACGAATGAAGAAGTGTTTTGAGACGTCTCAAAACAATCCGTGCACTCACCTCTTGCTCACGAATGAAGAAGTGTTTTGAGACGTCTCAAAACAATCCGTGCACTCACCTCTTGCTCACGAATGAAGAAGTGTTTTGAGACGTCTCAAAACAATCCGTGCACTCACCTCTTGCTCACGAATGCACTCACCTTTGCAAGGCCTGCCTTATCGAATGCACTCACCTTTGCAAGGCCTGCCTTATCGAATGCACTCACCTTTGCAAGGCCTGCCTTATCGAATGCTGCCTCATACGCTGCAATGCGGTCCTGCTGCTTCAGAAGCATTTCTGTGTGAGTTGCAATCAGTGTATCACTCTCACCACTCAACATACCTTTGCAAGGCCTGCCTTATCGAATGCTGCCTCATACGCTGCAATGCGGTCCTGCTGCTTCAGAAGCATTTCTATGTGAGTTGCAATCAGTGTATCACTCTCGCCACTCAACATACCTTTGCAAGGCCTGCCTTATCGAATGCTGCCTCATACGCTGCAATGCGGTCCTGCTCCTTCAGAAGCATTTCTGTGAGTTGCAATCTGTGTATTACTCTCGCCACTCAACACACCTTAGCAAGGCCTGCCTTATCGAATGCTGCCTCATACGCTGCAATGCAGTCCTTCAGCATTGTCTAAAACACCTAGCAGCGACCCATCACGAATCCACACACCTTTGCCAGGCCTGCCTTATCGAATGCTGCCTCATACGCTGCAATGCGGTCCTGCTGCTTCAGTGCGTCCTTCATCCTCGTTGCAACACTGGCGGGTGGAAGAGGGAAGAAGAGAGCAAAACGAGGGGATGAGATGGGAGCAGAGGGACTCAATCCTGCTGCTTCAGTGCATCCTTCATCCTCGTTGCAACACTGGCGGAGGGGAGACAGGGAAAGAGAGGAGAGCAACGTGGGGCACAGGGTTTCTTTCTTGTTTGTTTCCTGTCAGAGGCAGAAGAACCCACAGCAGGTTGCCACCCACAGCAGGTTGCCACCCACAGCAGGTTGCCACCCACCACTTACATGGCCTCCCATGCCCCACTCACATGCTGCCAGCCACATAGTGCGCGTTGTTCATCACAAACACTGCTCCCTATACTCACACACATGCTGCGACACTCACATTTTCCACTCACTCATGCACTCACATGCTGCCAGCCACATAGTGAGCGTTGTTCATCACAAACAGCGCCCCCATCGCAGGGTCCTGTATCGCCCGCCCTCTCGCCTCCATGTTGAATAACAACGAATCCAGCAACCCCTCCATCTCTGCCGCCAGCTGGCGCCTGCCGCCCGCACTCGGGTGCTGCAGCTGATTCCCCCCTTGACCTGCTTGACTCCCGCCTTGACTCGTTTGACCTCCACTTTGACCACCTCTTTGACCGCCGCTTTGACTTCCTTGACTGCCTTGACTGCCCTGGCTTCCCTGCATGCCTCTGCTGCTGTGCCCCCCTTGGCCGCTATGCATTGCTCCTAGTTTACTCCCCCCCGTCTTGCTCCCCCCGCTGCTCCCCCCCGCCTTCCCCCCTCCGCTTCCCCCTCCCGCTCCCCCTCCCCCTCCCCTATCCCTGAAACTCGCCCCACCTATAGTAGCCAGGCCTATGAGCCTCTTATCTGCTGCGTGCCTTTTATAGACCATTTCTAGGGTTCCATAGTGGTCCGCACGGCTCTCCCGATCCATTAGTTGTGCGATGAAGTTAATAACGTAGCTTGTCACTTTATGCACGCCAATATCCACTTCTTCATCGTTGGTTGTTTTCTGCTCCGAGGACTTCCAGTGAATCAGCCTATAAGGGGTATGTGTGAGGCAAAGCAGTGTGAAAAGAACGGGAGAAATTGTGGCTCCATCAATCATCACCTCAATATTCATAAAACGTGCCTGAGAATGAGGTTTGAGGCTTGTGTGTGGAAATTCCCCCCTCAAGGATTTCGACTCCGGGGTGGACCAACTTACGTGAAAAAAGGAGTGTTTTGAGACGTCTCAAAACATCACCCCTCAAGGATTTCGACTCCGGGGTGGACCAACTTAGAAAACAATACAACTGCCTGCACCAACCCTTCCTTCCTCACATGAGCAGACTTTTGAGTCGACTCAAAAGTCACTTAGAAAACAATACAACTGCCTGCACCAACCCTTCCTTCCTCACATGAGCAGACTTTTGAGTCAACTCAAAAGTCACTTAGAAAACAATACAACTGCCTGCACCAACCCTTCCTTCCTCACATGAGCAGACTTTTGAGTCGACTCAAAAGTCACTTAGAAAACAATACAACTGCCTGCACCAACCCTTCCTTCCTCACATGAGCAGCTTCTTCTTCATGGGAGAGTTTCCAGACGCCTTTGTTGGCCGGTACAAACGTCCCCACCCACTTCCCGGAGGTTCTGAGGATACAGCCGTCCCACTCTGACCATAACCTCTGCTCACCTGAGCAGCTTCTTCTTCATGGGAGAGCTGCCAAGGCCTGGTTGGCCGGCACGAACGCCGCCACCACGTTCCCGAGCTGCAAGAGAGAGGCTCAGCCTACCCTGCAAGAGAGAGGCTCAGCCTACCCTGCAAGAGAGAGGCTCAGCCTACCCTGCAAGAGAGAGGCTCAGCCCACCCTAGGGAACTTGGGAAAACAAGGCTCAGCCCAACCAAGCCTCACCTGAGCAGCTTCTTCTTCATGGGAGAGTTTCCAGACGCCTTGTTTGCTTCTTCTTCTTGGGAAAACAAGGCTCTGGCGAAGAGCTGCGAGAGACTTGCCTGCCACAGTGGCACCCTAAGGCTTGCATTCTTACACCCAACCAAGCCTCACCTGAGCAGTTTCTTCTTCATGGGAGAGCTACCGGACGCCTGGTTGGCCGGCACAAACCCTCCCATGGCCCAGCTTGTGCTCTCTTCCCCTAATGCATCGCATGTGTTCATCCCCCTCTCACCTCAGTAGTTTCTTCTTCATGGGCGAGCTACCGGACGCCTGGTTGGCCGGCACAAACGCTGCAACGTCCCTGAGAATGCGGTTGAGGTCGTCGAGAGTGGCAAAGATGGCTCCGGCAAAGAGCTGCGAGAGGCGCTGCCAGAGCTTGAATGGATCGTCTGAATCGCTCTTGGGGAGAGCGAGGAACACCGGCAGGGCCTGAACCGGGGAAAAAGGGGAGGTGTGGAGGGGGGAAAAGGGGGAAGAATGGGGGAGGAAACAGGAGCTGCGAGAGGCACTGCCAGAGCTTGAAGGGATCGTCTGAATCGCTCTTGGGGAGAGCGAGGAACACTGGCAGGGCCTGAACCGGGGAAAAAGGGGAGGTGTGGAGGGGGGAAAAGGGGGAAGAATGGGGGAGGAAACAGGAGCTGCGAGAGGCACTGCCAGAGCTTGAAGGGATCGTCTGAATCGCTCTTGGGGCGGGCGAGGAACACGGGAAGGGCCTGTTTAAGCGGGGTGGAGAGAGAAAAGGGGCAAAAGAGCAGGGAGAGACAGGGGATATGAGAGGCAGGCGCTGCCAGAGCTTGAATGGGATCGTCTGAGTCGCTCTTGCGGAGAGCGAGGAAGACCGGAAGGGCCTGCCAAAGGGGGGATGGGGGAAGGGAGTGAGGGGAGGGGAGGAAACAGGAGCTGCTAGAGACGCTGCCAGAGCTTGAAGGGATCGTCTGAGTCACTCTTGGGGAGAGCGAGGAAAACCTCCTGCTGGGAGGGAAGGAAGGTGAGTCAGGGAAAGAAGGGGGGTGGGGGGGAGAGAGGGGAGTGGGAGAGGGGAAGGTGTTGGAGAAGGGAAGTAAGTGGGAGAGGCCGACAGCATGGGAGTGTTGAGATTGTCAGGATGAAGAACAACTGTGATACTGACTCATGAGTTACAGTGTTACCATGTACGACAGTAGAGTTACCCTAACTACGAGACGAGGTGATATGTCCACATGTCCACCACCTCAGGGGCGCTCTTAGACGCAGCGATGGCTGCAGCATTCACCTCTCATTATAACTAATTACCACCTCTAGTAACTAGCTGGTTACCAACTCTTGTAACCCACTAACCTGAGGGGAGAGGTCAACCACGGTGCAGTATGCCTCCAACAGGGCGAAGATCTTTTCAGTGGCTACCATAGAGGAGAGGGTATTACCTCCTGCACTGCACTGAAGGACCATCTGGTTACCACCTCTTGTAACTGGTTACCACGTGCACCAGGCATACCTGTGGGGAGAGGTCAGCCACGGTGCGGTATGCCTCCAGCAGGGCAAAAATCTTCTCAGGGGCGCTCTTAGACGCAGCAATGGCTGCAGCATTTGCACACAGTGCACACAGGGTCGACTTCACGCCGCCCACCGACCCCACTAGATGCCGAAACACGCTGTCCGGACTCATCAGGTGCTCCCCGGGTTTCCGGGCAACCTGCTCCGTGCGCTTGCTGCTGCTCTCAGGTGTACTCTCAGGTGGATTCTCAGGTGGGCTCTCAGGTGCTCCCTCAGGTGTATTCTCAGGTGTGCTCTGGGACGTGCTGTGGGTCGTGCTGTCATTCGCCTTCAGCGCCTCGGGAGCAGGCTCAGGAGTTTCTTCAGGTGTTTCACACATGGGGTCAGGATGCGAGAGGAGATCCGAACCAGAGTCAGGAACGGCTGGGGTCGAAGCACTGTCGGGTGCAGAAGCTACAGCAATGACGGTGGTAACAGCAGCGCCGGCACTACTGCTATTGCCGCTGCTGCCGCTACTGCTGCCGCTGGTGGCACTGCTGCTGCTGCTATGGCTGGTGGGTGGAGAGGCGTCGAGAACGCCCTTGATGAGCTGATGCTCGGAAAAGAAGAGAACTCGCAGCTGGTGGGGGGAAGCATGGGAAACACAGGGGTAGGGAGGAGGGCAAGAGGGCCAAGGGAGAGCGCGCAAGGGTGAGGTGAGAGAGGGTGAGGGAGGGGATGGGGTTGGAGAGGCGTCGAGGATCCCACCCCACTGATGAGTTGATGCTCGGAAATGAAGAGAACGTGCAGCTGGTGGGGGAGAGCATGGGGGACAAGGGAACCGAGTGGGATAAGGGGTTGGAGGGAATGAAGGGAAGGTGAGAAATGGAATCGGTTGGAGAGGCGTCGAGGACCCCACCCCACTGATGAGTTGATGCTCGGAGATGAAGAGAACGCGCAGCTGGTGGGGGGGAGCATGGGAAGCAGGAGAACCAAGAAGGGAAAGACAAGACACAGGGAAGGGAAAGACAAGACACAGGGAAGGGAAAGACAAGACACAGGGAAGGGAAAGACACGACACAGGGAAGGGAAAAAGGGGTGAGGTAAGGAAGAAGGGAGGGAAGGAGGTGTGTAGGAGGCGAAGGACAGGGGAGGGGGGAGAGGGTAAGAAGAAGAAACAGACCTTAATTCTGAGCCCTTAACTTGCTCATGGCTCACCAGGATGCTGATGTCTCTGATCCACAGCTTGATCAACGGCTCTAGATCCGCCCACGCCATGGCCTGCGTCTCCTCTGCTGTGTACTCTTTCATGCTCACACTCTCCACCGCACTCGCCACCGTTGCCTGCCTCGCCTTGCTGCATAACAGTCAAGGGAAGCACAAGGAAAGGTTATCGACAAGCATGACATGCCCTGCTATCCCCTGCCACGCCATGGCCTGCGTCTCCTCTGCTGTGCACTCCTTCATGCTCACACTCTCCACCGCACTCGCTGAGCCACGGCACCTCTGCCACCGGCAACCACTCCGCCCACTCGCCCACTGCCCTACTCTCCTGCTCGCCCACTCCCCCACTCGCCCACTCGCCCACTCGCCCACTGCCCTACTCTACTGCTCGCCCACTCCCCCACTCCCCCACGCGCCCACTCCCCCACTCGGTCTCTCCTCCCCTCCCATCCCACGCACTCACCAGTATACAGACGCGAAGTGCTGCTTCCCTCGCGCTCGGATGACCACAGCAGCCGCCCTGCTGAGCCACGGCACTTCTGCCACTGGCAACCACTCCGCCCACTCGCCCACTCAGTCGTAGCCCACCTCACCCACCACCCCACGCACTGACTCACCAGTAGAGCGCAGCAAAGTGCTGCTTCCCTCGCGCTCGGATGACCACAGCAGCTGCTTTCCTGAGCCACGGTACCTCTACCACCGGCAACCACTCCGCCCACTCGCCCACTGCCTGTAGCTCCTTGCATATCGCTGCTGCTCCTGCTGCTCCTGCTGCTCCTGCTGTTCCTGCTCCTGCTGCTGCTGCTCCTGCTGCTGTTCCCTTACCCAGCATATTTCCAATTCCAGCACCAGCAGCGCCAACAGCAGCAGCGGTAGCAGCAACAGTGCCAGCGCCAGCAGCAACAGCGGCCGCAGTCTGAGCAGCAGGTTTGGCATCAGCGGTAGCAGAGACTGTTCCTGCTACTCCTCCTGCTGCTGCTTCTGGGGCTGCTTCCGCTGCTGTTACTGCTGCGACGATGGCACCTGCATCACCAGCAGCAGCCGAAGCACCATAAGCAGCAGCGACACCAGTAGCACAAGCAGCACCACCAGTAGCACAAGCAGCACCAGCAGCAGCTGCTCCAAAAGTGGGCGTGACTATACCGGTGGGAGTACACCCAGACCCATCGGAATAAACTGGGGGAATGGTGATTCTAGGGGGCGGAGCGGTGGAGTCTCCATCCCCAACAGCACTAGCAGCAGCAGAGCGAGGCAGGGATAAGGAATTAGACGATACGATTCCGAGCTTGTTTTGTTGGACAGGAAAGGAGGAGGAGCACTGCAGGGTTGGCTGGGTGGCGGATCGAGATTTCATCACACCCCCTCCTCCTTCAACCACGCCAATGCTGCTAACACCATCAACAGCAGCAGCTGCACCTGCTGCTCCCACTGCTCCTGCCACATCCGACCCAATAAACAAAGTCTCCAACGGGCCACTCACAGCAGCAATGCTGCTGCTGCTCGTGTTCGTGCTGCTGCTAGCAGTAGCCGTCAGCACAGCATCAGAGAGCGTGGATTGAGGGGTAGAACACCCCACAGGAGACAAAAGAGATGACCCAGTCCCACCACCCATGGGGGACAACAGAGACGGACCAGGGCCCCCACTCGTCCCCACACTCCCCCCACCGCCCGCCACCCCACCTTCCGAACCTGTCCCTGAGGCTCGGCCTGAGCCTAGCGGCGAGGAGGCTCGGGCAGACAGCGACGCGTTGTACTCAATCAGCATCGGATCGTCGAACAGAAACTGGCTCGCGGCTCTCCCATGCTGCTTGTTAGCAGGGGAGGAAGGCGAGGGGGGTGGCCTAGCCCCAGATGGGGTATACTTCCCTCCCCCACTCCCTTCTCCCCCGTCCCCTCCCAAACCCTTAGAGAACAGATTCCCCGTAACCGAAAACGACCCCCCCCGGCGGTTCCCTCCTGCCCCTGCCCCGAAACCTGCCGCGCTCCCACCTGCACCTGCTCCCGCCCCTCCTCCTCCCCGGGTTCTCGGGCTGGGGAGAATCGCGAGGTTTTGCATGTGAAGTGCGGCTTTAAGAATGTGGAGGTTGAGCTTTCTGTTGGAATTGGATAGGACGGTTGTGAATTCTTGCTCGAGCAGGTCTAGCGCGTGGGAGAGTGGTGCGTCTATGCGGGAAAGGAGGGTTTGAATCTCCTGTAGGGAGCCTTCGGCGGTTTGACTTGCTTGACTGGCCAACTCAGTTTGACCGGTTTGACTGGTTTGACCAGTTTCACTTGCTAGGCTTTTACCTGGTTCGTCCAAAGAAAGTTGCTCCTCCAGCTGCTGCCACGGTGACAACTCTGGTGGCGCTGCTGGTGCTGCCACTAGTGACGTTTCCTCTGCTGCTGCACCTCCCCCTCCTTCCCTACCAGCCTCACCCCTCCCCCCTCCCCCTCCTGCACTCTCTTCCGCGCCCTCAGTCCCCTCGACTCTCTCAGTTTCCCCTTCTGCGCGCGGGGCTCCCCCCAGGGGGGCGCGCGCGGCTGTGAGGCGCGCTTGGAGGTCCAGCAGGCGCGAGAGGGCGGGCAGGACGGCGTCCGCCTGCCGCCGGGGGTGGCGCGAGCAGGCGCGCAACAGCTGGGGGAGGGGGAGTGGGGGGAGAGGGGTTGGGAGGGGAGGGAGAGGGGAAGGAGGTGAGGGCGGGTAGGACGGCTTCCGCCTGGAGCCGGGTGTCGCGCAACAAGGCGCGCAGCAGCCGTGGAGGCGGGGGGGTGGGGGAGTAAGGGGGAGTGGGGGAGGGACGGGGGAAGGAGGTGAGGGCGGGCAGGACGGCGTCCGCCTGCCGCCGGGTGTGGCGCGAAATGGCGCGCGCAGCTGGGGAGGGCGGGCGGGGGGCAGGATAGGATGGAAGGCAGGTTCGGTGGAAGCTGGCTAGGGTTCGATGGGAAGGAGGACCGCCGGGAGAAGGAGGACGAGGAGAATGGTTCAGAAACGGAAGTGAAGGAAAGAAGATTAAGAGAGGGAACATCCTGTCGCTTACACACACTGGATAATAATGCATCTATTTGAGTCTACCGACACACTTGAGACGTCTCCAAACGCCTCAAGACACACTCTTTCATCGTAAGTTTTTTACAATTGTAGTATTTCCATTAATAACCCTCTTACCTCTGGTAGCGAAGCGTTGGCATCGCGTACGAGCTCTTCATGGCTGCTGCCGCTGCTGTCCCGTCTCGAATCGGAAAGACTTTTTGCTACAGGATCTTCTATCATTTCGCTAGTAACGGCAGCAGAAACCCTAATTTTCTGGTTGCCCTCCGCTTCTTCCCCCTCCATCACAGGGGACGTTCCTGACCGTTGGATTTTCAGGGCCTGATCTCCGCCGTCCCCGTCGCGATCTGAGGCGAACGAGGTGTTGCACGAGGCGAAACGACAGCTGCTGATGTTGTGGTCGTCTAGGGTCATGTTTACGCTGGCGATGGCGACATTAACGACGTCATAAGAGACAGCAACGACAGTTGTTGATGTTGCGGCCGTCTCGCGACGCGCTCGTGCCCTTCGTGGGCTCGGCAATAAGGGCTTCTAATCCGTGCTATAACGGGGACATCAAGCTATTCCTCATAGGGGGGTGCGTAGTGATAGCTACTAGTAATGCCGCGAGCGTTTTGTGAAATGCTCACGTTGGCGACATTAACGAACAGCGGCGACAGCGGTAACTTGGAAGAAAGGCGGCAGAAGAAGCAGGAGCGAAGGTCGTTACAGCAACAGGTCGCTCGGACTGAATGGGCATCCCTGAGCTGCTGTCTAGTAGCGTCTGGTAACGGACTAAGGGCATTGAACCTAGAACTCAGTATTGAAACTTGGGGCACTGTGAACGCAAGCAGTGGTAGACTGATGACACTTGACACTTAGAAACGAAGAGTGACAGCTTCTGCTGCTGACAATGCGGGAAGCAGATTGCGAACGAGAAAGAGCTAACAAGCAGGTAGAGGGAAACTTGTCAGATTTAGGTTCTATGGCGGTAGTCCCCTGCACGCGGGTATCTGCATGCTACGCTCCAGAGTGTTAGAAAACCAGGCGCCTCGGTGAGTCTGAGCGTTTCTACCATCATTTATATTTAAATATAGACTCCAGCAAATTGGTATCTAGTCCTAACTCACGATGTGCGTGCACATTCTCCAACAATGCTTCAACTCCGTTATCTCGCAGCACATTTCTACCTCACGCAGCGTTGCACAGCAATAAGTTATTGCACAACTCCGCTGGTTAGGTCAACGTCACGATGACACTACTCATGAGAACTGCTATGCCACTTTTCTGACAACTGGGATGACAAGCGAGCTGAGCTGACTGGCAAACTTCACTATTCTGACGCACCAGATAAGTTCACCCTCACCCTGATTACTACGGTTACGTAAGTTTCTGATCGTTTGAAGAGGGTAACATACAGCTAACAAACGGTTTTAGCGAGCTTTAGCAAAGTGGAGCCACTGCTGATATGGCAATATGGCGCGAAACCAACATTTGGGAGATGGGAGAGGGAGACGAGACGGGCAAAAAGGTGATGAAACGAGGCGCGGAGTGTGCCCTTTCTGCTGTGTTTGCTTCCGCCAAGAATCCCCTTGTTCAAGTGAAACTTGCGCATGCTCTGCGCCCCGCTGGTTTGTTCCGCGCGACAATAAAGTGGTTGCGCACGTAACGGCTTGGCTGGCAGGACACACGTGCTGCGGCGTTGATTGAGGGGAGGGGCTGCTGTAGATCAAGTGGGCCTGTGGGATGACATGGACGGACTTGGCTTGAGTCCGCTCCGCAAAAGCTCAGTTTTTCATCCTAAACTGTAAACGAATTTGGCAAATCTGTATAGAAACTGTGAATAGCTCATAATGAATGCTTACTCAAAATGGAGCAAGGGACAGCCCCCAGGGGCGTCAATCTGGGAGAACATGGTAAAAAATGTTGGGTGGAGGACATCTTTGGCTTGTCAGATAAATTGCCTTACGGTCACTTGAGAAAGGAGCCTTTGTGTGGAACGACTCGATGCTGCTGTAAGTAGTCTAATCTTGTTCCAGATTGGATCATTGGACAGCCTTCGGCAGCTCTGTACTTCAAGAAAATTCAATTAGCTTTCAGATGCTCTATGCCAGGTGTTATACATCCTACTCATCTAACAACAGCTACACTTTCTGCCTTATTCACACCTCGCGGCCATACCCATTCGTGCATCACAGACCTATCCATTCACTGGTCGTGAAGGGCAGCAACACCAGGAAGCACCTTACCCTCCACCAGATCCAAGCCCGCGGTGTCACCCGTCGAGACATGGGTCAACTTGTTAGCGAATCCTGCTTGTTCGACTGCTGCCACGGTGTCACGGCCTAGGACGATGGTCGTGGCACCACGTTCCGTCATTTCTGCGAGCTTAGAAATAATGGCCTGCGATGGAACAGAGTACCGTAATAAGAGCAGGGATAAGGCGCAGTGGTAGAGTGATGATGAGAAGAGGACTCAGGGTTCCAATCAATGGTGACCCTGGATCAACATTAACAACCACATTTTCCAGCAGCAATTCAACATGGTTCCACGACTCACATTGGTTCCAGCCGCAAATTTCGGAAACTCGTTGACACCCATGGTGCCGTTCCAGAATATGGACTTGGCATCAGAGAGCTTCTGATCGTACGACCTGATTGTATCATCTCCGAGGTCCAGACCCATCCAGCCGTCCTGAATGGCTTTTATTGACACCATCTGGAGGTGGGACGGGGGAGGAGAGAGGGAAGCAACACACACGTGTCAGCAACAGCAGCACGGCCTGCTTCCCTTCCACCCATGCACCCTCCTCTCAGCATACTCTCAGACGCATTTTCACCCTAACGCCATGGTTACCAACTTCCCAACCATGGTAGCCTCACCTGGGTGTTGGCATGGGCATCGAATTTATCAGCGATATTGACGTCTGTGGGCAAGACCACCTGCACGCCCTTGGCTCACGCCTTCTCCATGAAACTGGCCGCCAGGCCAATCTGAGACCTCGAAAGTAGCCTCTCTCACCTGGGTGTTGGCATGGGCATCGAATTTATCGGCGATATTGACGTCTGTGGGCAAGACCACCTGCACGCCCTTGGCATTCGCCTTCTCAAGGAAACTGGCCGCCAGGCCTATCTGAGACTCCTCGCAGTTCGAGCTTCCAATCGATAAGCCCTGCGCCTTGTATAACGTGAAGATCAAGCCGCCGCCCAGCAGAATAACATCACATCTGGAAGGGGGGATGAAGGTGGGGAATTTATTATGCTCCAAGCCACCTTGACGACGAACTTGGTTGGCTTAAATGCTACCATGGTGGCCACCAGAGGCACTAAAGTCGAATATAAGCAACGAACGGAATCATCTCGAGACGATATTCAAATCGTCTCAGGGAGGCTCTCCTGCATGCCTGGAGTTACTTGAGAGAATTATGACAAGGAAAACATCTCAAGAAGATAACAATAAACACGGATAGTATCATGCTTGTCAAGAAGACTCTCCAGCAAGGTACTCTTTGAGGAAAGCTTGGATCCACCAACGAGTGCCATCATCGGACGTTGGGGCTCAGAGATGGCCTTAACCAAGTAATCCAGCTCCTGAACAAGACAATAACGAGTACACGGATCATGGACAAAAAAAGGTGTTATGATGGCGAGTGAAATAAAGACAGCATGAACATTATGATGTCAATAACGAGTACACAGATCATTATGATCATGTGTTTCCAACCGTTAAACTCAGGTTCTGATGGAGAAACGAAATGATAGCTTACCTTGGCCAGTGCAAGTCCAGCAACGGACTTGGAGTACCGGGTTATGGCAACGGTCGAAGCGTGTTCCGAGCTCGCCAGCCTCAACGCCTCATTAACGTACAGATCCGCATTTGCCGCGAGCTGCTGCGCGAAACCGGCGTCGTTCGTCGTCTCCCCGGCATGGAAGAGCAGGTTCTCGAGCAGCAGAACTTCACCCTCTGCGAGACTCGCGACGGCATTCGCGACGGCGTCGCCGATGCAGTCGTCAGCCTTCTTCACCTGCACATGCGACGTGCACATGCGCGCACAAACGAATGTTTTTTAGTATACTAAACCAGGGTAGTGGGAACAATACGACGAAAGCGTCATCTGCAAGTTTCGGTGCACAAAAAGATTCATAAAATGACATATCAAGTTAGTATCATGCACGGTTACGATGTTACGGAATGCACCAGCAGAACATTGTAGTCTTGAAAGACTGACCTCCTGACCGAGGAGCTCCGTGAGCCGAGGAACGATAAGTGCGACACTGAGGTTCTCGGCCTTGCGGTTCTGAACGATGAAAGATTGAATGATAATGAATCATGGGAGAATAAACGAGGATGAACGATGAAAGCATGAATGATGATGGATCGTGAAAGATTGAACGAGGATGGATAGTGAAAAAGTGAATGAGGATGCACCATGAAAGAAGGAACCAGGATGAATCCTGAAAATTTGAACGAGGATGAAGAATGAATGAGGATGATTCATGAATTGATGAATGAAGATGAATCATATGATGAATTATGAAAGGATGAATGAGGATGAATCATATGAACGAGGATGAATCATGAAAGAACGTAATGACCATATTAACAAGGATGAATAACGAAAGAATGAATTGGTGAACGATAACAAAACATTGGAAGTAATAATTAGCATATCGGTGGCATCGTTTCGTGGCATAAGGGCTGATTAGAAGGTTCCTCAGACTCCGAGTCGGTCAAGTACCTGATCATGGTGGAAACGGCCGCGCGAATGCGCGAAAAAACTTCTACCCATCGTTCCCTAAGACTCACCAGCTGGGTTGCAACGAGGACCTTAGTGTAACAAGACGGAATTCACCATGCGAGATGCATGGGAATTCCCGAACAGGACGTTGCCTAGCTAGTCACAGCACCACCTGCTAGCCTAGAGCACGCTCCTGTATCCCTGTCAGGAAGTTTAGTACAGCAAGGCATGGCATCGAGGCGCAATGCCAAGATGTCATGCTAGATGAAGTGGCGACGCGGTTTTCCTCCCAAGTCGCCATCCTTTCTTCCTAGCATAAATATCCATCTCCGAATCTTGTATAATCATCTCATCCTTGGATCATTCTAATCTTATCTTCTTGGAATCACTTCTTCCTAAATTCTCTCACCTACGTCTCTTGGAGCTAGGCCTCCTCTCCCTCTAGCCTATCTTCTCTTATTTCGCTGCGATTACTTTTCTCCTCTACTTTCAAGCTACGGTGCCTCCCTCCTTACTCGCTAGGCCGGCCAGGCCAGCTGCGCCGTGCGTCACTGCGCCGTAGCCTTGTTTCACTTAGCACCGTTCTCGGTCAAGTACTTGATGGTGGGAATGGCGAGGCGAATGCGTGCGTCGTCAATTATCTCTCCATTTCTGCGGTTGATAGGAACGTTCAGATCTGCCATGACCAGCACTCTCATTCCCCTGAGGCTGTTGCCAGCATTGGTCCACGAGGTAAGGGTTTTCTTTGTCATGATGGCGAGGAATATTAATATTCCGGAAAGAAACTAAAAGTAAGCCAGAGACTTCCAAGGAAGAAGCTCGAAGGAACCACAGATCTGAGGATTATTAAACTGGAAACTGGAGTCTCTTTTCTACTTGAAAGGAAGGCCCTCAGGAGAATAGCCACTCAGCGGAGGGTGAGTGGAGATCCATCCCGTCACCATGTCTCCACTCCAGCCTCACGTGGACATGAATGTGGACATGACTGGCCTGGCCACTCACTTGCGTGAAAGGGCAACAGTCGCGCAGTCAAGATCAGCATGATAAGATGCCGTGCCGTCACTAGCAGGGTACGAAAAAGAATCTGCGTAACACTCGAAGCTCAATGGCGACCTAACGGCACCGCACCAGAAACCTCTCAACCGAGCCCTAAATCTAAGATGTCTGACCTGCATCATTCGTTTTCACGCGCCGTCGGTCGCTTGCGCCGCACGTGAGGGCGCGCGGGCGGGCCCTCCCCAGGCATGGCATGCGCCGCAGGGGACAGGAAACAAGAAGCTGCGCGTGCGTAAAGATCAGGAAATACGTATGCCGACGGTTCGACGCGGTTCTCCTAAACGAAACAGAAATTCTGCACGGTCCTCCTAAGAGGCTAGCTTGAAGTTCTGTACAGTTCTATGTGTGGTCTGCTAGAAACTGCGACGCCGCCCGCGGCCTTGGCCACGAACATGGCGCCGACGGCGACGCGGGAGTATGGAGGTTTGGAAATCGGGATTCGGGGGATCGGGGGTCAAGATGGGACTTCCAATCATAAAATCTCCCTCCGCCAGCAAGAAGTTTTCGCGATTCACGACACCACCTGAACAGTGAACACCCTGCCACGTCCGTGACCCCATCCAAAAATTACATAGACGTCGAATTTCTGGGCGGCGAGCAAACGATGTTCGCTAACATTCACCTGTGCGCAACAGAAAACCTCGCGCAAAATTTCGCGCGGGGAAATGGAAATATTTGCCAACAAAACTCGCACATGCGCAACTCTTTACGAGTTCCGCGACTTTCGCTAGCCGCATCGTGAAATCGTGGTGACAAGTCGACGAGAGCCATCTATGATAATGCACCGTTAGCTAAGGATTCCCCGTTCAATTCATTAGCTTAGCGGGCTATGCTGCAGGGCCCAAAATTGGTTTAGGCCTACTCTTGCAAATCAGGGTACCAGGCCCTCCTAGAACAGACCCCTAGGGTAGAATTTTCCGTAGCCTGACTTCAGCAGGGTAACTCTGGCACTAGGCTGAATTGAGCAGGGTATTTTCGGGCCAATTCTGTTTTGGTTACAGTTTTGTGAGCTACGGTTTTAATTAAATCAGAAATAAAGTAATACACCCAAAGTCCATTCACTCTCAGCAGTCATACATGAAGTACACACCTACTCAGTGCCACCCCCACTGCCTACATCTTCTACAAACTGAGTCTGTGAAGCTCTCGTGGGGTCGAACTCCCTGGTGGATCGCCTCAGCCTCTCTCCACGAAAGATAGCGACCACCTCAAACCAGTCGACATCGTACCGCAGCAGGGAGCAACGCATCAGATGCTCCAGGCTTGTGTCGCCAAGGCTGCCACGGCCCCACGTCTTGATCAGATTCTGCTTCGAGAAGCCACGCTCGCATTCAACCGTGCTCAATGGCAGCACGGCCACTGACTGCCACATCCGCATGATGTTGGGGAAGGAGACACGCCATGCATCATCCCGCAGCATATTCGTCAGCGCCTGATGGAATTCCTCGTTGTTGTGCTGGGCGAACATTGTGGATGTAAACATCCACAGCTCCTGTTGGGCTCTCTTGTAGTCGAACCCTGTGGTGGGGCGGAGTGCGGGTGAAAGCTAAGCCGATGCTCGCACACACGGGTAGGGGTGGGGGGCATTAGTCCAACAGGCCACAGTATGCAGGATGTTCAATGGTTAACCTAATGTCAGGCATGAAAGTGACAACAAACATCATAACATGTGCAAGCGCTACAGAAGGCTTACCAGGCAGCTTGTGGTGGTATAACTTGTGCAGTTGGCCGAGCCACTTCTTGAAGGTTTCCAGTCGCTTCGTGTCGTCGGACACGTACGAGGCTGTGCGAAACAGCTTCGAGCCTTCCAGGAGCTCCAGGTCGCGCATCCGCCATTCCAGCTCCTTATCAATGGCGCGCACGTACTTGATCGACAACTCGACGCACGCAGTGACATCGCCTTCCGTCTCGTGTCCAGGCAGCGGGCGCTCGTGCAGCGTAAACTCAAACGTGACGGGATTCCCTTCCCCGTCTACGCCTTCCGCCTTCATCTCGCGCTTGTCCTTTGCCCCGTGCCTCTGAATGAACTCGGGAAGCTGCATTTTCTCGCCGCTACCAAAATGGTGTACAGGGTCGCGGAGGGAATACCGCGTCTTCAAACGCATCCTTGTCTGCTGCACGATGTGCGCAACAAGGGTTACGTCCACCTGCACAAGGGGATCGCACCGACTTAGTTAGTACACGTGCTTGCAAGCGACAACAAAGACGCCAGCAACAAAGACGCTTACCTGGCGCTACTGGAATCGCATGTTAAGGCTGTTCAGTTCCCAAAGCACATCCGCAAGAAAGCGGATGAGCCAGTGGAACTTGAACGAGGTCATCACCTCGTAGAGATCCGCCTTGTAATCCTTCATCACCACAATGGCCGCAGGGAGCACGTCTAGCAGGCGCTGTACCGCTTCACCGCGGGCGAGCCATCGTGTGTCGCTAATCCCCTGCGCCTCAAGATTCGTCTGGCAGAAAATCCGCTGCATCTCTTGAAACTTCGCGTAGTCTACGCAGCTGCGGCCGATGTGGTCAGCGAAGGCGCGCACGACGTCGTCGATCATTAGCAGGTCAGGTACCTCTTCTGCAGCATCACTGGCAGCGAGTGCCTCCCTGTACATAGAGGAAACACGACATATTGTTAGTCAGCGTGAGCATTTGGTAAGCGAGCAGCACGGAGCACACTACGGTGATGCTTACCGATGCGCGATACAGTGTGTTGAAGCCAGATGCGGAATGCGCATGCGAAGACGTGTCACGACTCCTCGGTTCTTGCCGACCATGACGCTGGCACCATCGGATGCGACGCTGGATATCTTCTGGAGATCCAGCCCGATACCTGTCAGATACTGCACAACAGCGGATGTGAGTGAGGCACCGTCACAACGGTCAACAGTAACCAGAGTCAAGAACTCTGTAACCACAGTGGTGTGCTGGAAGTACGTGGCGTATAGAATGAGGTGTTTCCCATTCACACGGTCCGTGCTCTCGTCGAGTTGAATCCCTATCCACGGGGATTCGAGCAGGTGCTGGCGCTGTGTCTCTTGAAGGTATGTTGAGAGGGCGCGCATGTTCTCTTTGAAGCCGTAACTGCCAGGGGACATCAAGGGTGGTTAAATACCACATTGGATAATATAGAACACAGCAAAAACACCAAATCAAGTAGTCACTTACTCTGTGTAGTACGCGCCGTAGCCGCCAGCGGGAGGCAGGTCTGGTAACCCCTCCTTCGCCAGAAACCAACACAGCGGGACGAACATCGCTATGGGTGCATCGGCCTTACAGACAAAGTGCGCGATGTGGAGGAGCCGAATGATGTGTCGTGTGGAAGCGTCTGTAGCCTGCCGTCGTGTGATTGAGGCCTGCTTTGCCTTCTCCGCTTCCGCCTTCTCCTGATGCTCCAACGACTCCTTGTATGCACGGGAGGAGGTGTGAGCGCGGATGCTGCCAATCTGGAGGTCCCGAGCGCCTTCGCCCTTCGCCCCATACGCGGTGTGCGCTAGTGGATCTCCATGCTTCACACAAATCGCACACTTCAAAGACGGACGACCGTTAGACATGCGGTGCAAACGTAACCATTTGAAGCTACCTGCCCACTGACCCTCAAACGTCTTCTTCACCGACTCATACTCAGCATCCGCCAGAGCGCTGGGTGGCGTTGGGTCGGCCGAAGGAGCAGGGCGCTTGTGTGAAGTAGCGTTTTTCGGAGGAGGGGCGCCCCACAGCGTCTGCTGCTTGTACGTAACTCCCACACGCGGTCGCTTGACGGGCGCGGTGCTGACCGTCGAAGGCGAAGCAGTAGGCGGCTTTGACAAGCCCTCGCCTCCTCCGATAACCAAATCTATGTCAGGATGTGGCTCCCACGCCGTGGGTGAGTCTGGCGGCTCGAACGGATAAACCGTTCCTACCACACATTCAGGTGACGGCTCACGAGGCGGCGGCTGAGCGATGGGCACGGCGTAGTTCTCGCTAAGGCGTGGTAAAACGCCAAGCACAGAGAGGCCGTTTCTCGCGCCATCAGGTGGATCGGGCTCTCTAGTGGGCATTGTTGAGGTGAAAGTTGGAGCATGGTTGAGAATGAGGGCCAAGCGAGAGACCCCCTCGAAGAGAACGACCCCCTGGCTGCCTCTCAACAGGCCGTTTCTTCCACGAGGCGCGAAGTGTATGGCCAGCAAATCAGGACTGCTGCTGAATTCTGTTGTCAAGGACAGCTTGAAGCTGTCTTTGACAGCAAATTCTGCTGTGTTGGCGGTGGGCATGGCGACGGGTGGCAAGATTCGAGAATGAGCTGGCAGCCCTATGTTTGTGGGGGTGTGGTACATTTTGTCACAAAGCGGACTGTGGTCTGATTCGCGTTAGAAAAGTTTCGATAAAAGGGTAGTGTACACCACACCTTGATTCCGACAGCCTAAACTTAAAACCAGTCAGGGTAAAAAAAAACATGTTCTTTTAAGAGAAGGGTAACTAATTCGCATTCCTGATTTTGGCAGGGTATTCCTGAAAAAACGGCCGACCCCCAGGGTAATCAGGGCGTTTTACCCTGATATTTTGGGCCCTGCTATGCTGATATGAATGCTGACTGCAAATGCAAACATACGTTTCGTCAATAAAGCTTACTAGCCTGCTGCGTCTTCCTTAGAAGCTACAGCAACTACCGCCGATTGTGAGAGACTGAACGAGCTGAGAGACAATGTCAGTTTAATCTATGTTTTTGTGGGGCGATTGGATGTTGAACTTCGCTGTCAGATAAATGTCGGCACGGCACTACAGATTCTATACCACTACACTCAACTTCACCAATCACTAAATTAGTGTCAAAGGGATGAAACTTGAGGCTCTGCATCTCACATATGGTAGTACTACACGACACACCAATAAAATTCTCCCTAAATCCACACCTCGCATTTATTATGCAAGATGGCTCAAGTCACATATCAGATGCTTTTGAAGCACACAATTTAAAAAACGAAGTGATTTCACCAACATGATCTCAACAATCTCGTCATTCCAACCCAGGCCTATTCAGCAACCGCGTTGGCTCTGATGCCACATGCTCCATTCTCCTTGAAACCACCGAAGACCTTCGACTGAACTGGTCTCCTCGTTCAACGGCACTGCCCATGCGCCCAGATGCCCCCATAAACATGTGCCCCTCCCCCACCCCCCCATAAGGCATCTGCTGCCCCAACTCTCTCAGCCTCTCTATCGATCGTGAGTGACTATCCGCCGTTTGTTGCAGCAAATCTCGATGAAACGTCCCCATTGCAGCTACTCTTTCTCTCTGCTCCTTCAGATTCTTCTGCCACCGCTTCCCCGGACCTAGATGGTTCCAGATCTTCCCCACCGCAGCTGTGGTTCGGACCAAGCCTCGGGACCCAGCCTCGGGTGACATGCCAGGTGTCGCTTGAGGATTGGCTGGGGACTGAGAGGCTCCCAGTCCAGCTGCGCCAGCTGTCAACCCCGGAGATCCTTCCATTCCCCCTCTTCCCGTCCCGTCATAATCATCATCATCATCCTCCAAAGCTCGAGTTAACGAGGACCGTTTGATTGTGCCCCCCTTGGGATCGTCGTTACCGTCGGATGAGCTCTTATGCATTCCACTGAGGGAGCTCTGCGCGCTAGTTGGAGTGGCGATCTGGGAAAACTGGCCTCCGAGGCTCAGACTAAGGCCCGGGCTCAGGCCCGGGCTGAGATCACAAGCCGCTGGTGGGAGTCCGGACCTGCCGTTGTTTGACCCGAGCCTGGCTAGGTTCGGGAGGCTGGCAGAGCTGTGCATGGCTTGGCAGGTCAGCATGGTATCAGAGCCTCTGGCAAGGCTGCTGTTGCTGGATACATGCGGTAATGCCGAGCGGTTACCAGCAACAATATGAACGACGCGGGCGTTACTGCTGCTGCTGGAAGCTCTCTGCATCATAGTAACAACATCGGCACCACTCATGCTCCCAAGGCGACCGCTCCCAGGGGAACTCCCAAGACTGCGGTGTGAAGCAAAAGAGTAGCCAGCAGCAGTAATCACGTGGGTAGTACTGCCGGTTGATGCCGACCGGTTCGAGAGAGGGCTGCTGCCTGCAGTAGTGAGAGCGCGGGTAAGCGGGCTTGCACCTGAAGCAGCAGCAGCGGCGGAAGCAGAGTGGTGAGAAATTACGCTGGAGCCGTCGTTATAGATCGAGACAAGTTCGGACCATGACTGGTGCAGATTGGTCTTTACTCGGGTGAGATTGGACCACGATCGGCTGTTGCTTCTGTCGGTGGTGCGATTGACACTGCTGCCAAAGTGCACCGTATTGCTGAAAGAGACCATGAGCCGTTGCTTCCTCTTCTGCTGCCCCTGCTGCGGCCCTCCTGCTGCTCCTGCTGTTTCTTCTGGCACCTCCTCATCATCCTCTAGGCTCCGTTGCTGCCGCTGCCGCCACGGCCGCTGCTTCACATCCTCTCTCTTGATCGGCTGGACAGGATACTTCTGCTGCTGCTGCCCCTGCTGCTGCTGCGTTTCACTCACTCTCCCAGCCCCGCCTCCACTCCCACCCTTTTCCTCCTCGTCCTCCTCCATCTCCCGGTCCCGATCCCTCCCAATTTCCGCCCCCTCCTCATCTTGCAATTCATCAAACACAAAGCTTTTTGGCAGGGCTTGGCTCGCTCGAAGACCTGTCTTCCTAGGGTCAGAAGCACCATTAGAAACACCTGCTTTTCTGGGATAGTCCCCTCCCTGTAAAGGCTCCGTCTCTCCAGTGTTTGTTCCGTGAGGGTTGCATGGGTTACCGTCGCTGTCGATGTAGTTGCTGTTGAAAGAGTTGCTTGATTCAGGGTTTGCTTGAGCTTTTTTCCTGGGGGAAATTTGTGCAAGCAGAAAAAACGGGCGCAAACATGGGCAGAAAACACGGGCAGGAAAGACGGGCAGAAAAGACAGGCAGGAAACACGGGCAGAAAACACGGGCAGGAAAATGGGCAAACAACGGGCCGGAATCATGCAATGCAAGGGTAGGGACAAGGAAGAATACAGCAGATACGGAAGGAGGGAAGGGAGCGAGAAGGGGAAGCAAACTGCACACGTGCATGCACGTGCAACACATGTATGCATATCTGTAGACAAGCACACACATGGTCACACACAAACGCACCTACACATCCACTCACATGTTGACATGCACGCGCACGCCTTGCACCATGATGATGTTTGGAAACAGCAGGCACGCCCCCAGTGACAGCCCCAGGTACACAAGCATGAAAGCACATGCACGGTAACTTACACCCACCCACATGCATGCACCCAAGTTCACCCATATGAACCGCACTGCACACCCACTCACATGTTGACGTGCACGCGCACGCCTTGCACCATGATGATGATCGCAAACAGCAGGCACGCCCCCAGAGACAGCCCCAGGTAAACAAGCATGATTCCGCTGAAACTGCGGAAGCCGAGTTGAAGGGTGGAGGAGGAGGCATCGTCGCACGATCCTGTTGTCTGCTCGGGGGAGAGTAGGGTTGGAAGGGGGGTTAGGGAGCAGAAGAGGGGTTAGAGACAGCCCCAGGTAGACAAGCTACACAAGCATGATGCCTCAAAGCATGCTCCGAGGGACAGGCCGCTGAAACTGCGGAAGGGTGGAGGAGGAGGCCTCGCCGCACGATCTGGTTGTCTGTTCAGGTTGGAGTGGGGCCGGGTTTGGGGACAGAAGAGAAGAAGGAAGAATTGTTGAGGAGCCCCAGAAACAGCCTCCCAGAGACAGCCCCCAGAGACAGCCCCCAGAGACAGCCCCCAGAGACAGCCCCCAGAAACAGCCTCCCAGAGACAGCCCCCAGAGACAGCCCCCAGAGACAGCCCCCAGAGACAGCCCCCAGAGACAGCCCCCAGAGACAGCCCCCAGAGACAGCCCCCAGAGACAGCCCCCAGAGACAGCCCCCAGAGACAGCCCCCAGAGACAGCCCCCAGAGACAGCCCCCAGAGACAGCCCCCAGAGACAGCCCCCAGAGACAGCCCCCAGAGACAGCCCCCAGAGACAGCCCCCAGAGACAGCCCCAGAGACAGCCCCCAGAGACAGCCCCCAGAGACAGCCCCCAGAGACAGCCCCCAGAGACAGCCCCCAGAGACAGCCCCCAGAGACAGCCCCCAGAGACAGCCCCCAGAGACAGCCTCCCAGAGACAGCCCCCAGAGACAGCCCCCAGAGACAGCCCCCAGAGACAGCCCCCAGAGACAGCCCCCAGAGACAGCCCCCAGAGACAGCCCCCAGAGACAGCCCCCAGAGACAGCCTCCCAGAGACAGCCCCCAGAGACAGCCCCCAGAGACAGCCCCCAGAGACAGCCCCCAGAGACAGCCCCCAGAGACAGCCCCCAGAGACAGCCTCCCAGAGACAGCCCCCAGAGACAGCCCCCAGAGACAGCCCCCAGAGACAGCCCCCAGAGACAGCCCCCAGAGACAGCCCCCAGAGACAGCCCCCAGAGACAGCCCCCAGAGACAGCCCCCAGAGACAGCCCCCAGAGACAGCCCCCAGAGACAGCCCCCAGAGACAGCCTCCCACCCAGAGACAGCCCCCAGAGACAGCCCCCAGAGACAGCCCCCAGAGACAGCCCCCAGAGACAGCCCCCAGAGACAGCCCCCAGAGACAGCCCCCAGAGACAGCCCCCAGAGACAGCCCCCAGAGACAGCCCCCAGAGACAGCCCCCAGAGACAGCCCCCAGAGACAGCCCCCAGAGACAGCCCCCAGAGACAGCCCCCAGAGACAGCCCCCAGAGACAGCCCCCAGAGACAGCCCCCAGAGACAGCCCCCAGAGACAGCCCCCAGAGACAGCCCCCAGAGACAGCCCCCAGAGACAGCCCCCAGAGACAGCCCCCAGAGACAGCCCCCAGAGACAGCCCCCAGAGACAGCCCCCAGAGACAGCCCCCAGAGACAGCCCCCAGAGACAGCCCCCAGAGACAGCCCCCAGAGACAGCCCCCAGAGACAGCCCCCAGAGACAGCCCCCAGAGACAGCCCCCAGAGACAGCCCCCAGAGACAGCCCCCAGAGACAGCCCCCAGAGACAGCCCCCAGAGACAGCCCCCAGAGACAGCCCCCAGAGACAGCCCCCAGAGACAGCCCCCAGAGACAGCCCCCAGAGACAGCCCCCAGAGACAGCCCCCAGAGACAGCCCCCAGAGACAGCCCCCAGAGACAGCCCCCAGAGACAGCCCCCAGAGACAGCCCCCAGAGACAGCCCCCAGAGACAGCCCCAGGTAGACAAGCATGATGCCGCTGAAACTGCAGAAGCCGAGTTGAAGGGTGGAGGAGGAGGCCTTGCCACACGACCCTGTTGTCTGTTTTGGTTAGAGGGGTTTGGGAGCAGAAGGGTGGGAGGAAAGACTGTTGAGGCACCTCAAAGCACGTCCCCAGAGCAGCCACCAGGTCACGCCAGATTCAGGCGTTTCTTCAGAAAGAAATAACACAAACAAACAAGCAAAATACTGCCCCCCGCCCTCCACCCCCTCTCCCCCCTTTTTTCTCACCGCAAAGACATCTTCTCGTATCCTCTGCAGCTCTCCACTTTGTGCCACGTAGAGCAGCGCATGTGCCACGTCATCACCCAGATGGGAACCAATGGGGAAGGCCTGGTGTAGAAAGGGGGGAGCAGGGAGGCGGGGAGGAGGTGGGGAGGAGGAGGAGGAGGAGGAGGAGGAGGAGGAGGAGGAGGAGGAGGAGGAGGAGGAGGAGGAGGAGGAGGAGGAGGAGGAGGAAAGGCATTATTTACAGAAAATAAAAATCCAATAACCCAACTCACAACGAATATCACATGCTGTATACAAAAAAAATAAAAAGAAAAACTACAACAAAAATAAAAACAGACAGACAGACAAACAAACAAAACCAGTCCACAAGTATTGCTTACAAATGCCAAGTAGATGTTCTGAAGGTTCTGCATAGAGACGAGGATGCCGCAGTACTGAGAGCTGAACTGGGCGATGTAGGGCGTCTGATCCACTATGGCCTCCACTCGCTTCGTGGTCAGTGCCTCGTAATAGTCAGCCTCACTGTTCAGTGGTACCAGCTGGGACTGGGAGGGTGGAGGGAGGGAGAAGGGAGGCTGAGCATGCCGCAACACTGAGAGCTGAACTGGGCGATGTAGGGCGTCTGATCTACTCTCGCCTCCACTCGCTTGGTTGTCAGCGCCTCATAGTAATCGCTCTCACTGTTCAGCGGCACTAGCTGGGACTGGCGCGTGTGGGAGGGTGAGGGCGCTGTTCAAGGGCACAGGAGTCAGGCTTTCTTTATTGAGAACTGGAGAAGCGCTGTGGCTTGGTTAGGAATTTCTTCTATGAGAAACAGCAAAAATGCTGGGCTTGTTTGAGAGGCTTACTGGCTTGCAGGGAGTTTTTTGGAAGTGCTGTGGCTTGGTTAGGAATTTCTTCTATGAGAAACAGCAAAAAGGCTGGGCTTGTTTGAGAGGCTTACTGGCTTGCAGGGAGTTTTTTGGAAGTGCTGTGGCTTGATTAGGAATATCGTCTATGAGAAACAGCAAAAAGGCTGGGCTTGTTTGAGAGGCTTACTGGTTTGAGGCCTATTTGTAGAAGGTAGGATCGGACGAAGGACCCGGCTTGGTAGCCAATGATGGAGCCCCGAACCACTGCTTCCCCCACCGACTGCACAGGCACAGAACAACAGCGGGAGGGGAACTCGGGAGATGTTAGAGAGGAGAGACTCTAGTTGACTTGGAACACACACAAGGACCCGGGTTGCTTGGTATCTAATGTTGGAGCCTGGGACCACTGCTTTTCCCACCGACTGCACAGGCACGGCACAACGGGGAGGGGAACAACAAGGGGAGGGGAACTCGGGAGATGTTAGAGAGGAGAAACTCTAGTTGACTTGGAACAAACACAAGGACCCGACTTGCTTGGTATCTAATGTTGGAGCCTGGACCACTGCCTCCCCCACCGACTGCGCAGGCACGGCACGTGAGGTGTCAGAATGAAACAACTTTTGAGCTGACACGCAACAAACACAAGGACCCAGCTTGGTACCCAATGATGGAACCTCGGGCCACTACCTCCCCTACGGACTGTGAGCAGCACGGCACAACGGGGGGAGGGGAACTCGGGAGATGTTCGAAAGGAGAGGAACTCGGGAGATGTTAGAAAGGAGAGGAACTCGGGAGATGTTAGAAAGGAGAGGAACTCGGGAGATGTTAGAAAGGAGAGGAACTCGGGAGATGTTAGAAAGGAGAGGAACTCGGGAGATGTTAGAAAGGAGAGGAACTCGGGAGATGTTAGAAAGGAGAGGAACTCGGGAGATGTTAGAAAGGAGGGGAACTCGGGAGATGTTAGAAAGGAGAGGAACTCGGGAGATGTTAGAAAGGAGAGGAACTCGGGAGATGTTAGAAAGGAGAGGAACTCGGGAGATGTTAGAAAGGAGAGGAACTCGGGAGATGTTAGAAAGGAGAGGAACTCGGGAGATGTTAGAAAGGAGAGGAACTCGGGAGATGTTAGAAAGGAGAGGAACTCGGGAGATGTTAGAAAGGAGAGGAACTCGGGAGATGTTAGAAAGGAGGGGAACTCGGGAGATGTTAGAAAGGAGGGGAACTCGGGAGATGTTAGAAAGGAGAGGAACTCGGGAGATGTTAGAAAGGAGAGGAACTCGGGAGATGTTAGAAAGGAGAGGAACTCGGGAGATGTTAGAAAGGAGAGGAACTCGGGAGATGTTAGAAAGGAGAGGAACTCGGGAGATGTTAGAAAGGAGAGGAACTCGGGAGATGTTAGAAAGGAGAGGAACTCGGGAGATGTTAGAAAGGAGAGGAACTCGGGAGATGTTAGAAAGGAGAGGAACTCGGGAGATGTTAGAAAGGAGGGGAACTCGGGAGATATTAGAAAGGAGGGGAACTCGGGAGATGTTAGAAAGGAGAGGAACTCGGGAGATGTTAGAAAGGAGAGGAACTCGGGAGATGTTAGAAAGGAGAGGAACTCGGGAGATGTTAGAAAGGAGAGGAACTCGGGAGATGTTAGAAAGGAGAGGAACTCGGGAGATGTTAGAAAGGAGGGGAACTCGGGAGATGTTAGAAAGGAGGGGAACTCGGGAGATGTTAGAAAGGAGGGGAACTCGGGAGATGTTAGAAAGGAGAGGAACTCGGGAGATGTTAGAAAGGAGAGGAACTCGGGAGATGTTAGAAAGGAGAGGAACTCGGGAGATGTTAGAAAGGAGAGGAACTCGGGAGATGTTAGAAAGGAGAGGAACTCGGGAGATGTTAGAAAGGAGAGGAACTCGGGAGATGTTAGAAAGGAGAGGAACTCGGGAGATGTTAGAAAGGAGAGGAACTCGGGAGATGTTAGAAAGGAGAGGAACTCGGGAGATGTTAGAAAGGAGGGGAACTCGGGAGATATTAGAAAGGAGGGGAACTCGGGAGATGTTAGAAAGGAGAGGAACTCGGGAGATGTTAGAAAGGAGAGGAACTCGGGAGATGTTAGAAAGGAGAGGAACTCGGGAGATGTTAGAAAGGAGAGGAACTCGGGAGATGTTAGAAAGGAGAGGAACTCGGGAGATGTTAGAAAGGAGGGGAACTCGGGAGATGTTAGAAAGGAGGGGAACTCGGGAGATGTTAGAAAGGAGGGGAACTCGGGAGATGTTAGAAAGGAGAGGAACTCGGGAGATGTTAGAAAGGAGAGGAACTCGGGAGATGTTAGAAAGGAGAGGAACTCGGGAGATGTTAGAAAGGAGAGGAACTCGGGAGATGTTAGAAAGGAGAGGAACTCGGGAGATGTTAGAAAGGAGAGGAACTCGGGAGATGTTAGAAAGGAGAGGAACTCGGGAGATGTTAGAAAGGAGAGGAACTCGGGAGATGTTAGAAAGGAGAGGAACTCGGGAGATGTTAGAAAGGAGAGACTCTAGTTGACTTGGAACACACACAAGGACCCGGCTTGGTACCCCATGATGGAACCTTGGACCACTACCTCCCCTACTGACTGTCAGTGAGCACGCATGGGACAGGGGAAGTTGGGAGGTGGGACAGGGGAAGTTGGAGGTGAGAGAGGCGGAGTGAGCAGGTTGACGGTGTAGATCGAGGTGAGGTTGGCCGTATACGAGGTGCTCAGAATCAGCACCAGCCCGTACCACACCAGGCAGTGCGCATAGGGGCGTTTCAGCTCACATCTGTCACCCCCACAGGACAGCACAGCAGTATTTATAGGCATGCGCACGCACACGCGCAGAGCAACGCACCTGGAGAGGCGGAGTGAGCAGGTTGACGGTGTAAATAGAAGTGAGGTTGGCCGTATACGAGGTGCTCAGAATCAGCACCAGCCCGTACCACACCAGGCAGTGCACATAGGGGCGTTTCAACTCACTGTCTGCCACCCCCACAGGACAGCAGTATTGAAAGGCACACACACGCACACACACAGAGCAACGCACCTGGAGAGGCGGCGTGAGCAGGTTGACGGTGTAAATAGAAGTGAGGTTGGCCGTGTACGAGGTGCTCAGAATCAGCACCAGCCCGTACCACACCAGCACCGGCACCCGAGCCAGCAGCGTGTGAACCTCCACCGGCACGAGAAAGTAACTCTGGAATGAAATCCACAGCGCCTCCCAGAAATCCTGCAGCAGCGAGAAGGCTTTCGAGCGGCACTGGGCGGCCTTGGTTTCGCCTTCCACGGGGTGTTGCAGGAAGAGGGAGTTGTTGCGGCGTTCCAGGAAGAGGATGGTGAGGGCGAAGAGGACGGCTGCTATGCCGAGCCACATCCACATGGAAGGGGAGAAGGGCACCAGGGCCGTCCAGGGGTTGGAGTCCTCCGGTGCGAGCGTGACCATTGCCAAACTGGAGGACTGGGAGATGGGAGAGAGGGGAGCAGGGGAGGGGAAGGAGGGGGGGAGGGAGGGAGGGAGAGGGGAGAAAGGGAGGGGAAGGAGGGAGGGAGGGAGGGAGAGGGGAGTAAGGGAGGGGAAGGAGGGAGGCAGGATGAGGGAGCTGTTGCGGCGTTCGAGGAAGAGGATGGTGAGGGCGAAGAGGACGGCTGCTATTCCGAGCCACATCCACATGGCGGGGGAGAAGGGAGCGAGGGGCGTAATGCGGATTGGGGGGGGTGCTGTGTGTGCAGACTAGAATTGTTCTTTAAATATTCTAAACACACTCAGTCATCACTGACCATGAATGCAGTTGAGAAGGTGACGATGGGGGTTGGTACAGACTAGAATCGCTTTTGCACCCTTCAAACACAAGTAAACATCACCGCGCGCTTTTGTGCGTGTGTGTGTGTGTGTGTGTGTGTGTGTGCGTGCACGCGTGTGTGTGTGTGCGTGTGCGTGTGTGTGTGCGTGTCTGCGTGCGTGCGTGTGTACGTGTGTACTGACCATGAATGCGGTTGAGAAGGTGACAATGCGCGTGCGTTGACTTGTAATGACAACGTCCCCAACCGCACCGTCCAGTTTCTGCACGGGCATGCAGGGACGCACACACATATGGGGCCGAGGGAGATGAACTGTCGGTTTGTGTTTGGTCTCACAACTGCCCCACCCGTTGACTTGTAATGACAACGCCCCCCACCGCCCCGTCCAGTTTCTGCACACACGCAGGACACACACGCACACGCAGGGATGCACACACACACGGAGTAGAGCGAGGGAAAATCTGGGCTTGAGTCGACTCACACAACCCCCCCACCCGTTGGCTTCAGCAACGGCTTGAAGCATCTCGTTGTAGCTGGGGCGGGTTGGCCACGTGATTGAAGAAGGGTTTTGAGACGTCTCAAAACCCTTCTTCAATCACGTTGGCTTCAGCAACGGCTTGAAGCATCTCGTTGTAGCTGGGGCGGGTTGGAGGAGCCGTTGCCAAACGGCACATCCTGAGGTGCCTCACACCTGTCTCAAACCCATACGTTCAGAACCCATCTTGCCTGCCCTACAACCCACCTTGTCGGCAACAGCTTGCAGCATCTCATCATAGCTGGGGTTGGAGGAGCCGTTGCCAAACGGCTCAAAATGAGATGCCTCACATACCCAGATGGCTCACACCTTTGTGTTCAAGTACAAGACCTCACCTTATCAGCCACGGCTTGCAGCATCTCATCATAGCTGGGGTTGGAGGAGCCGTTGCCAAACGGCACAAACTCGAACCGAAGAGGGTACTTGAGGTGCGCTGCTGTGGCCCGAAAGACAGCCACAGGGAACCCCCCCACAGCAGCCTGGTCTGATTCGCTTCCTGTTGTGGTGCTGGCGATGCTTGCGAACTGGTGAAAGCCCTGAAGAAGTAAGACGAGCAGGGGGTAGGGGAGCAGGGGTGGGGAGGAAGAGCAGGGTTAGTATTGAGCAGCAGCAGCAGCAGCAGCAGCAGCAGCAGCAGCAGCAGCAGCAGCAGCAGCAGCAGCAGCAGCAGCAGCAGCAGCAGCAGCAGCAAGAGGGGGTACTTGAGGTGAGCTGATGTGGCCCGAAAGACGGCCACAGGGGAACCCCCCCACAGCCGCCTGGTCTGATTCGCTTCGTGTCGTGTTGCTGACGATGCTTAAGAATTGGTGAAAGCCCTGATGGGGGGGAGGAGGAGTGAGGGAAGAGGACAAAGCAGGGGTGGGGAAGAGCAGCAGCAGCAGCAGCAGCAGCAGCAGCAGCAGCAAGAGAGGGTAGTTGAGGTGAGCTTCTGTGGCTCGAAAGACGGACTCCCATCACACACCAACTCCCATCACACACCAACTCCCATCACACACCAACTCCCATCACACACCAACTCCCATCACACACCAACTCCCATCACACACCAACTCCCATCACACACCAACTCCCATCACACACCAACTCCCCTCCTCACACCCAACTCCTCTCAAACACCAACTCACCATTTTCACACACCCCAACTCCCCTCCTAACACACCAACTCACCATTTTCACCGGGACAGCCAGCTGGAGATTCTTCTTGGGAAGGTAACCCCAAGGGGCCTGATAGGGACCTTCACACACCGTCTCCCTTCACACCAACCCCCCACCACACACCAACCCCCCACCACACCCCAGCACCCATCCCAACCCAACTCACCATTTTCACCGGGACAGCCAGCCGGAGCTTCTTCTTGGGAAGATAACCCCAAGGTGCCTGATAGGGAAGAGGGGGTGAGGGGGGGGGGGGGGGGGGTGGGGGAGGCAACACAAAAACGAGAGAACGGGAGAAGGGTGATGGAGAAAGGGAAGGGAAAGGAAAGGGGTAGGGGGAGAGAGAGGGGGACAGGAAGTGGGAAGGTATGTTTGAATGAGAAATGAAGTGTCATAGGGGGCCTGGGGGAAGGGGGCAGTCCAAGGAGAGATAAGGAGAGGAGAGGGGGAAGGGTAGAGAGAACGAATCTTAAGTTTTTTCTTGTTTGTTTGTTTGTTTGTTTTTTTTAAGCCCGCAGCCCAAGTTGTTCCAAATTGCCCTCCTTAGTAAGGTTGCCGAAGTCCCAAATTTGCCACGCCCAAGTTTCTGATTGTCAACGGCCAAGAGTAGTAATATTGACCCTCGCGATCTGCAACTTGGGCCACGGGCTTTAAGCTCTTGCAAAGGAAAAATAGCCTTCTATTTCTCTGCAACAAGCATCTGCAAAGGCCCCAACTCTATGATCCGATCCCAAATGCCCTCACCCGATTCGATCCTCACCTGATTCGATCCTCATCCGATTCGATCCTCACCTGATTCGATCCTCACCCGATTCGATCCTCACCCGATTCGATCCTCACCCGATTCGATCCTCACCTGATCCGATCCTCACCCGATTCGATCCTCACCTGATCCGATCCTCACCCGATTCAATCCTCACCTGATTCGATCCTCACCCGATTCGATCCTCACCTGATTCGATCCTCACCTGATTCGATCCTCACCCGATTCGATCCTCACCCGATTCGATCCTCACCCGATTCGATCCTCACCTGATTCGATCCTCACCTGATTCGATCCTCACCTGATTCGATCCCCCAGGCCACACAACTGTTGACCAGCTGTCGTTGCGCCCTCGCTGCACTAGTTGCTGGTGAGGAAGGGAGGAGAGTGCGAGTAGGAGGGAGGAGAGTGAGAGGGAGGGAGTAGGAGGGACTGGGTGGGACAAGGAATGAGTGGGGCAGGATTGACTGCATTGACTGCATTGACTGGATTGACCACTCCCACAGTACCGTTCACCACATTGACCCCATTGACTCCTTTGACACTACATTGGATTCATTGACTGCATTGACTGGATTGACTGGATTGACCACTCCAGCAGTACCGCTCACTACATTGACCTCCTTGAACACTGCATTTACTGCGTTGACTGCATTGACTCCCTTTGGATTACCTTAGTCGTCGACAACAGCCCTCTGCTGCTATGCCAGCACGCCACCACGCGAGCAGTACCGCTCACCACATTGACTGCATTGACTGCATTGGGAGTACCTTGTTTGTTGAGAGCAGCCCTCTGCTTCTCTGACAGTAGGCCACCACGCGGGCAGTACCGTTGACCACGATGACTGCTTTGACCTTGCCTTGTTGACTCTGCATTGACCGCGTTGACTGCGTTGACTTAATTACCTTGGTGGTGGAGAGCTGTCCCCTGCTGCTATGCCAGTACGCCACCACACGTGCCATACCGTTCACCACATTGAATGACCTGACTGCTTTAACACTGCGTTGACTGCATTGACTGCATTGACTGCATTGACCACATTGACTCCCTTGGGATTACCTTGGTGGTGGAGAGCTGTCCCCTGGAGCTCTGCCAGTACACCACCACACGAGCAGCGCCGTTGACCACATTGACTGCATTGACCAGATTAACTGAGTTGGCTCCCTTGAAATACCTTGGTAGCGGAGAGAAGACCCTCCGGGGATCTCCTTAAAGCCCCAAAAAAAAAAAAAAAAAAAAAAAAAAAAAAAAAAAAAAAAAAAAAAAAAAAGGAGTCAAGACCCCCGCTGCTCTGCCAGTACGCCACCACCCGCGCAGTGCCGTTGACCACATTGACTTCCTTGACTGTGTAGACTCTCCACTGACTGGATTACCTTAGTAGTGGAGAGCAATCCCCTGGAGCTCTGCCAGTACGTCACCACGCGAGCAGTAGCATTCACCACATTGACTCTCTTGACTGTTTCACCACTGCGTTGACTGCGTTGACTTCTTTGAAAGTACCTTGGTGGTGGAGAGCAATCCCCTGGAGCTCTGCCAGTACGCCACCACGCGAGCAGTGCCGTTGACCACATTGATAACCTCCAGGTCGCTCTTGTCACGGTCCCCGTTGGGCAGCAGATTCAACCTGCATGCATGGGCACGTGGAAGATTGACAGAGTGCCTGTTTTGAAGGGCAGTGGTGTTGACCACGTTGACCTTCGTTGACCACATTGTTAACCTCCAGGTCGCTCTTGTCACGGTCTCCGTTGGGCAACTTTTGAGGCGCCTCAAAAGTAGATTCAACCGGCATGCATGGCGTGGAAAACAGGTTGTTTGTTTCATTGGGAAAAGAAGTTGACCACAGTGAATGCTTTCAAACGCTCCTAACCTGATCAGATGGAAGCTTTTTTTTTTTTTTTTTTTTTTTTTTTTTTTTTTTTTTGGCAAGATCTCCCAGCCCTTTAAACCCGTCCCTCACCTCCCAGGTGACCCCATTCATTTCCGTCTGCAGCAGCAGCACCTCTTGACTGTCCCCCCCTCTCACAACCCCAACCCTCACCCCCCTCTCATTGCCATCCCTCCCTCCCCATCATCCCCTCTCCTCCTCTCACCTCCCAGTGACCCCGTTTATTTCAGTCTGCAGCAGCAGCACCTGTCGCATGCTTGAACCTTGTTACTTATCCCTCCTCACCTGCCCTGCTATTCTTCCCCTTCCTGCTCACCTCCCAGTGACCCCGTTTATTTCAGTCTGCAGCAGCAGCACCTGTCGCATGCTTGAACCTTGTTACTTATCCCTCCTCACCTGCCCTGCTATTCTTCACCTTCCTGCTCACCTCCCAGTGACCCCGTTTATTTCAGTCTGCAGCAGCAGCACCTGTCGCATGCTTGAACCTTGTTACTTATCCCTCCTCACCTGCCCTGCTATTCTTCCCCTTCTTGCTCACCTCCCAGTGACCCCGTTTATTTCAGTATGCAGCAGCACCTCGCGAAGAGCAGCGCCGTCTGACAGGTGGGGGGTGACGGGGGAATGGGGGGAAGGGGGGAGTGGAGGGAGGGAGTAAGGGGAAAGTGGTGCGGAGAGTGGGGAGTAAGATGTCCTCCCCCAGTGGCTCCTTTGATTGCTATCTGCAGCAGCACCTCGCGAAGAGCAGCGCCGTCTGGGAGGCGATGGGGGGAAAGGGGAGGGCGGGGAAGGGGATGACGGGAGGGGGAAAGGGAGGGGGTACAATATCGGGAGAATGTGGGGAGAGTGGGGGAGAGGAGGGGGGGAGCTGTCCTAGTGACCCCTTTTATTTCCGTCTGCAGCACCACCTCGCAAAGAGCGGCACCGTCTGAACTAAAAGGTGGTGATTGGGAGGAGCGGCGAGATGGGAAGGAGAGTAGGGGGCAAAGGAGTGTGTAAAGGAGCTTTCCCAGTGACCCCTTTTACTTCAGTCTGCAGCACCACCTCGCAAAGAGCGGCACCGTCTGAACTGGAAGGTGGTGATTGAGAGGAGCGGCGAGATGGGGTTGTGCCCGATGACCGACCCTGGCAGTGCTGCTTGCTCCCCACCACTACCACCACCACCACCACTCGTGCTACTACTGCTGTTCACATGCCCCCTCTCTCATGGTGCCCTCACATGCCCCATGCCCCAATGCTTACATGGTCTGACGTTGATGCCTGAGAGGAGCGGCAAGATGGAGTTCTGCCCAACGCAGTGCTGCTTGCTTGCTCCCCACCGCTTGGGCTGCTGCTATTATTGCTCTGCTCACATGCCCCATGCTCCAATGCTTACATGGTCTGACGTTGATGCCTGAGAGGAGGGGCGAGATTGAGTTGTGCCCAATGACCGACTCTGGCAGTGCCGGTTGCTCCCCACCACTCATGCTGCTGCTATTGTTGGTGGTGGCGCTACTGCTGCTGCTTGTGTTGCCAGCAACAACAGTGCCGTTGCTGCTGGTGGTGCTGTTGCTGCTGGTGGTGCTGTTGCTGCTGGTGCTGTTGCTGCTGGTGGTGCTGTTGCTGCTGGTGCTGTTGCTGCCGGGAGTGAAAACTCCAGTATCAACAGCCGTTTGGAGGGCGTGAGTGACAAACATAATGGTGTCGTATCCCAGCAGCGTGTAGATGTCCGGCTGGAGGGATGGAGGGGGAGGGGGAGGGGGAGGGGGAGGGGGAGGGAGAGGGGGAGGGGGAGGGGGAGGGAGGAGGAGAATCGCTTACACCCGCCACCAGACGCAGAGCAGAGTGTCTTCTACAGTACCAACAGCCGTTTGGAGGGCGTGAGTGACAAACATAATGGTGTCGTATCCCAGCAGCGTGTAGATGTCCGGCTGGAGGGATGGAGGGGGAGGGGGAGGGGGAGGGGGAGGGAGGAGGAGAATCGCTTACACCCGCCACCAGACGCAGAGCAGAGTGTCTTCTCCAGTATCAGCAGCTGTTTGGAGGGCGTGAGTGACAAACATAACGGTGTCGTATCCCAGCAGCAGCGTGCAGATGTCCGGCTGGAGGGAGGGGGGAAATGGGGAGAGGGGGGAGGGTGGGGACAGGGGGGTTGTGGAGGGTTTTTGAGTCGACTCAAAAGGGGAGGGTGGGGACAGGGGGGTTGTGGAGGGTTTTTGAGTCGACTCAAAAGGGGAGGGTGGGGACAGGGGGGTTGTGGAGGGTTTTTGAGTCGACTCAAAAGGGGAGGGTGGGGACAGGGGGGTTGTGGAGGGTTTTTGAGTCGACTCAAAAGGGGAGGGTGGGGACAGGGGGGTTGTGGAGGGTTTTTGAGTCGACTCAAAAGGGGAGGGTGGGGACAGGGGGGTTGTGGAGGGTTTTTGAGTCGACTCAAAAGGGGAGGGTGGGGACAGGGGGGTTGTGGAGGGTTTTTGAGTCGACTCAAAAGGGGAGGGTGGGGACAGGGGGGTTGTGGAGGGTTTTTGAGTCGACTCAAAAGGGGAGGGTGGGGACAGGGGGGTTGTGGAGGGTTTTTGAGTCGACTCAAAAGGGGAGGGTGGGGACAGGGGGGTTGTGGAGGGTTTTTGAGTCGACTCAAAAGGGGAGGGTGGGGACAGGGGGGGTGTGGAGGGTTTTTGAGTCGACTCAAAAGGGGAGGGTGGGGACAGGGGGTTTGTGGAGGGTTTTTGAGTCGACTCAAAAGGGGAGGGTGGGGACAGGGGGGGTGTGGAGGGGAGATGCAAGAGGGGACACGTGAGGGTGCTGTCAGGGACTGCTTAAGATCCACACTCTTCCAAACCTCCCTGCATGTGCCCCGTCAACCACTCCACACCGCACCCAACCGATCTAACACATGTGCGCACCTTCTCTCCTGCCCCTGGGTACTGCTTGGGATCCACGCTGTTCCAGAGCTCCCTGCATGTGCTGTGCGCCATACTATACTCCTTCACACCACACCACACTGCACTGCACCGCACCGCACTGCATCACACGCACCTTCTCTCCTGCCCCTGGGTACTGCTTGGGATCCACGCTGTTCCATAGCTTGTTGAAACTGGCGAGCTCAGGTGAGGGCGGCACACAACTCTACACCACACCACACCACACCACACTACACCACACTACACCACACCACACCACACCACACCACACTACACCACACCACACCACACCACACCGCACCGCACCACCCCAATCCCAACCTGCACCACACCAACGCACCTTCTCTCCTGCCCCAGGGTACTGCTTGGGATCCACGCTGTTCCATAGCTTGTTGAAGCTGGCTAGCTCTGGTGATGGCGGCAGGTATGCTTGAACGCCCAACACGCCCTGGTGGGATGTTGTGGGGGTGGCGAAGGGAGAACAGGGAGGAGGAGGCAGGGGAAGGTACAGGAGTACGGGGGGGTTACAGGGAGTTGAAACTGGCGAGCTCTGGTGAGGGCGGCAGGTAGGCTTGAATGCCCAACACACCATGATGGGTGGGGCAAAGGTGAGAAGGGGGTTGTGTGAGGGACTTTTGAGTCGACTCAAAAGTCAAGGGGGTTGTGTGAGGGAAGGGACTGCAGTGCAGGAATGACAGGGAAAGGAATGGAAAGGGATTGCTTGGGATTCACGCTGTTCCAGAGCTTGTTGAAACTGGCGAGCTCTGGTGAGGGCGGCAGGTAGGCTTGAATGGCCAACACGCCCCGGTGGCGACAAAAGTGGGGAAAGAAGGGAAGAAGGGGTTTGGTAGGGGGGTATAAGGGTGGAGGACGAAGGGAAGTAGGGTTTTGTAGACAGGCACGAGGGTGGGGTTGGGTAGCTTCTGTATCTTCAGTCGTTACAGACAAGGGTTGAGTGAATACAGCATTTTGCTTTCAGAATTCTCGTAGCAAGGGCTTTTTGTAATTCTCTTTCTTTACTTGCTAAACCTTTCTCCTAGCACTGCTGCTCTTCCAAAAACGATGGTGACGACGACCCGTGGGGTTGGGTAGTCTCTGTATCTTCAGTCGTTACAAACAACAATCTCAGAAACAGCACTCTCCCTCGTCTTCCACGTGTACATATAAAGGTGAACTGGTGTGTTGACGTGGACTGACTCAGCTCCATGGCTTTCCTGACGTGGACTGACTCACCTCCATGGCTTTCCTGACGGGTGCCAGCGTGTCATCTCCGCTAATCACAACCGTCCACGTGGCTTCTGTGGCTATCCATGCATACGGGGCAGTTAGCAGCCCCAGCTCCATGGCTGCATGGGGAATAGGGAGGCATGGGGTACGGTGGAATGCGGTAAAAGGGGATGTGGAACGGTGCATGGTGAACTGTCCACGTGGCCTCAGTTGCTTTCCGCGCGTCCAGCCTCCTTGCGCTGTGCACCCATCAGCAACCCACCACCAACACCCCTATTACTGCTCTTTCTAGCAGCTATACCGCCATCCCTACCAGCACACACGCAGCACTCCTCCCTACCTGCAATGAAGACTCGCCCAGTGTCCTGCCCCCCTGCATCGTGCACCACCACCACTGTCGACTCCTCCTGCTCCACCAGAGGCAGCAGCTTCTCTTTCACGTCGGCCACTGTCCACGTGATGTCAAGCGGTATGGCTCGAGATATTCTAGCCTTGGAGCCCTGGAGGAAGGGGAAGTGGAAGGAAGAGAGGAAAGAGGAGGATTCGTAAGGAATGGGGCGAACTGGCGCCCTCACGTCTTTTGAGGCGCCTCAAGAACTGGCGCCCTCACGTCTCAGTGCCCAAACGAATTTTGCGACGGAGTCATGAGCAGGAGATTACCTGCTCAGCTCAGAACACACACACACTCACACACACACACACACACTCACACACACACACACACACACTCACACTCAGCAGACTTTTGAGTCGACTCAAAAGACATGAGCAGGAGATTACCTGCTCAGCTCAGCACACACACACACTCACACACACACACACACACACACACACACACACACACACACACACACACACACACTCACACTCAGCAGACTTTTGAGTCGACTCAAAAGACATGAGCAGGAGATTACCTGCTCAGCTCAGCACACACACACACACCTTCGTCTCAACCGCTGATTCGAATTTTCAATTGACTGGAAAATTGCCTCACTACATGCGGATCTTTGAGTCAAAACTCGATACTTGAAGCACCGATTCGAAAGCTATCCTCTTCGTACATATCAACAGCACAGCTCAGCTCAGCCCAGCCCAGCTCAGCACGTACCTTGTTCTGGAGAGCCGATTCGAGGGCGACGATGCCGTTGCGGCCGAAACGGTTGTCAATGTAAATGGTTACCACCTCCATCCACCTGTCCTCCTCGTGATGGCGAATGATGTCTGCATCAATGCAAGGAGAACAGCACAGCACAGCACAACACAGCACCGCACAGGACCGCACATCAAGGTCGGTTGTCAATGTAAACTGTGACCACCTCCATCTTCCTGTCCTCCTCGTGATGCCGGATTATGTCTGCGCGGAGGCAAGGAGAACAGCACAGCACCGCACAGCACCACACACCACCACACATCAAGGTCGGTTGTCAATGTAAATGGTTACCACCTCCATCCACCTGTCCTCCTCGTGATGCCGGATGATGTCTGTGTGGAGGCAGCATAGGCCACCATGGGTACACTCATTAGTTACCTGCGATTTCCCGGGCATGATCGGTAATCACCTGCGCTGCCTGCATTTCAGCAGCATCGCTGTGGGTCGTCCGCATGACAAACTGCCGCTCCATGCTGACTGTGAGGGTGGGATCCGTGGCAGCATAGGCCACCAGGGGTACACTCACTAGTTACCTGCAATTTCACGGGCATAACTGGTAGTTACCTGCAATGGCCTGCATCTCAGCAGCATCGCTGTGGGTCGTCCGCATGACAAACTGCCGCTCCGTGCTGACAGTGAGGGTGGGATCCGTGGCAGCATACGCCACCATGGGCAAACTCACTACTCACCTGCGATTTACGGGGATATTTTCCAACAATCACCTGCAATCTCAAGGGTAAAAACGGCGATCACCTGCAATGGCCTGCATCTCAGCAGCATCGCTGTGGGTCGTTCGCATGACAAACTGCCGCTCCGTGCTGACAGTGAGGGTGGGATCCGTGGCAGCATACGCCACCATGGGGATCTGAAAGAACAAGGGGAGAGATGAGAGGAGAGGAATGGTTAGGGTGTGGTGCAGTGCGGTTCTAAGCGGTCATTGTGGGGTCCGGAGCGGTGTTGAGGCTGATGTGATGTGGAGGGTGGCATCACTGAGAAACGACACTGATAGCATTCTCTCAGCCAATCAGGGCAGTGTTTCTTCTCTGTGTGGTGGGTGGCATCACTAAGAAACGGCAGTGTTTCAGGCCGACCTTCTTGCGACTGACTTGTATGACAGCCCCAAGGCTGTCCAACTCGGGCCGGGCGGCAATTTTTGGCGGATCTGGCAGTGGCATATACTAGCCTGACTTGTCGGCATTTTCTAGGCCGCTGACGTGGACGGCAATCCCTAGGCTGACCAACCCGGGCGGAAATTCCTAGGCTTACTTGGGCGGCATTCCCTAGGCTGATCTGGCAGCGGCATTTCCTAGGCTGACTTGGTGGCATTCCCTAGGCGGCTGACGTGGCCGACCCGGGCGGCAATTCCTACACTGATACGGGCAACATTCTCTACACTAACCTACTTGGGCAGCAATCGCTAGGCTGGCCTGGGCGGCAAGCTCTGGACTAACCTGGGCGGCATTCCCGAGGCTGCTTCAAAGCAGTGCCACCTGTCCCGACAGCATTGGCCCCACGAGGAGCAGCGGTATTCCCTACACTAACCTGGCAGCGGTAGTTCCTAGGCTGACCTGCACGGCATTCCCTAGACTAACCTGCCAGCGGTATTCCCTAGGCTGACCTGCGCGGCATTCCCTAAACTAACCTGCCAGCGGTATTTCCGAGGCTCACCATGGTGGCATTCCCTAGACTAACCTGCCAGCGGTATTCCCTAGGCTGACCTGCGCGGCACTCCCGAGGCTGCTTCCGAGCAGCGCCACCTGTCCCGATAGCATTGGCCCGACGATGAGGAGCGGATCCTTCTTCATCGCCTCGAGACCTGATTGGGCGGGAGAGGGAGGAGGAACGAGGAGGGAGGAGTGGGGCAAGCAGAATTGGTCAGACTGCAAGCAGCGCCACCTGTCCCGACAGCATTGGCCCGACGATGGGCAGCGGATCCTTCTTCATCGCCTCCAGACCTGATGGGGGGGAGAGAGAATGGGGGAGGGGTTGGGAGACAGGGGAACGAGGGGGAGGAGGGGAGAAAAGGAGTTGACTTTTGAGTCGACTCAAAAGTCAACAAGGGGGAGGAGGGGAGAAAAGGGAGAGCATTGGAGAGAGGGCAAGGCAACATTGGCCCGACGATGAGCAGCGGGCAGCGGATCCTTCTTCATCGCCTCTAGACCTGATTGGGTTGGGAGAGGGAGGTGGAGGGGGGAAGGGAAGGAGACAGGGGAACAGGGGGGAGGAGGGGGAGGGACAGCATTCGCTCGACAATGAGGAGCAGATCCTCTTCATCGCCTCTAGGCCTGATTTGGTGGGAGGACAAGCGAGAATGGGGGGTGGGGAGGGAGGGGGAGGAGGGGAATCGAGGAGGGAGATAAAGTGGTACAGCATTGGGCAGACGATGAGCAGCGGATCCGTCTTCATCGCCTCGTGACTTTTGAGTTGACTCAAAAGTCATTGGCCCGACAATGAGTAGCGGATCCGTCTTCATCGCCTCGAGACCTGATTGGGGGGAGGAGGAGGAAGATGAGAGGAAAGACAAGAGAAGAAGGGGAAACGGGAAGAGAGGGGGAGGAGTGGGGCAAACAGCATTGGCCCCACGATACACAGCGGATCCTTTTTCATTGCCTTGAGACCTTGATGGGGGAGGGAGATGGGGAGGAGGTGGGGAAGGGGGAAAGACGGTGGGGGAAAGAGAAGAGCTGGTGGAGAGGAGAAGAAAGGCCAAGCAGTCGTGGTCCCAAGATGAGCAGTGTCGCTCTAGCGAGACGCGTAAAAGCCTCTCCGCACCGCCCATAACCGCCCAGGACCTCCCAGCATTGCCCAGCACCTCCCACCACCTCTCCCCCTCTCATTTCCATCTCTCTCCTCCACTCTCTCACCTGCCAGCTGTCCGAGGAACGGCATCGCGCCACCATCCAGCAACTCCCCTTCTTACCGCTCACCACCTCTCAGCACCTCCCAGCGCTGCTCAGCGCCTCTCATCTCCCCTTCTCTCACCTGCCAGCTATTACCCACCTCCCATCACCGCTCAGCACCTCTCACCTCCCCCTCTCTCACCTGCCAGCTGTCCGAGGAACGGCGTCGCGCCACCGTCCAGCAGCTGCATCTCAAGGCGGTGACGTGGCAGCAGGTGGGGGTTGGCGTTGACCTGGTCAACGCCCAGTCGTAGGGCTGTGGGCAGTGGAGGCGGGGGAAGGGTAGGCGGAGAGGACAAAAAGGGCAGGAAACTGTAGGAGTCAACTCTATGCGATGGATGAGGTCGCACGCAGTCGTGGAAAAAAAAAAAAAAAAAACTCTACGTTTTTTAAGTGAAAGGCACTTTCCAATAACTTATAGATGATGCATGTGTTGAAGCACACAACTTGTATTCTTTGTTTTGTTGTAAGGTAAACAGATTTCATGGTGTACCTGTTCCGAGCACTGGCAGAAACTCGAGCGAGACAATACACGCAATTCGAAGAACCCCCTTGGTTCCGTTCCCACTCCCACTGATTCTGCCGTGATTTTCGCCGCTGGTACCGTTGGCGCTAGTACTTGTAGCGTTGGTAACCGCGTCGTCAGCACCGCTACTTCCATTCGTAGTGTTCGCAATACTTGCGTTTCCGGCAGGCCCGCCAGTTCCTCTGGACAACCCTGGCGGCTCAGCAGGCTGCTGCGGCGTCGCCGGGGACGGCTGTGTGAGGTTTCCGGGCCACAAAGGCGAAGATAGTTTCGGTGTTCTGAGTCGCAGACTTCGCCAACCGTCCCTCATTTTTCGCGAGCCAGCCACGTGCGATTCCTCCCGAATCGCCCATATAGCGGATCTTCCGCGTGCGGCGGCTATCGCTACAGCGATATTGTGACCGTCATAAGCGGCATTCGTGGTCAACCCTAGTCCTAACTGTCGAACTGCTGCTGATCTGCGAAATAACTGATTTCGACTGATATGGTTACCAGAGAAGCCGCCGTTACGTCTCCACGCCGTTTGGACCCAAAGTCGTCTGTCGTTGATTTGCGAAGCGGCGGCGGGCGTTGTCGCCGATGCGCCGGGAGGGGTTGCTAATCGCACGGAAAGGGTGGCGAGAAATAGGGTTAGGAGGATGCGGCGCGAGTAAAATAGCCACCCGCCGCAATTTGCGGAGCAATAGTAGTTAATTTGGCTATAATCGCTTCGTCGCCAGCGGCAACGACATATTCTATTCCGCCAGCCCGGCCACACTTCGTTAGCCGCCACGGGGTCGCGATGATGTGGCAACGACGTCATGTCGGAAAACCGCTTCGAAGGGAGAAAAATAGCGGCTTCCACTGAGTCTCAAGTCGAGACAAAATAGTCACAAAAACCAGGGTTCGCGGAAAACTTTGCGAAAACAATCAGCATCGCGGCATACTAAACTATTTAGTCGTCCGAGCCGCCGCACTCGCCTAGGATTAAATACCACTCTGAGTGATCGTTAAAATCGCAGCCTTTGTCCGAAAGGCAAAGTTAAAAAGCATTCGCACACTCTACGGGGGGAGAAGCGTTTTTCTTAGGGAGCACACCAACCGAACACTCGTTCTGTAGTCTATGTCTATCCGATTATTTGGCTCCGCGGCTCCGATGATAAGAATTGCATTGCTAGTACGGCGGGAAGAATCGGCGTTTCTGAGAGCACACCAGCCGGCGGTGGCTACAAACTAGGAGCGAAACGCCGAACGATCAAGTCGTGCCCATGAAGTCACGCCCCACCAGAGTGTGAGCATTCGCAGAGAGATTCTAGAACATAATTCACACGTTTGCTACGTGTCCTAAAGTCAGACACTGCTAACTATTCCCCTTGCTGGCTCCCGATGAAGCCGCCTAGCCTTGCCCGACCCACCACAACCACAGCATTCCCCCCCCCCCCCGTCCCCCTCCCCCCTCTTCCATGGTGCCCCTTTTAGGGCTTGGGAGGACGAGACACCACAGAACGAGTTATGAGTTTGAAGCGAACAGTAGCGAAGCGACCGTAAAGGAGGACAGGTGCACTTCCGAGCAGCCAGGCAAATGAATCGGTTTTTTTTTGGCATCATTTCCACAAATGGACAAAGGCTAACGTTGCGCTGTCCGCACGCTTGCCTGCCAACTTGGGACTGAGGACGCGGTAAAAGTACTCGACCGGGGGGAGATCGATCCGGTCACCGTACTGAAACCCCGCGTTTTGCATACGAAAGGTACACAACCGTTTACAACCGCGCTAAAAAACCGATCCTGAGGCGATCGAATCTCCACTTTTACCGCGTCCTGACTGACTGACAAGAGCCTAGGGCGCGCGATTTCGTGTGATTGGTGATGCATGCGTGCGATGCGTTGCGATTAGTGGAGCAAGGCGACAAGAAAGAGAAGCAGACCCGTGACGTGGCCTTGGTTAGTGGGCGGTAATAAGGGGCACCAGGACTGTGGCTCGTATACTGAACCTCGATGCGGGATATCTCGGTAATGGTTACAACACACCTAGAAAATACCGTTTCTCTTAAACACGTCAGCCATCCATTCTTCATATGAATCTGCTCTTCTGCTAACATGTGGTATGGCTGTGAGGAGGGGTTCACAGACGAAAAGATTACACTCAGTGACGTGGAACTTAAAACCCGCAGGCCAAGCTATTCAAGCTTAGGAAGGTTGGTTGGGAGTGAGGTCAATATTCGGCCGCGAGCCAATAGGAGTGACGAAAATGTTGGCCTAGGTCTCAGAAATCGGGAATCAGCACAGGCGTTTTTGGGACACCCAACCAACATTTGGAATGATGAGCCAAATGTGGCCTTCTTGACCCACGGGTTTTAAGGAATCTCCACATGAAACTTAGTCAAGCGGAACGTCCCGAATCATATCTAATCATTATTCTACAACATTTCTACAGCTTCTTATAAGCTTGGAAGGATATGGTATTGAGTGTAGCATTCCCTACGGACGACTTTAGCCAACATTCTCGGCCTACTGTGGTAACCGCAAGCACGCAAGTCGTCATCTTTTTGCATTTCTGCATGCACTTAGCTGGTGCCATGGGGAAAGAGTATTTTATGGTTGCCCCCGAAGGGAAATCTATCCCCATAGGAGCAGCTGCAAAGCCCAATTCTGTATGGACAAAGAGGAGTTCGGGAGAGGGTGGGGGGGGGGGGGGGGGGGGGGGGATGGTTGGCAGGATGCCCAAGGTTAGTGAACGTGAGATATGTTGTGGAAGAAATCTCAAGACTAGGAGAGGTATAATTGCATACGCGAAAGGTGAAAATAGGGAGCAAAAGTGTGAGGGTGTGAGTATGGATGTGGTGTGGGGGTGGTGGGGGGAAGGGAGGGGAATATCAGTCACTTACTTTTGGGGTTGACACATGCTGTCTTTTTCCTCTTGTAGTCAACTCGGCAGGCAAACACGCCACAACCCCCGTTATTAAAGGTGCAACTCCGGGATTGCCTGGACAACCTGTGCCAAAACCCAAGACTCCTGCCCACGAACCCCCCGGCGCTCCCATTCGTCCCAGTAAGTCCCGGGCTGACGGAAATTTTCAGCTCGGGCAGCGTGGGCAGGCTGACGCCCTCGGGCAGCCACATTGAGGTTTTCTGGGCAGATCCGTAGTAGGATTGGACGGCTGAGATTTGGCAGGAGCCGGATTGGCAGAACCCGGGAAACGTGTTTCCTTGGTAGTCTGAATCAACACAGCTGGTGCCGTCCGGTTCGACGATAGGGTTACCGCATTTGCCGCTGTTACAGGTGTAACCAGCGATGCAGGGGTTGGATGTTACACCGCACTTCGCACACTCATCTGTTGGGAACAGGAGGGGGCAGGGCGGGGTATGTCAGGGGAGGTATGACAGGGGAAGGTTAGGCAGGAATTGGCACAGCACAGGGAGGTACGGCAGTGGGAGGCTCGGCAAGGGGAGGTACCAAGGAGGAAAGGCATTGGCAGGGGGAGGTATACCCAGACTCACTCTTGCTGCACAGGGGATGGCTGTAGGCCACGAGCATGGGAAGCGTTTGTCTCACATAGGTGGTACTTATTCTCACATGGACCCACTATCGCAGCACATTGGCATTCACTCACTCTTGCTGCACAGGGGATGGCTGTAGGCCACGAGCATGGGAAGCGTCCCGGAAGGGTCGTACTCTCTCTCATCATTTATGTTTGCCACTCTTGCTGCACCCGACTCACTATGAGACGGGGGAGCGGGAATGGCAGCACTCACTCTTGCTGCACAGGGGATGGCCACGTGTTGGAAGTGTCACTTTGAGACGTCTCAAAACCACACTTCAGACACTCACTATGAGGCGGGGAAGGGGGTATGGCAGCACTCACTCTTGCTGCACAGGGGGTGGCTGTACGCCACGAGCACGGGAAGCGTCCTGGAAGGGTCGTACTAGGCTAGGTCCTTGATATTGACGGCAGAGGGAGGCATAGCAGTGGGCAGGGGGAAGGATAGCAGGGGGAGGTGTGGCACCCAAACAACTCACTCTGCTGCACAGGGGGTGGCTGTAGGCCACGAGCACGGGAAGCGTCCCGGAAGGGTCGTACTTGGCAAGGCCCCCGATATTGACGACAGAGGGAGGTATAGCAGGGGGAGGTACAACAGGTGGAGGAAGGTGCGACACTCAAAGCACTCACTCTTGCTGCACAGGGGATGGCTGTAGGCCACGAGCATGGGGAGCGTCCCGGAAGGATCGTACTTGGCAAGGTCCTCAATATTGACGGCTGCTTTATCCTTGCGCACAGCCCTGACCATGACGTCAGCGACACGTGTCGCCATCTGAGTGGACACCTGGTTGCGCTGCCTGAACTGCTGGTAGCGAGCAGGCTTGTTCTGGGGATAGGAGTGGAGGGGGGAAAAGGGGGGTGACGGGAGGAGTGTGGGGAGGGTTGAGAGCGGAGGTGGAAAGGGGAGGAGGACACCTGGTTGCGCTGCCTGAACTGCTGGTGGCGAGCAGGCTTGTTCTGAGGGGGGGAAGGGGGAGAGGAAGGGGAAGGGGAAGGGGGAGAGGAAGGGGAAGGGGAAGGGGGAGAGGAAGGGGAGGGGGTTGAAACAGGCGTTGGGGTTGAAGGAAACACGAGGGAAGGGCAAAGAGACCTGGTTGCACTGCCGGCACTGCTGGTAGCGGGCAGGCTTGTTCTGAGGGAGGGAGGAAGAGGGTGGGGAAGAGGGTTGGGAAGAAGGTGGGTAAGAAGGGGACGGGGAGGAGAGGATGAAGAGAGGGTAAGGGTATGCGCCGACCTGTTGTGTTGGCGGGCGGGCTTGTTCTGAGAGGGGGGGTTGCGCTTACCTGCGTCTTGGGGGGGGGAGAAGATTCCGACCGTCCCGCCGGTCTTGTCCAGCCTCCGCGCGTGGCGATGACGATACCTGCTGCTGCAACAACTGCGCGCACTTGCGGGCAGGTGGAATGCGCTTACCTGAGTCCCAGGGGAGAAGATTCTGACCGTCCCACCGTTCTTGTCGAGCCTCCGCGCTTTGGGAAGGAGGAGGAGAGCATGAGAGAGAGTGAGGAGAGAGAGGACGGGCGCGCATTGCTCTGAGAAAGGGAGGAACGCGCTTACCTGCGTTCTGGGGGAGAAGATTCCGACCGCCCCGCCGTTCTTGTCCAGCCTCCGCGCGTGCGCCGCGGTGAGCATGGCGACGAGGGCGCGCTTCTCCATCGTCTTGCGCGCAATCATCGCGTCGGGCCCGCGCGTCATGCGCGCAACGCCCTTCACTCCGCCGTAAGACTGCGCGCAGGGAAGACGAGCGGGGTTCGGGGGGAAGGGGAAAGGGGAGGATGCGGGGGAGGCGGATAGCGGAGAATAAAGCGTTAGAGACGGGTTTCGGGGAAAGATTCTGGTCGTACAGTTTATATATCTACCAATTTCAGTTGTATATTGCCGAATGTACAGTTCAATGTAGAGATTTCCGTCATATCATTTTAAGATTATCTTAATTATAGTCGTTTGCTCACCATGGCGACAGGAGCGCCAATCGCGCTCATGCGACTGGCGAAGATCGCAGAACCCGGAATGACGACGTTGGCGACCCAAACCGCCGTCGTCGTGAGCTGTTGTGCGACGACGCGAGGGACAAGAGGGGAGGGGGGAAAGGAACGGGAGGAAGAGAGGTGGGGGGGGAGAGGGGAGTATGGGTATGGATACAGATGGGTACGGATGGGTATGAATGGGAGTGGATGGGTACAGATGGATATGGATGGTACGGATGGGTGGGTCTCCACGTGAGCAATAAGTTTCTCTTTGCTCGGCGCGCAACGTGCCTGACTGTAGACGTTCTTCGCACACTCCTCCTTGCTCGGCGCGCAGCCCATCCCGCAGTTGGTCCATTTCCCGCCGTACGCGCTACAGTCGTGCACGCATAACGAACCCGCGGGCCGATATCCCGCCTTACACTTGGGCATGCAGTCTCCCATAACGTTTTGCTGCCGCATCGGGCATTTTGATAAGCCCTTCTTGCCTCGGGATTTCCGCGTGTAGGTGTCGCGCCAGCAGAAATTGAAGATCGACGAGGTGTTTACGACCTCTAGATTCTCGCGCCGAGGCACGGCATACGCGGCGGAAAGGCTACTTATATCGCGGATGGGTAGAGTGAAATCATTTGAAGATTCGATAAAATCTGGGCTCACATAAACGGATACGCAGCTCGAGAAGCAGCTAAATATGATCAAAGTTGCAACAGTGAATGACTGAGATAGAGATTTGCGTCTCGCGGCAATGGCGGATCCACCTATTCGCGGCATGGTCGAGACGTATTGAAGAATTGCTTGGTGCATGCTAGAACGAGATGAGGTATTGCAAAGGGAATTGCGGCACCAGCAAAGTAATTTGTGCCTCGTCGGCCTGGTCTCGGGAAAATAAAAGGGACCTGGCTAAAGAAATCACTATGTACAGTTGCTGCTAACCTCTGCTGTTGCTCGTGTAGTTGACACCGACTATAGTGCTCTCACCGTCAAAGACCCGACGGGCTCTCTATCGCGTGTTCTCTTCATCTCGTTTTTTCCACGGCGCAGTGCTCAGGCTCGTGAGCGGCGCTCTAAACGACGGCGTTAAATTGCGAGAGACAGTTCTAACCACGTCCTTGGTTCGGAGCCGGTGCGACTTGGGGAGGTAAATCACGAGAAAGACACTGCTCTTGTGGAGCAACCGCTGTGTAACTAGATGGAAATTTCTGCGCGAATGGTGCTCAGGGAAAGGCCTGTGTGACTGCGTCTCTGAGGGTACGGACGAAACGGGCGGACCGTCCCGTACCCGCAGTCGCCGTCCATCAGTGGGGCTCGACTCAAAAATGAGGTGACTCGTGAATCGACTCAAAAATCACATTGACGGGACTTTCCTTGCACGATGTGTCGGTGATCACGAGTACAGAGGGAGCCCTCCAATGCGTCGTCACTCGCGAATCGTGACGCGCATCGCCTGAAGCACAGGCCATGACGTGGTCAGTAAAACGTTGTCCAGCTCAACACCCACAAAACAACTTTCCTCGTCATGCTTGCTTTGATGAGGTTGGGTAGAGTGTTGGATCAGGCAGGAACACATAACCCCAAAGCGGGAATAATGAAATTTGTGGCACAAGCATTTCGCACCCATTTGCTCCCATGAATCATGCATGCCATTCACTCAGTCAGAGTCTTTCAAGGCTGGATTTGGGAATTTTGGGCTCCAAGCAGAGTTGAAATTACTTCGACGTGCAAATTCGAGATGAACGACAAATGCGTCTCGGGAAAGCGACGCTGGGTGTGTTGTTGCATGGTAACCTTCGGACCAGATTGGTTTCGGAAGAGATGTTTGGGTTAGCGCTATAGCATGGAAGCACAGGGAATTGTATCGCATTAGCTACTAACGATGAAATGTTTTCCCCGCCCGCAGATGTACAGCTTCTGAGCTTCTTGCCCTGCTGGCAACAGAGACTGCCATGCTGGCGCTCCCCTTTCGCCACCAGTGACTGTATTCCCGCAATACTGGAGCCCACCTCCAGAATCTCCGGCAATTAGCACATCTGCGTCACCCAAAAAAACGCACCCAAGCGCCCATGACGAAGCTGGTAACGCATCCAGTACCTGACGATGTAGGGCCCTGTTTGGCAGGCATCATGGCCATTAAGGCCATAATGGGCATTTCTAACGGACCCCCAAAAAATGCCGCCTGGGCATTTCGAGAAACAGCTTCGAAATCGGTTTGTAGCTGCAGTGCACATTCTGAAAAACGGGGTTGAGTGGTTGGTTGGCAATATTTGGGTGTAGATTGATGGCATCTTTCGAGATTTCGGGTTTTGCAGAAGATGGTAAGCAGTTGCCATGATGGTTCGCGTGATCATGTGATTGGCTGGCATATTTGACTAGTCACTTTTTATTGGCTGCGTTCTGTTAGCGCATTATTTATGCGTGCATGACGCACAAGTTGTGCGCTCAAAGGCTTCTGTGCAGGAGAGTACCCCCACAAAACTATCACGAAGTTATGACCCAGGCGCGAGGTATCTGTGGGGCAGGCACCAGGGTGTTTACGCGGGGGCGGACCCAAAATATTTGACAGCAACAGCGCTGACCTGTTTTGGCACACAACGAATGGCTACAAACGAACACCCAACGGCAGGCACCTCAAAACCCAATTTGTGCACCCGATTGGGTGACAACCGTTAGGTGGTAACCGTTGGGTTAAAAAAATAGCCGAAGTCGTACTTTTCTCGGACGTTTTTCGCTGCCATGCACAGCTTGTGCGCCCCTTTAACGTTGGGAGACGTGCGGATGGGACTCGCACAGGCTGCGCGGGAGGTTTGCCTGTGAACGCAAGGTCCTAGAATTTTCCGAGCGCATAGGCAGTACAACGTTTTTGCGCACGCACGAGTAATGCGCGCACAACTTCCGCAGCAGAGTTTCGGGTCACACTAACGACTCCCTCCGTGTCAGAATCCCAACCACTAGACCATTGGGATAAAATGGCTTGTTTCAGTAGCGGGTCAGTGCGCCCATAACCCCCCAGACAAACGCGCCTGTAACCCCCCCTAGGATCGATCGGAGATCTCACAGTGTAGCTCTACTGACACCCCCCCACACTGGGAGGCCCAGGACTGAGCACAGTGGCAACGTCCAACATGTGCATACACCGGGATTCGAACCCGAGACCGCTCTGATACCATGTCAGAATCCCAACCACTAGACCATTGGGATAAAAGGGCTTGTTTCAGTAGCGGGTCAGTGCGCCCATAACCCCCCAGGCAAACGCGCCTGTAACCCCGCCTAGGATCGATCGGGGATCTCACAGTGTAGCTCTACTGACACTCCGGCCCCAAGCCTTGTCGCGCAAATTCCTCGTATATTCTCCGTTAGGGTTACGCACAGGCTATGCGCCAACAGAACGCAGCCATTGCCCCGAATCACTGATACCCCGCATAGTGCGTGGCCTCGAGGCCGCATGGTGCGGGGGATCAGAAAATGGGCACTTTGCCAGAGAAACTCCGTTGGGTGTAGATTCCGGCGGTGGAAAACGCCTGCAAAAAAAGGGGTGTTTGGTTGGCATTCCATTATTGTCAGGTTCGACGTAGTCCGCTTATATCGAGCCTTGATAGCCTTTAATGCGCTTATCGAAGAAGGTTCTAGGGTGGTCAGTTCACTGTAGCCCATCCCCCTCGCCCGTTTTTTTTATGCCTGCCAAACCGGGCCTAGATTCCAATTGGTTGCGATCAGATGTATCTCTCACGAAATTCTCCGGAAATTGTTACAATGGCACTCCCAGAGAAACTGTAACCTCCTTGCAGAGCTAGTGTTAGGCTAGCGTTTGGAAGAGGGTTCGGAGAAAGTTTTGAAGGGCTAACCACGCCCCCCCAAGATCGGAAGCAGCCCATCCCGAGATCGGAAGGAGGGGGTCGTCTCGGCGATGTTGCAACCCCTCCTTCCACCATCGTCATCGTGGGCAGGGTCCAAAATTTTACATCGCACCCCACGTGAACCTGGGTTTAGGGTTGAGGTGAAACAAAACCCTGGTGTTTGGTTTGGTTGTGGGAGGAGGGGGACTTTTTCAGGGCAGAGATGGGTGAGGTTGGAGCATGGCCCCTGCTGAGAAAACTTACGTGGGGTATGGGGTGGGTACCCCCTTCCTTTTGGAACCCTAGCCTATCCCTTGGCCAACCTCCATTTTGGGGGTGCGAGGGCTGGGCTAGAGCTAGGCTAACCTCTGTGCGCGTGAGAAGGGACTTGGAGCTTTCGGGTGGTATGATTTTGAAGGGTTAAAGTAGCGTTCGACAGGCTAACACTAACCCTTCAGGATACAGAGCGTTAAAGCCCCGTGACATCAAATTACGGGCTGACCGTGGAAAAAAACCCAATCACGAAACCACGCGACTTTTTCTGCGGAAGGGCTTGCCTGCCTATCGAACAGGGCCAATGGTCGCACGAGCAGAGCCTTGGGATCTTCGCACACAATTCAGGCTCGAGCACTTATTCCAGAAAGCTCATCTTTCAGATTCCAGTCGAATTGTCAGGCAGTCGTTTTTCATTCAGCAATTTTTCAGATTCCCTTTTCTTCTTGACTTTCCTTCTAGGGAGCTTCCAGCCGACGTCTCTTTCAGAAAGACAACTTCTAATCGCCTTCTTCCACGCTCAGTTTCACCATGGCTAAGAAGAGCGTTAGTTCGTTGACTGAGGCTGACCTTAAGGGAAAGAGGGTGCTTGTCAGGGCTGATCTGAACGTCCCTCTAGCCGGCGATACGATCACCGACGACACGCGCATTCGCGCGGCCATTCCCACCATCAAGTACCTGACGGAGAAGGGTGCTAAGGTTCTTCTCGCGACCCACTTGGTGAGCCTTCGGAAAACATGTGTAAAATGCCTTTTCTAGGCCATTCTTGAAGCGAGCACGTTGATGCAGCTGTGTTGGTTGTCTACTCAATCATTAGCGCTGGATCTATGTCAGCATGTTTTTCACGACAATATTCTTTGTCGTCGTCAGTTAATCTGGCGGTTGTGTCGTATTGTCGTCCCATTCTCTTCCGTCCTCTCATTCTCGTGTTTTTTCAGGGACGTCCTAAGGGCGTCACCGAGAAGTACCGCCTGACACCTCTCGTTCCTCGGCTCTCAGAGCTTCTGGACCAGGAGGTCAGTATTGATCACTTTCTCTAATTTTTTTCCTATGTTTTCCTGCATATCATGCAAACTATCCAACGCCGTAACGCTAATTAACGCGAACACCAGAACATCTTTCAGCGCAGCATTTGCACATGGCTTCCTTCTCATCCAACCGAGTTAACTTCAGATATTTTGCGATCTTCTATTTTCTTCCTTTCCCCCGTGCGTTATGAGCAGGTGAAGAAGGTTGACGACTGCATCGGCGAGGTCGTCGAGAAGGCCGTCGCAGAGCTTAAGGAGGGTGAGGTGCTGCTGCTCGAGAACGTGCGGTTCCACCCCGAGGAGGAGAAGAATGTCCCGGAATTCGCGCAGCAGCTCGCGGCGAACGCGGATCTCTACGTCAATGACGCGTTCGGCACGGCGCACCGCGCGCACGCGTCCACGGAGGGCGTGACCAAGTTCCTGAAGCCGTCCGTTGCTGGATTCCTCCTTCAGAAGGTAAGCTTGATCTGCTCCTTGTCAGTTTCATTCTTTTGCATCTTATATGTCTTGGTATCGGTTCACGACGGGGTCGGCACGGCGCACAGGGCGCACGCGTCCACGGAGAGCGTCACCAAGTTCCTGAAGCCGTCCGTTGCTGGAATTCGCTTCGCTTTTCTATGCGCACAACCTTCATTTATCAGTGTGATTTGGAATCTGTGAAACAGCTGATTTTTTTTGTTAACCCGGAATTCCTTAGCAAACGTACACAGCTAATCTGATGACATTCCAGCTAATCTGGTTGTGCTTCACGTTTTGCCGTTTCTCTCGCATGAAGCGCCATTCCCTTGATCTGTGTACTCGTTATTGTCTACCTCAGGAGCTGGATTATCTTGTTGGGGCCATCGCTGAGCCCAAGCGGCCGCTGGTGGCTGTCGTGGGTGGATCTAAGGTGTCCACCAAGATCAGCGTGCTGGAGTCTCTTATCAACAAGTAAGTTCCACGTTGCATCTCGCCTTTAGATGATTCCAGTCGTGACTGGGTCGGGACGGCTGATCTAGGTCGTGGGAGGGTCCAAGGTGTCTACCAAGATCAGCGTGCTGGAGTCTCTTATCAACATTCTCAATAAATAGGTTATCCGTTTCTGCGAGTTGCCGTCGTGTGGGGCTTCTACTTTTACTCGACTTAAATCTAGGCGCTAATGGCCATCGTGGGGAGGGTCCAAGGTGTCTCAAGCTTAGCGTGCTTGAATGTCTTATCAACAAGTAAGTTTCACGTTGCGTCTTGTATCTAGATGATTCTGGTTGTGGCTGTATAGGCTTCGGGACGGCTGATCCAGATCGTGGGAGGGTCCTAGGTTTCTACCAAGATTAGCGTGCTGGAGTCTCTTATCAACAAGTAGGTTAATTCTTCTCAATAAATAGGTTATTTGTTTCTGGTAGCCTTCGACTTGATTCCAGTTTTTACTGTCTATACTTTGTGACGGTTGATGGGGAATAGTTGGCGAGTCCAAGCTGTCTACCACATCAGCGTGCTGGGGTGTGGAGTTTAAGCGTGCCACCAAGCTTGTCTTGAGGGTGAATACCCTTGTTCTTGTGTCAACCCTTCCCACCTTTTCCCCCACTTCCCGAACCGCCCTCCCTCCTCCCAGGTGCGACGCGCTGCTGTTGGGCGGCGGCATGATCTTCACGTTTTACAAGGCGCAGGGCCTGTCGGTGGGGTCGTCGCTGGTGGAGACGAGCCAGGTGGAGCTGGCGGCCAGCCTTATCAAGCTGGCCGAGGAGAAGAACGTCGACCTGCGCCTGCCCCTGGACGTCAAAGTCGCGGATAAATTCGATAACGGCGCGAATTCCAAGGTGAGACTACTCCAGGGCTGGGTGCAGTAGCGTTATCGTAAGAGAGGGGTTTGAAAGGAGGGGAGAACGGTGGAAGGGTGGAATGGGAAAAGGCGTGCTGTTGCTGCTGCAGTGTAGGGACAATCGGAAATTGAAGCGGAGCGTAAACCCAGTCCATGGTATCATGGCTGTCTCTCGTCAACAACCTATGTCTTCTGCTGCCCGTATATTCGCCACCCAGCTCTAGTCGGTACAGATGCCATGCCAAATGGTTGGATGGGTCTGTGAAACACCCCTGGCAGCATCAACGCATGTTCCTGGTTCCAGGTAAGTAAGTGAAGGGACAATGCTGGTGAAGTCGTTGTAGGCAATTTGATTCAAACGTGTGCCTCTCTTCTCTCTTCCTCCCCCACCCCTTCCCATCTCCAGGTGGTTTCAGCAGACTCCATTGAGGATGGCTGGATGGGTCTTGACATTGGTCCTGACACCATCGGTGCATTCTCTGGTGTGCTGGATGGCGCCAAGACCATCATCTGGAACGGCCCCATGGGCGTCTTTGAGATGTCAAACTTCGCTGGAGGAACCAATGTGAGTCCTGCTTCAAGTGATGCGAGAGACGCGGATGATGTGAGTGATGTGATTGTGATGGGATTTTGAGATTTCGAATTTTGCTGAAGGAACCACTGTGAGTGCTGCATCAAGTGATACCTGTGATGTCAAAGATGCGGATGATGCGAGGGATGCGAGTGTGATGCAAGTGATGCGAGTGACGTGAGTGACAACTGTGATGCGAGTGATGCGAGGTGATGGCCCATGCTGACATGCTGTCATGCCTCAAGTCGTCCGCTGTGCCTCCCAGCGTCCCTTTCCCTCCTTCGTTGCGTACACCCATGGAATTTCCAAAACGCCCTATCGCCCCCAACCCCACTCATGTTGCTTTGTTCAACTGCAGGCTATTGCCGCTAAGCTTGCAGAGATGACAGGAAAGGGTGCCACAACCATCATTGGAGGGGGTGACAGCGTGGCAGCAGTGGAACAAGCAGGATTGGCTGACAAGATGAGCCACATTTCAACAGGTGGCGGAGCCTCATTGGAGCTGTTGGAGGGTAAGGTGCTCCCTGGTGTTGCTGCGCTCGACGAGGCATGAATAATTAGGGCTATGCAGCAGAAAATCTGCTGCTTTAGAGTTGTTGAACTGATAGTCAAGGCAGAGGAAATAGGTACTAGAGCATCTTCGAAAAATCATTGCATGTTTTAATGAATGCAGTCAGATGTAACGGAATGTCAGCACCGAGGCTTTTTTTTGGATTTTCACTACTCGGAATTCCAGAGCTGTTTTCTAGGGAACTCTGAAATTCAGGGTTTATTATGTGCGTACTCTGATTTGTCAGAGAAAACTTAACTTCTGAAAAATATTCTCTGAGCTATCAGAGTTCCTATGTTTCCATCTCTGAATATCCTCTAAAGTATTGATCCCAGGCCTTCTGCATTCCTATCAAAAGTATAACCGTTGTGCTACGCGCTTGCTATATACGCAGATGACGTTGTTAATTTTATACCGTTGTTTTTATAGTTAATTTGCCAAACCATCTTCCACCAATTGGAAGGGGCCTCGGTCGAAATGCCTATACCCTTTACAGAGAAAAATACATTCGCCACAAATATACACTGGTCTCTCAGAGTAGCTAAAATCAGAACCCTGACAAATTAGAGAAAACTAATCTTCCAAAAAAATTACCCAGACACGTTAGTGACCCCCTAAAAACCACTCTGATTTTCAGAGAAACAGAGTAATTTACTCTGATAAAAAAACCCCTGGTCAGCACCTCTTTTGAACCAGATATATGTAATCCCAAAAATCAATCTGACCACCCCTGCGAATCATGAGGGAACATAAGGCAGTCCCTCAACTCCGCAAAACTCATTCTACTGGCAGTAGTTGCTGCAGCCTGTGAGGAAGCAGCAACCATCTGCAGGTATGAATTTTCCCACAGTTCAAGGCAAGAGCCAGGATAACAAGAATTCGGACGACATATGGTCCATTGCTGCTGCCCTTCTTCATGACCGGTTATTTTCAAACCAGTGGGATTTTTGAATCACCATCCCTTGCTCCCACCAGCAGCAACACGCATGGCAGGTCCCTAGACTGCCATCCTCTCCCACCCGCCCACCATCGGCAGAAGCTGCTGAACCTTGTCATACATCCCTAGCAGCCCTCCTGTATGTACAAACAAAACTTGCCGCCCCGCCCATTCGTCTGGATTCTGTTTCATGTCCTGTAGCAATCCCCTGAGAGCCTTGCCACTTTGGGAAGGAGGAATGGGAGAGGGAGGAGGGAGAGGGAGGGAAGGATGAGAGAGGAGATGCGGGGATCAGTTAAGGCTTTAATGCCACATAGAGCCACATAAACATATACACTCGAACGGACATAGTACCTGTAGACTGGGTCGAGCACTATGGCAGTGCAGTTAGCCACATAGACACGTATAAATACAGTATTACAAAAATGTACACATACGGTAGACATGTACACTCCAATGCACACACCTGTACAGGTCGAGCATTATGCTGGTGCTTTGAGCCACATAGATACATAATAACACAGTAACTAACATTTTTACATGTACACTAATAATACACTTTCACGCACATACCTGTAGACTGGGTCGAGCACTATGCCGGTGCTTTGAGCAACAGACTGCACCAGCTGAAGCTCCTCCTCTGTGCTGATAGCGTAGCCTGCCCCCTTCACCTGCTCACATGCTCATATGCACGCATGGAAGTACAGGCACATATACACAGATGGACACATATGAATGCACACAGCGACACAGACTGGACTGCACCAGCTGAAGCTGCTCCTCTGTTGTGCTAATAGCGTAACGTGCCCCCTTTCACCTGGGAACATGCCCGCATACATACACAGGGATACAGACCCATATGAAAGCACACAGAGGGTCACAGACTCAACTGCGTCAGCTGAAGCTGCTCCTCTAAGCTCATGGCGTACCGTGGCCCCTTCACCTGCTCACACATGCATGTGTAGATACATTTGTGTGCATACATATGAAAGCACACAGGGGCACAGACTGGACTGCACCAGCTGCAGCTCCTCCTCCGTGCTTATGGCGTAGCCTGCCCCCTTCACCTGCTCACATGTGTACACAGGGACGCACACACACACACGGAATAGCCGGGAGTGTCACAGACACACAGGGAGCACTATGCCTATGCTTTGAGCCACGGTCTGCACTAGCTGAAGCTCCTCCTCTGTGCTTATGGCGTAGCCTGCCCCCTTCACTTGCTCATGCGGTCAGATCAATGTATGGGTGTACACGCACATATGCAGGCATGCGCGTATGGAGGTATAGGCACATATGCAGGCATGCGCGTATGGAGGTATAGGCACATATGCAGGCATGCGCGTATGGAGGTATAGGCACATATGCAGGCATGCGCGTATGGAGGTATAGGCACATATGCAGGCATGCGCGTATGGAGGAGGTATAGACACATATGAGTGCACACAGGGACACAGACCCTATCGCCACTGCACCAGCTGAAGCTCCTCCTCCGTGCTCATAGCGCAGCCTGCCCCCTTCACCTGCTCACGAGCACAGATGCACGTACGGAAATACAGTCACATGAGACAATCATGCATACAGGGTCGCAGTCCAGACTGCACCAGCTGAAGCTCCTCCTCCGTGCTGATGGCGCAGCCTGCCCCCTTTCACCTGGACAAATACACAGATGCACACATGCAGACATCCACGCACGGATGCATGCAGACTCATGCATGTGGAATGAAGCAGTTCGTCGGAAGAAACTCTCCCAGGCTTAGTTCTGATTCCGTCCAGCAGCCCCTGGAAGAAGGTGCTTTTTTGAGGCGCCTCACAACTAGACGCCTCAAAACTAGACGCCTAAAAAAAAAACAACTTCTGACTCCCTCCAGCAGCCCCTGGAAAAAGATGGGAGAGTCGCGAGTCGGCAATTCTCTTTCCTTTCCAATGGGCATGGATGAGAGAGAGGGTGATGAGAAGGCGGCTCACATCAATGACTTGCAGCGGTTCCTTTGAAGAGATGCTCCCAGGTGTTGACATGACTCCGTCCAGCAGCCCTTGAATGTAGTCGTAGAAGGAAGTAGGCGGGAGAGTCGCACACAGAGTAGGCATTCACTTCCCTTTCCAATGAACAGGGATGAGAAAGCGGGGAGTGAAAAGGAAGCTCACGTCAATGACTCGCAGCAGTTCCTTAGACGAAACGACCCCTGGCTTCGACGTGACTCCGTCCAGCAGCCCTTGAATATAGTCGTAGAAGGAAGTAGGCGGGAGAGTCGCGCACAGAGAAGGCATTCGGCATTGCAGGAGGAGTGAGAGGATGTGAGGCGACAACCCAGAAACCCTTACATCAATGACTCGCAGAAGGTTCCTTGAGTCAACACTCCCAGGCTTGGATGTGACTCCATCTAGCAACCCTTGAATGTAGTCGTAGAAGCAGCCGGGAGAGTTGCACATTGAGAGGGGAAGAGAGAGAGGGAAAAGCGAGGAGAGCTCACATCAATGACTTGCACCAGGTCCTTTGAAGAAACGCTCCCAGGCTTTGACGTCACTCCGTCCAGCAGCCCTTGAATGTAGTCGTAGAAGCAGGCGGGAGTGTCGCACACAGAGTGATGAAGAGAGAGGGGAGAGCGATACAAAGGACTGTTTGAGGGGAAAGTGAAGGGAACTCACATCAATGACCCGAAGCAGGTCCTTTGAAGCAACACTCCCAGGCGTGGATGTGACCCCATCCAGCAGCCCTTGAATGTAGTCGTAGAAATAGCCGGGAGAGTCGCACACAGAGTAGGCATGCACACGGGTAGAAGAGAGAGCACTCAGATGCACTCCCAGCGCCAACCCTGCTGAGGTGCCGCCACTGGGGGGGATGGTGTGGGGGAGAAGCGGAGGGAGAAGGACAACGAGGGTTGGTTTGAGGGAAGCAGGGAGTTGTGGAGGTAACTGTAAGTGTCGCACACAGAGTAGGCGTGCACGCGGGTAGAGGAGAGAGCACTCAGATGCACTCCCAGCGCCAGCCCTGCTGACGTGCCGCCACTGGGGGAGATAGCGTGGGGGTAGCAGGGAAGCAGGGAAGCAGGGAAGCAGGGAGGTGTGGGAGTAATTGAGAGAGTCGCACACAGAGTAGGCAAGCACGCGGGTGGAAGAGAGGGCGCTCAGATGCACTCCCAGCGCCAACCCTGCTGAGGTGCCTCCACTGGAGGTGTTTTAGAAGTGAGATATGGAGGGACAGGTTGTCAAGAGAGGGGGAAGCGGTCAAAAAGAGTCGCACACTGCCAGAAGGCATGTGCAGTTATGAGGCGCCTCAAAAGCAGCCAAAAGGTGTCGCACACAGCCAGATGGCATGTCTGCTTTTGAGTCGACTCAAAAGCAGTTTTGAGGCGCCTCAAAAGCAGCCAAAAGGTGTCGCACACAGCCAGATGGCATGTGCGTGCAGTGAATGCCGTCTCATGCATATCTCCCCTCATCACAGCACTAAGCACTCACCTGCCACACGCCATGGCAATATCGTCAAACCCGGAAGCACCCCCCCCCTCGCCTCTGCTCAACTGCACACTCACAGCCAACCTCACACCATCTCATGCAGTCTCCCCTCATAAACAGAGCACTGAGAACTCACCTGCCACACGCCATGGCAATATCATCAAACCCGAAAGCACCCCCCGCCTCTCCTTTGCTCAACTGCTGCTCGATCTCCAGCCTCACCTCTATCTTTCCCCTCTATTCCTCACCTGCCACACGCCATGGCAATATCGTCAAACCCTGAAGCACGTCCCGCCTCGCCTCTGCTCAGCTGCACGCACACACCAACACATGCTCTCATCCCCCTGATTGAATCACACTGCAGGTGACTTTTGAGTCGACTCAAAAGTCACATGCTCTCATCCCCCTGATTGCTTCTCCCTTCATCACAGCACTGAGCTCTCACCTGCCACACGCCATGGCAATATCGTCAAACGCCGAAGCACCCCCCGCCTCGCCTCTGCCCATTTGCTGCTCGATCTCTCTCACTGCCTCCATATACCCCCTGGTGGGACGGACATGGAAAGGGAGTGGTAACCAGGTAACATCAGGTGGGATGGTTGAAAGGAGGGTTACTATGAAGGAAAGACAGCTAATGCTCGACCTCCCTCACTGCCTCCATGTACCCCCTGGTGGGGCGGACAGGGAAGGGGAGGGGTGGTAACCAGGTAACATGTAGCTTTTGGTGTAATCAAACCCTGAAGCACCTCCCGCCTCTCCTCTGCTCAACTGCTGCTCGATCTCCCTCACTGCCTCCATGTATCCCCTGGTGGAATGGTGGTAACCGGGTAACAAGTAGGGGCGGACAGCAAAGGGGGTGGTAACCAAGTAACATGCCCCGAAATCATCAAACTCTGAAGCAACTCCAGCTGCTCAGCTGCTGCTCAATCTCCCTCACTGCCTCCATGTACCACCTGGTGGTGGGATAGTGGTAACCAGGTAACAAATAGGGGCGGACAGGGAAGGGGGTGGTAACTAGGTAACATGTGGCCCCTGGTATTGTCAAACCCTGTAGAACCCCCCGCCTCGCCTCTGCCCAGCTGCTGCTCAATCTCCCTCACTGCCTCCATGTACCCCCTGGTGGGTAGTGGTAACCAGGTAACAAATAGGGGCGGACAGGGAAGGGGGTGGTAACTAGGTAACATGTGGCCCCTGGTATTGTCAAACCCTGTAGAACCCCCCGCCTCGCCTCTGCCCAGCTGCTGCTCAATCTCCCTCACTGCCTCCATGTACCCCCTGGTGGGTAGTGGTAACCAGGTAACAAATAGGGGCGGACAGGGAAGGGGGTGGTAACTAGGTAACATGTGGCCCCTGGTATTGTCAAACCCTGTAGAACCCCCCGCCTCGCCTCTGCCCAGCTGCTGCTCAATCTCCCTCACTGCCTCCATGTACCACCTGGTGGTGGGATAGTGGTAACCAGGTAACAAATAGGGGCGGACAGGGAAGGGGGTGGTAACTAGGTAACATGTGGCCCCTGGTATTGTCAAACCCTGTAGAACCCCCCGCCTCGCCTCTGCCCAGCTGCTGCTCAATCTCCCTCACTGCCTCCATGTACCCCCTGGTGGGTAGTGGTAACCAGGTAACCAGGTAGGGGGATGGGTGAAAGGAGGAAAAACAGCTGCTACTAAATCTCCCTTAGTGTTTCCATCCAGGTACCCCCTGGTGGGACATGGGAGGGGAGAGGGTAAACGTATAGGTGCCTAGAGCGGTGGAGCTCGCATCAAGGGTGTTGGGGGAGCTGAAAATCACTTTTGAGTCGACTCAAAAGCAGGGTGTTGGGGGGGCTCAAAGTCGACTCAAAAGCATATCGTGCTTTTGAGTCGACTCAAAAGCATAAAAAACAGAATATCTTCGCACACAAGCATATCGTGCTTTTGAGTCGACTCAAAAGCATAAAAAAACAGAATATCTTCGCACACAAGCATATCGTGGAAAGCTTACCACTCCGCGTGTGATGAGTCGATTTTAGAGTCGTTTGACCCCCCAACAGGGTTGTTAAAATCGACTCATCACACAAGCATAGCATGGATAGCTTACTAACTACTCACCAAGTGCCAAGGGCGTTTGACCCCCCAACAGGGGCGGACACAAGTCTGAGGGAGGAGGAAAGGTCAAGGATATGTGTGAAGCACCTTATATTTACACTATCTTGAACTTACTACTCACCAAGTGCCAAAGGCGTTTGACCCCCCAACAGGGTTGTTGAAGCACCTTATATTTACACTATCTTCACACCGATTTAAAGCGTGCTTTACTTATTACTCACCAGGTGCCGAGGGCGTTGGAGCCCCCAACAGGGATGACGCAGGGCCTCCTTCCCTCTGCTGATGCTAGCCGCTCTTTTGAGGGGATAGCTGTTCGTCTGAGGCGCCTCAACGATTATAAGATGTATCTTTCACTGCATGCTTCACTGTATTCTCACCAGGTGCCGAGGGCGTTGGAGCCCCCAACAGGGATGACGTAGGGCTTTCTTCCCTCCGCTCCTAGCCATTGTTTCAAGACACCTCAAAGGTTCATAGCATGATTTACTGAAAGAGTTCTCACCAGGTGCCGAGGGCGTTGGAGCCCCCAACAGGGATGACGTAGGGCTTTCTTCCCTCCGCTCCTAGCCATTGTTTCAAGACACCTCAAAGGTTCATAGCATGATTTACTGAAAGAGTTCTCACCAGGTGCCGAGGGCGTTGGAGCCCCCAACAGGGATGACGTAGGGCTTTCTTCCCTCCGCTCCTAGCCATTGTTTCAAGACACCTCAAAGGTTCATAGCATGATTTACTGAAAGAGTTCTCACCAGGTGCCGAGGGCGTTGGAGCCCCCAACAGGGATGACGTAGGGCCTCCTTCCCTCTGCTCCTCACTGTACGGCAAGTAGCTCCCCCAAGTGAATCCTGTGTCACGTGAATGCATAGCATGCTTCACCATTCTCACCAGGTGCCGAGAGCGTTGGAGCCCCCAACAGGGATGACGTACGGCCTCCTTCCCTCTGCTGCTAGCCGTTCAGCAAGCACTTTCCCGAGATGCTGCACGAGAGGGGTGGGGGTGAGAAAACGGGTAGGGGATGGGGGGAGGGGGAGTGAAAGGCGACTGTTTAGAGACGTCTCAAAACTCAAAAGTCATGAGACGTCTCAAAAAATTGTTCAGAGATGGTACATGAGAGAGTATGACCCCCCAACTAGGATGACATAGGGCCTCCTTCCCTCAGCTGCTAGCCGCTCGGCAAGCACCTTCCCCAGATGCTGCACGGGGGAGTAAAAGGGGGTGTGGTGTGGTGGGGGGAAAGGATGGGGCGAGAAAAGGGGAGTGACAAACAAACAGGGATGATGTACGGTCTCCTTCGCTCTGCTGCTAGCCGCTCGGCAAGCACCTTCCCCAGATGCTGCATGGAGGGGTGGAGAGAGTAAAAGGAGTTGGTTACAAATGGTACATCTGATCTGAGCACTGGTTACCACCACAATCCGCTCCACTGGCGAAACGTTCTTGTGACATAATTCTCAGCGAGCAGCAAACTTAGCCAGGCTTTAATCAAAGGTACATCTGATCTGAGCACTGGTTACCACCACAATCCGCTCCACTGGCAAAAACGTTTAGAAAAAACACAAAGCCTTTCCCCCTCCCTCGCTCTCCCTGTTGCCTGCCCTCCCAGCCCTCCGCCTCACCTCGCTGCCGTGCTTGGCGTACTCCTCTTTGATCACCAGATGCACCTTCGGACCCACCAGTCACTGCTGCAGCGGCAAGCACACCCACCCACCCGGGCCACCCTCGATCCCTTCCCCCCCTTCTCACCTCACTGCGGTGCTTGGCGTATTCCTCTTTGGTCACCAGATGCACCCTGGCCCCCACCATGCGCTCCACCAGCGCATGTGCTCTGAGCTCACTCTAAAGCCTCCCCGCCTCCTCTCGCCCCACCTCACCTCGCTGCCATGCTTGGCGTATTCCTCTTTGGTCACCAGATGCACCCTGGCCCCCACCATGCGCTCCACCAGCAGATTGCCTTCCAGGCCCGGATCAGAGCCTGCCAGTGCCTGACGAGGGGGGAAAGAAGGAGGAGATTCACATGCAAGGTGTGCACCTTTACACATGCACCCTGGCCAGATGCACCCTCGCCCCCACCATGCGCTCCACCAGCAGGTTGCCCTCCAGGCCCGGATCAGAGCCTGCCAGCGCCTGGTCAAGTCAAGGGGAGGGGCGATAGGTGGTCATGGATAGAGTCATAAGAGGAGCACCATTCGCTCCACCAGCAGGTTGCCCTCCAGGCCCGGATCAGAGCCTGCCAGCGCCTGATGAGGGGGGAAAGAAGGAGGAGATTCACATGCAAGGTACGCACCTTTACACATGCACCCTCACCAGATGCACCCTCGCCCCCACCATGTGCTCCACCAGCAGGTTGCCCTCCAGGCCCGGATCAGAGCCTGGCAGCGCCTGGTCAAGTCAAGGGGAGGGGCGATAGGGGGTGATGGATAGAGTCATAAGAGGAGCACCATTCGCTCCACCAGCAGGTTGCCCTCCAGGCCCGGATCAGAGCCTGGCAGCGCCTGGAGGGAGAGGAAAGAATGAAAGGGCAAGGGCAAGGGGTGAGAACCACAGGGGAGGAGGAGAGTTACTGCCAAGGGATGCACCCTCGCTGCCCCCACCATGCGCTCCACCAGCAGGTTGCCTTCCAGGCCCGGATCAGCGCCTGTGAGCGCCTGTTGAGAGGAAAGAGAGGGCGGAACATTAAGGGAGCAGAGCAGTGAAGGAACGACAGCAGGAAGCTTGTATGTATGCACCTTCGCCTCCACCAGCAGATTGCCCTCCAGGCCTGGATCAGAGCCTGCCAGCGCCTGATGGGGGGATACGGGAAGAGTGAAGGGGAGATGGTGAAGGGAAAAGGCTATTGCCACGGGATGCACCCTCACCAGGTGCACCTTCGCCCCCACCATGCGCTCCACCAGCAGCAGATTTCCTTCCAGGCCCGGATCAGAGCCTGCCAGCGCCTGGAGGGAGGGGTGATAGGGGGAAAAGGGAAGAATGACACATACACCCTCACCAGATGCACCCTGACCCCCAACATTTGCTCCACCAGCAGATTGCCCTCTAGGCCTGGATCAGAGCCTGCCAGCGCCTGGTGAGGGGCGGGGGGAATGAGAGCAAGAAGGGGAGCAAGGGAGTAAAGGAAACACAGCAGGTGGGCCAGACACATGCACCCTGGCCAGATGCACCCTGGCCCCCACCATGCGCTCCACCAGCAGATTGCCCTCCAGGCCCGGATCAGAGCCAGCCAGCGCCTGGTGAGGAAGAATGAAGGGGGCGAGAATGAAGGGGGAGCACGTAGTGAAGGGGAAGGGTTACTGCCAAGGCATGCAACTTGGCCCCCACCATCCTCTCCACCAGCAGATTGCCCTCCAGGCCCGGATCTGAATCTGCTAGAGCCTGGTGCGGGGGCGATAGGGGGTAAAAGGGAAGAATGATAGGGAAAGAATGACTGCCTAAGCTTGCACCCTCGCCCCCACCATGCGCTCCACCAGCTACTTGCCCTCCAGGCCTGGATCAGAACCTGCCAGAGCCTGGCCAGAAGAAAAGAACGAAGAGTGAAGGGAGCGATACAATATGACAGTTACATTTAACGCCCCTCCCCCTCCCCTCGCCCTCCTCAAACCCTCCGCTAACCCCCCCTCCCCAGACCCCCTTCACGAGGTGACTTTTAAGTCGACTCAAAAGTCTCCTTCAACGCTCCTCCCCCTCCCCTCACGCTCCTCAAAGCCCTCGCTAAACCTCCCTTCCCACATCCCCTTCATCCTCCTCCACCATGCGCGCTACACCAGCAACCCCCCCCCCCCCCCTCTTTTTCCCCCTTCCCCTCAAGCCCAGCTTCCTCACCCGGCTGGTCCTCAGGATAAGGTGCGCCTCGAGCCCGGCCAATCGCGCGGCGACAGCTGTCGCGCGGCAATGATTGCTCTGGATGCCTCCAATGGTGATGAGCGTGTCCGCTCCTTTAGAGAGCGCGTCTGCTAGAAGGAACTCCAGCTTGCGCACCTGATGATTGTGATTGAGAACATACATACATAAACATATATATATATATATTTATATTTATATCATTACTACATCAAAGGGAGTACACTCTGGATGCCTCCAATGGTGATAAGTGTGTCTGTTTATGGGGTGTCAGCAAGCAGAAACTGCAGCTTGCGCACCTGATGATTGTGATGGAATACACACATATTAACGATATTAACGTATACAAATGCATGATTTCATAAGTATTTATATCAACAACTGTCTCAAAAGTACACTGTGGATCAATCACCGGCTTCCATCGCTTTCTCTTCTCCTCAAGCCGTCTCTTTCATCTAACGATCCGCCTACTCCCTGACGCGCTCTCTCCCTCCCCTTCCCTCACCTTGTTGCCGCTCAGCTCCATTCCCGAGAGATCATCCCTCTGTTCAGGGAGGAGACCGGTCACCGGCTTCCATCACTTTCTCTTCTCCTCAAGCCGTCTCTTTCATCTAACGACCCGCCTACTCCCTGAGCTCAAACTCTCTCCCCATCCCTCTCCCTCACCTTGTTGCTGGCTCAAAAGTGAACTGCCGATCACTCACAGGCTTCCATCGCTTTCTCTTCTCCTCAAACCGTCTCTTTCATCTAACCATCCGCCTACTCCCTGACCCGCTCTCTCCCTCCCCTTCCCTCACCTTGTTGCCGCTCAGCTCCATGCCTGAAAGATCATCCCTCTGCCCAGGGAAAGGGGACAGCAGGAGAACCAGGAGAACAAAGCAAAGGCCAGGCCGTCCACTCACTCCCTGAACCTCTCTCTCCCCATCCCCCTCCCTCACCTTGTTGCCGCTGAGCTCCATTTCTGAGAGATCATCCCTCTGCTCAGGAAGAAAAGGCAGCAGTAGAGGAAAGTCCACCCACTCATTCCCCAAACCTCTCACTCCCCATCCCCCTCCCTCACCTTGTTGCCGCTCAGCTCCATTCCTGAGAGATCATCCCTCTGCTCAGAAAGAGGGCAAGGACAGCAGAGGAGGAACAGAAATAGTTTTTCCAGCGTCAATTCCCCTCGTACTAAAAGAACAGAACAAGCAAACATGCAAGAATGTATCTGGGAGGTTTGCTAATATGACGTCTTTGTGAGGGGAGAGGAGACAGGAACTTGGGAACTGAAGAGTAGAACCGACACTGTGACTAATAGCTTGCTGACCTTAATGCAGAGCTCGGTGCTTTGAGGGAGATCTGGAACATTCCACCTATGACTTTTGAGTCGACTCAAAAGTGACTTTCGAGTCGACTCAAAAGCCACTGTGACTAATACTTGGCTCACCTTAATGTAGAGCTCCATGGTCGGTGGGGGATTTGGAATGTCTTTTGAGACGTCTTAGAAGTCGACAGTGTCACTGACCTTTATGTATAGCTCCGTGCCGGGTGGGAGATCTAGAATGTTCCACCGGTGAATAGGTGTGGGGCGCTGGTTGCAATAGAGAGAATGCGGGGTTTGCAAGGACATAGAAAGCAGAGAGGGAGTATGGATGAGTGTGCTTATTTGGGCGTGTAAGGCACCATGCCGGGTGGGAGGTCTGGAATGTTCCACCGGTGAATAAGGCGTGAGGTGCTGGAATAGAAAGATGAGGATCAGGGGATTCAAACGGTTGGGCGGGGGAGAGAAAGAGGGAGGCATTGAGAATTGTGCTTGTGCAGCGATACGGCTCTGCGCTCTGTGGGAGGCGGATGTATAGATAAGGCTCCGTTCCATGTGGGAGATCTGGAATGTTCCACTGATGTAGCGTTTCATCCTCATCCTTGTTCCCATTCCGGGGGTTATATGCTGCACCATTCCGAGGAAACGTCTCAGCGACAAGTAACCCGATTAGGGAAACCTCATGTTCCTACGGCAACACCATACTCACATGTGCGAGAGTGAGGAACTGGCTGGGCAGGGGGTTCAAATGAGAGGCCCATTCCGGGGGGTTATATGGCTGCAGCGACAGGTAACCCGATTCTGGAAACTTTCTGCTCCTGCTCCCATCCTCGTTAGAGACGGCAGCGTTAGCAGCAATAGGCTCCGCGGTGTGAGAATCCATGTTTGATTCCATTGCTCGCGGAATCCGGCTTTTGGAAGGCGCTGAAGAGAAACTCCTAGAAGCTGCCGCTGGGGCCACTACGAGCTTTTTTGACAGATGAGTGAGAGGAAAGCTGGAGCTTGAAAGGGTTCGCTCAGGAGCTGTTGTCGGTCGATATAAACAGACGTGCCTCTGGAGCAAGGACGAAGCGCATACTGTGGTGCGCATTGGACCAATAAAGAGAGTCCAAGGGAGGTTGCTGTAACAGACTGCGTCGTTACCCAAGCCGCGGGAATTCGCGTTGCAAATGGGACGATAAGTGAACGATTCTGGAGTTTCGAAACTGTTTGGTGCTCAGAACTCCTTTTCGTGCTGTTGCCTGTTTCGGCCACTGAGGACCGGAGAGTGACTGGCTGCTGCCTGAGTTGCAATACTGCGCATAAGCTCAGAATCCCAGGAAAACTCTGCTCTGGTGCAATGAATTTGTCAGAGAATGCTGTGAGATCTCGTCCTTGATATTAGCAGGGTCACCGTTTCGATAGAGAACTTCGAGTTGATAAGGTGGTAGGGCGAAACTGTCTGGCAGCGGCATATTCTGTTTTTTGTTAGGGTGAACTTGGACTTCGTTTACAATCACAAAATCTGGAAATTGTTCAATTTGTAGGCAATGTTCAGTGACATCCGCAGCGAAACCCAAACACAATCTTGAAAGTCGTTACAGTGCGCCACGTGCCAACCCGCCCGTTGATTCAACCAGTCATATTACGACACGCCAGACATGGAGTCAACATTTTCGCTGACACAATCCAAAAAGTTCCCAGCAAGCGATCATTCACAGCTGGTTACCAATATTTCCCGCTTCCTCAGGAGCGCAAGCAGAGCGGATGCTTGTGCTGAGTCTCCCTCCCTGATGGAAATCATCATAAAAGAGGGAGCTCTTGTTTAAAGGATTCTTGCTGCTAGTCCACTATCAGATAGCACTGCGGGACAGTGCAAAATTCAGGGGATTTTAGGTAACTTCCTCCATTTCCGGCTGTTTGACATTCTCTGATCCAATCATGGCTGCCATTTCCGCGTCCAAAGCAGCTGTCGCAAGCGCAGCTGCCTTCAAGCAGTGCGGATTCTCCTCGGGAGAGAGCTTCGGAGAGCAGTCTCTGGTGCTTAGGAACACTGTCCACCTCAAGAACAAGAACCAGGCTGCTCTGTCATGCCGAGCAAGCGTCGCTTCAGGTTGATTACATGTGACCATCCCCAGTCAATCACTTTCTCTTTAGCCAAAGAGCGTTTCGTTGCAGAGTCTCCCTCACATTCGCTACTTTTTGCCTTCATGTGCTCTTCTCACAACGATCACGCGCATACGCATTATTCTGAGTTACCTCATTTGTGAATTCGTGCAATTACAGAGACCGTGAGCGCTTCTTCACCTGCGTCGACAGAGGATCCCTTGCTGCTGAGGGCCGTCAGGGGCGACAAGGTGGAGAGGCCTCCAGTCTGGCTCATGAGGCAGGCTGGTCGGTACATGAAGGTAATATACTTTAGCAATTTTTGATTCGTCGGAACATGAAGGTAAAAAATCACCTTCTTCCACGTCGGAACGTGGAGGTAAGATACTTTTGCAATTAATCATGAGTGGTGATCACAAACAAAAATATCCTTTCATCTTGCGGGCCATTGCTAATAGTTCCGACGTTTGTTTCCACTTTCAGGTGTATCAAGACCTGTGCAAGAAGCACAAAACTTTCAGGGAACGCTCTGAGAATGTCGACCTCTCGGTCGAGATTTCTCTCCAGCCGTGGAGGGCCTTCAAGCCAGATGGAGTAAGGACAGAGAATTCAGTATTTTGAATCATTCCTTTCGAATGGTCGTTCGTCTACAGCTTTTCCTGTTGGTGGATTCTCATGATAGTTTTCTTTGTGTTCTCATGGATCCAGATCATCCTGTTCTCTGACATTCTGACGCCTCTGACCGGAATGAACATTCCGTTCGACATCGTTCCCACTAAGGGCCCGATTATCCATGACCCTATTAGAACTGCCGCGGATGTCGCCAAGGTGCAGCCTCTGGACCCGGACACTGCGTTGCACTACGTCGGCGAGACCCTCCAGATTCTCCGGAAGGAGGTGAGAATCACACGCTCGATGGAGTATAAAAAAATAAAGCAGCCGCGTGTTCCATCTCCTTCCGTAACACTATTTACATCCCGATTCCCTCGCACATAATAAGTCGTTGAGCAAGGCATACATTTGGAACCATATACCTCGTTACCGTCTCTGTGGGTTTATCCCTGGTATACTCCGTGGTGGTAGCAACCAAGAGCGAAATTATATTTATGGCCCAGGAAACCCAATAGTGAAGAAAGTACTAGACTGACGACGCATCTGTTCAATTCAACGAATTAGCAACAGCATTCTTACGGACGCGACATTGCTGGATCTCCATTTTCACTCTGAATTCCGTCTCTCCCTGTCATCCACGTTCCATTTGCAACACCATCTCCGACTTACTCGACCCGCTTTACCCTAAATGAATCGTTGTACACCGTGCTTTCCTCTGCAGGCTGCAAACCAGTCAACTGTCCTCGGTTTCGTGGGTGCTCCCTTCACAATGGCGTCATACATTGTCGAGGGTGGCTCGTCCAAGAACTTCTCCATCATCAAGAGGATGGCATTCTCAACCCCAGAGGTGCGGATAGCATTTGACAGGTTCAACGTTAGATGGTATAAGCTGGTTCAGGCAGTGTAGTCCTTACCATGGTCGTGGCCTGGCGCTAGCTTTTGACTGGTTTAACGTTACCTGGACGAGTTGGTTCAGCCAGCGCACTTGAAAACCCTTCCCATGGCTTCTTAGCCAAGCTCATTCATGCAAAGTTTCCACCTGTATTTTGACCTAACCTTCTCTGTGTTGGTGTTGATTTATCATCATCCCTGCAGATTCTGCATGCGCTGCTTGCCAAGCTGGCGGAGTCCACTGTGCGCTACATGCGTTACCAGGCAGACAATGGTGCTCAGGCCATTCAGATCTTCGACTCTTGGGCCACCAGCCTTTCTCCTTGCGGTACGCCCTTGTGTTTCCCCCAAAACGGCTTCTTACAGTTCTTTCGTTAGTCAACAGCAGTGTCCCAGTCTGTATTCGTCACCATTTGTTTTTCCTGAATTTTGTTGTGTTACAGGTGTTGTGCTCCTTTTTTATCCTGGCTCATGAGCTGACATGCTCTGTGTGCGTACATGTATGTGTGATTTGGCAGACTTCGAAGTCTTCAGTCTGCCATACATCAAGCAGATTGTGGCTGAGGTGAAGTCCACCCACCCTGACCTGCCCATCATCCTCTATGCCAGCGGCAGCGGTGGCCTGCTTGAGCGCATGTCTAAGACTGGAGTCGATGTTGTCAGCGTGGACTGGACCGTTGACATGGCTGAGGCTCGGGAGAGGATTGGCAAGGACATTGGTGTGCAGGGTAATGTGGACCCGGCGATTCTGTTTGGTTCCAAGGAGACGATTACAGCGAGGATCCATGAGACAGTGGCGAAGGCAGGATCGCACAAGCACATTCTCAACCTTGGCCACGGTGTCTTGATAGGCACCCCAGAGGAGAATGTGGAGCATTTCTTCTCGGAGGCACTCAAGCTTAGGTATTAGTGCACCTGGATAAAAATATCCAATCTACCTGAATTTGGTTTTATCCTGCAGTTATCTCTGTACCATGAAAGCATCTGCTCTGTTACGTTGTTCATGTGGTTTGACATAGAGCTGGAAAGCTAACAATCAAGGACCTTATAAAGAGCACTGCCAGTTGCGTCACCGACTTCGATCGGGTTTCTGGCGGAACGCCATGGACAGCGTTCTGCTCAACATATCCAGGTTTAGTTCGGTGACGCACGTTTCCTTACTTGTATTGCCTGTTACACAGCGGTTCTCTACTTTGTAATTGGACGTCACGCTCTTTTTAATCACGTATCAGTGACGACCCCAAGCCAATCAAGTTCAAGCGGAGGGAGTCGTGTTTTTCGGGTTGGGTACATACAAATCCACCACCGAGGCTCCAAAATTTGCAAATCAAATCCATCACCATCATTATTTTTTTGCTGGTGTACTTCGGTTTGCTATCATCCAGCTCAGCCATTACAGCCATTATCTTGCTCAGGCTCTCCTCATACAATCATTGGATCCGAGATTCCGCATTGCACGCTGGCTCTCCCCCACCTCTCGGTAGGTTAGAAAGGAGTAGAGAGGACGGTATGTCGACGTACTGGTGGGAACAATTAGCTCTGCGATCGCGTTTCGAAGTGCTGGTTACCTCCGTGTCAGCCGCTGACACCACGGATTCAAATTAGTCACATTCAGGAAGCCTGGCCACTCGTAGTTGTCGAGAATGATCTGCCTTCTTTCGTGAACTCGACACGCCGAATAGTCGCTGCACTCTACGCTTTTGAGATATTTCCTCAAATGATCTAACGATCAAGCATGGGGAGACACCGTCGATTCCCCTCTCAAGACAGCTTCACACTGCTGCCACGTGTACAGTCGAAACCCCGCTCGTAGGAGGCGAAGCAGTCGAAATCAGAGCGCGCGGGATCTGTCAGTGCGCAGTCGGTAGGGTTCGGCCTCGGCTTTCCACTCTTTGAAGACTCCAAAACGGCCATTGAATCACTTCATTTCACTCTATCGCGACCGGGGGAATCCCGATACAAGCCGTGACTTTTTAGATTCCTCTGCCTTGGGATTACACGCTATTCGATCTCGGCTCGCGCTGCTTCCCGCTGCGCCAACTGGGGCAGGCAGCCGGTCGTCAGTTGGTTAAATTCCTCTGCCTTGAGATTACACGCGACTCAAGCTAGTCGCTTACTGCTCTCCACTGCTCCCCACCGCTCCCCACCGCTCCCCAACGCTCCCCACCGCTCCCCACCGCTCCCCGCCGCCCTCCACCGCATCCACTGTACCAGCTACACCCACCATGGGAGCCGTACCTCCCGGTCTCGCCCTGATTCAGTACCTGCACCGGCGACGAAGCTCCCGCCATTACACCACCGCTACATTCACATCCGCTCCTTTCACATTCTACGGCCAGCAGACCTCCGTCCTCGTTTTAACCTTCCTCGCTTACGCCCTCTTCCACGCCACCCGGAAACCCCCCAGTATTGTCAAAGCGGTTCTGAATCCGCTCCCCGCGGCCCCCCTCGCGTCCCCCGAGTTTCCCGCCGAGATTCCCGCCGCGAACCCCCCCCCTTCGTCCACGCAAGGGTTGCCGAGATCCCCGCCGCCAAACGCGGCGCATTCCCCGCCTCCCCCGCCGCCTGGGAGAAAGACCATAGAGGTTGGCGCCGTCGGTAGGGTCTATGGAGTCTATAGGCCGGACACTACGGATTCGGGGTTGCACGGCAGTATCGCGGAAAATAGTGCTCCAAAGGGCTATGCTGATTGGGAAAGAAGGCAGCAGGCTTATAGCGAGGATGAAGTGCGGAGAAGTGGTGATGAAGAGGTGGAGGGCGGGAGGCGATTGGAGAAGGTAGGGGACGGCAGGAGAGGAATGGAGAGGCGGAAATTGAAGCGGTTTGTTGGTTCATGGCGAAGGGAGTCACCTGGTGGCGATTGGCGATGGGATGCTGGCGATGGGCGAAGGGGGTTACCCGCTGGCGATGGGCGAAGGGAATTAGCTGTTCAGGCTGTGATGAAGAGACAAGAAGCAACGAAAAGCGCAAGTACATTGGGACCTGTGCATGCCTTTGGAACCAACAGTTCTGGATCAGCAGCAGCAGAAGCAGCAGGAGGACGAGCAGGAGGAGGAGGAGCAGGAGCAAACAACAGTTTATCAGTGCAAGTCGGGAAAGTGACAGAAGCAGCTAAGGCAGCAGCGGGGGCAGCAGGAGCAGCTGTAACCGCAGCAGAAGCAGCAGCAGGAGCAGCAGCAGGAGCAGCAGTCGACGCAGCAGGAGCAGCAGGGGTAGCAGCAGCAAGAGCGTCAGCCGCAGCAGCAGGAATCGACTCTTCTAAAGGCCACCATTCTGGTCTAAACACGTATGGATGGGCCCCCTTTAACGGGACGAATGGCCAGGCGCTACTAGGCGAGCTTGATGTGGCATTCTTGGCGTCTTATGCTGCAGGCATGTATGTCGCAGGGTCTTGTGGGGATAGAATGGACCTCAGGGTGTTTCTTTTTGTCGGAATGCTCGGTTCGGGCATCTTCACGTGCCTCTTCGGAGTGGGGTATTTCCGGGATATACACTCTCTGGGGTATTACCTCGTCGTTTCGGTGTTTGCGGGGGCGTTTCAGTCGATCGGGTGGCCCTGTGTGGTTGCAATCATGGCACGGTGGCATGGGAAAAAGGGCCGGGGATTGGTCTTAGGCATGTGGAATGCTCACACTTCCTTTGGGAACATTTTAGGTTCGTTATTAGCTGCTGCGTCTCTTGCTTCTGGCTGGGGCTGGGCGTTTCTCGTCCCCGGAATTGCAATACTCGTAGCGGGATTCATTGTATTACTATTCCTGCCGCCTGGGCCGGAGGAATTGGCGTTTGAGCCTCCAGAGGAAGAGGAGGAGAAGGAGAAAGTGGTAGAGATGGCGATGGTGAGTGGAGGGGTGGTGGGGATTGGAGGGGAGAGAGTGAGTGTGGGGCCTGGTGGGGTTATGTATAGCCCCGTGAGCACAAAGGATGTTGGAGGAGTGGGGAGCGGTTCAAATGATGTCGGTAGCGGTGCTGCTGGTGCTGCTGGTGGCGCTGGTGCTGGTGATGGTGGTGCTGGTAGTAAATCAGTGGCAGGTGATACATTTGTAGGTGAAAGAACAGGGAGAGGAGACGAAGGCAGGAGAAGAGGACAGTTAGGGGAAAAGGGAGACTCAACAGCAATTGCTCTCAGCCAGAAACCAGCAAGAGAAGGAACTTCAGCAGCAGAAACCGGGTTAACACATGACAGTGGTAGCTCAGCAACAGCCGCTTTATCCAACCATGTGATTACTCCACAAAACGGGACCCACAATAACGAGGATGGGGGAGCCAGATCCCCGCCTCCCAAGCTACGCCCTCCCCCAAACCAGCGCCAGCAGCAGCAGCAGCACCAGCAGCAGCAGAAAGACGTGTCAACTTACGACGACGACAGTGCCGGGCTGCTAGAAGAACTAGAGACGGCAGCCGGATCAATCGCCAGTATGCGTTCAAGAGCCCGTGGCAGCAGCAGCGGCGGTGAGGGGGGGGATCGCGCGGTGGGGTTTTTAGAGGCGTGGCGGATTCCTGGCGTGGCGCCGTTTGCTCTCTGCCTGTTCTTTGCCAAGCTGGTCGCCTACACGTTCCTCTACTGGCTGCCATTCTTCATCAGCCGAACGGGTGAGTAATAAGCGCACAGGTTGGGTGACAGACGCTCAAGGTGGGTGGCGTATGCCGGATCGATCGCCCATATGCGTTCAAGAGCCAGTGGCAGCAGCCACAGCGAGGGGGGGGGGGTCGTGTGGTGGGGTTTCTGGAGGCGTGGCGGATCCCTGGCGTGGCGGCGTTTGCCCTCTGCCTATTTTTCGTCAAGCTGGTGGCATACACGTTTCTGTACTGGCTGCCATTCTTCATCAGCCGAACGGGCGGGTGGGTGTCAGAGCATACAGGGGAAGGGGAGGAGTTTGCCCTCTGCCTGTTCTTCGCCAAGCTGGTGGCATACACGTTCCTCTACTGGCTGCCTTGTTTCATCAGCCGCACGGGTGAGTCCAGAGCACTGCTAGTCTGGTAGAGGAGTGGGCAAGGAGTGGGGTGATTGGGCGTGGCGGCATACCATACCATATTATACCATACTATACCATATTATACCATACCATATTATTCCATACTATACCATATTATACCATACCATATTATACCATACCATACCATACCATACCATACCATACCATACCATACCATACCATACCATACCATACCATACCATACCATATTATACCATACCATACCATACCATACCATACCATACCATACCATACCATACCATACCATACCATACCATACCATACCATACCATACCATACCATACCATACCATACCATACCATACCATACCATACCATCCCATACCTTACCATGCCATACCATACCATTCCATATCCATACCATAACATACCGTAGCTCCTCTTACGCACGATGTGGCATTTTGTAGGTTCTTGTAGAAGAAGAAGAAAAAAAAAAAATCTATTTTCGAGGCGCCCCAAAAATCACTGATGTGGCAAATTCTAGGTTCTTATATTAGACGGTGAAGATGGATGAAGAGGAAGAACAAAATCTATCAGATTTCTGGCCTGCTCTGCCTGCACTACCTCCCCACCAGAAATCGAGGGTCGGAACCTCTCTGACTGACGCGCAATCTGGCATCATGTCTACAGTGTTTTTTAGCCGACTCAAAAACAGGTCAACCGTGTTCGACGTGGGGAAGACTGACCTTTTCTGAAACTGCTCTCCTGCTCTGCCTCTTCACGCTCCCTGCCCTGTGCTTCTCCCCCCTCTACTGCCCTGCCCCTTCCCACCAGAAATCGAGGGTCGGTACCTCTCTGACGCGCAATCCGGCATCATGTCTACAGTCTTCGACGTGGGCGGCGTGGTGGGCGGCATTCTCGCCGGCCATCTCGCCGACCAAACCGCCGCCCGCGCCACCGTTTCGGCATCTTTCCTCCTCCTCGCCGCCCCGGCTCTAGCTGCCTATTTCCTCCTAGGAGGCGTCTCCCTGTGGGTGAATATCCTCCTTTTAAGCCTCTCCGGTGTGCTGGTTAACGGCCCTTACGCGCTCATCACTTGCGCAGTGTCTGCCGATCTTGGGCAGCATAAAAGTTTGCAAGGGAATGCCCGAGCGTTGGCTACAGTAACTGCGATCATTGACGGGACGGGATCAGTTGGAGCAGCATTGGGGCCGTTTATAACAGGGTTTATATCGCAATTAGGAGGAGGAGGAGGAGGAGGAGGAGGAGGGATAGGAGGAGGGGGGTTGAGTGGGTGGGGTGCTGTTTTTGTGATGCTTGGAGTGTCTCTAGTAGCGGCTGTATTGTGTATTGGAGGGTTGGTTGTGGAGGAGGTTAGGGGGATGGTGGAGGGGAGACGAGGGTCGGCGGCAGGGCGGCAAGGTTTGGAACAAGCAGCTTTGGAAAGAAGACCACTGCGATTAGAAGAAGGTAAGAACATATAGTGTGCTACATTATTTCGGTCATTACCTGTTATTACCCGTTAAGAACCTTAGGTTGTATGGGAGACAAGCTACCTGTTTGTTAATATATGAGTGTATGTTTGTTTGGGAACAATGCCTTCAGTGGGAGGCATATCATGCATGGGATGCATGGGAACCATACCTTATATGGGAACCATACCTTATATGGGAACCATTCCTTACATGGGAACCATTCCTTATATGGGAACCATACCATATGGGAACCATTCCTTATATGGGAACCATACCATATATGGGAACCATACTTTATGAGAGAAGATGTGGGAATCCATACCATATGTGGGAATCCATACCATATGTGGGAATCCATACCATTTGTGGGAACCATACCATATGTGGGAACCATACCATACCATATGTGTAAAACCTTTTCATAAGTGGGAATCCACGCCATATGTGTAAACCATACCATATGTGGGAACCATACCATATGTGTAAAACCTTTTCATAAGTGGGAATCCATACTGTCTGTGGGGGCCATACCATATTTGGGTGTCATACCGTATGTGGGAACCATACCATATGTGGGAACCATACCGTATGTGGGGACCATACCATATTTGGGAACCATACCGTATGTGGGATCCATATGTTGTCCGTCAAGCTTGCTGTTTGTTTGGGGGTTGCTGCTCTCTCTCTCCAGATTCTTGTACCTATCTTGTGTTCCCTGTCCTGGTGTATTGGTGTGTTTCTTGTGCAGGAGGTTGAGCCGGAGTGTTGCTATTTCCTTGGTAATCTGAGGTGTAACATTTTTGCACCGTAGACAACATTCATTTGATATTTACTCCACCTTCCAAAGACCAAAGCAAGTTTTGCTTCAAGGCGAGACACAACACCTATCCATAGCGTACGGATGCACCTATGATGCAAATGGCGTTGCCCATTTTTGTTGATGTATGTCGGTATTTTGACCCTTGATGGATGAATATTGATGATTGTACGTTTTGGCCTTCCACAATAATAATGATAATGTGGAAAATGATAATGATGATAATACTAATATATATGATAATAATAAGAAGCGGCAATAATTATAATAGTATTAATATCAGTAATTATAATTACCAACCAGAACAGAAACCAGAACAGACATCAGACAAGCAAACAACAATCAAGTCAGAACTACGTAAAAAGATGACTTACTTCATACGTTTAGAATCGTATCCATACTTGACAAGCACCTGCACTGTATCTGATCAACGTTCGCTTACAGCGGGTTTTGTCAAGGATGAAGCGATGGAGAAACGGACGGACGCGATGGCACGAGTGGATAACGACGGAGTAACCGCCATTCGACGTTTTTCACTGTTGCGCCACGAGTCTCTTTCCGCGACGTTACCCTTCTGACTTGATTTCGTCACTCCAATCGGTCGCAAGTGCACCAGTTGAACAAAACCGCAGAGCAGCTGAAGATCCTTGTTGCGCCACGCAGAATCGAAGCAGGCACGCTTCTGTTTCATCGCGCCTCGTTCGATTGCGAGACACTGTCGGCGCTGGCGAACTTAGTAACGAGTGAAACGAAGTTCGTACTGAATCCACAACAGCCCCATCCTTCATGCGAATGTTTGAAACTGACACATTTGCGGAAGTCTCCGCACTGCTGGTAGCAGACGCAAGCGGGACACTGGCTGGCGATTGGCTGTGGTAGGCGCAAAAGGGGCTGGTGGGGTGGGCGTGGGATGCTGACTGCTTTACATGGTGCCAATTGGTGGATTGCATTGGAATGCTGTGCGCGACGCGAGCCACGCCAGCAAAACTTCCGCATCTTGGTTGGCGCAACAGACAAGAGGAGGGAAGGGAAGGAGAGTTGGGCGGGGGAAGAGTGGCCGGAGGGAGCGGGGAGTGTGCTCGCGGGGCCGCAAATAGCGTGGCGCAGCGCAGACGAGAGGCGCAATTTGGTTGGCTGGCTGGCGTTTCCCTTGAAGGCTGCCAGACTGCCACACTGCCGCTGCAAGACTTCCCTTTTCGTTGCACCCGCTGAATTCAGCTGGCCCCTTCTCCATTCCGCGCCTTTCCTTCCCCCCTTCCATCCATCCTCAGAACCCAGTCTCCATTTCCCAACCCAATCCCCGCAAATTCCCCTCAATCCCCCATTTTCCGCCTTAGCGTAAACCCCGCACCCCGTTCGCCTCCCATCCCATTCCCCCATTTGACGTTTCCCAATTGCGCCGGATCGCGATTTGCGAAGCAGTCAACCCAGCTGGAGGCTGGCTGGGGGGGGGGGGGCGGGCTAGGGACTTCACCTGAGGGCGCCCCTCGATTGCACGGACAGTCTAAAACTCAGGCGATCGTCGCGTGGTCGGCCATGCTGACGACAACTGCAGCTGAACACCAGAAATCGGTAACGACAAGGCCAGCTGAAAGCAAGCTGAACGGAGAACACGCGGAGCGAAGCTCGATGTGAGGTCAGAAGGGACTCTGGAGGAGGGCCAGAGAGACTCTAGTAGGGTCAGAGAGACTCCGGTTACTACTACAGTACAAAATGAGATCGTACTATTTGCTTGACCTTGAGCAGTGGTTCTTATCCACGGTGACCGTGTTCCATAATCCATTGTATCTCGATTGCACCTGCACAGTTTCTCGCGGATTCTTCAAGGTGAGGTCTTCCCACGTTACTAGTCCCAGCTCCTCGCACAGAATGCGGGAAGGGCAAGAGAGAACCAAGGCACTTACTCGCGAAGCGCACGCGAACAGCGAAGACTTTTAGAAGCCGTCGCAGGCTGTCTCTGAAACAAAAAAGGAGGAAATATCGACGTCCGTCACCGCGCTAGCACTATCCCTTCACTCAAATCGCCCACACGCCGCGCCATGGGCTGCTACTCGCCTTCTCAAACCGTTCCTAGATGTCTCGAGCCAAGCACAGTCCAGCCAATCACAGCCAAGCCCATAACCGCGGAGCCAATCACAGTGGACGTTTTCCCCGCGGTGTTTCTCGAGCGCGATTACGAGTTCATGGGGGAAATCGGCAGCGGGCAGTACGGCAAGGTCTGGAAGTGCCGCTCGCGCCTCACCGGCCGGCAGTTCGCCTGCAAACAGGTCAAGAAGCGGCCGGCAAGGGCGGCACGGTCGGCACAGTCGGGACGGGGACAGCAAGGGCGGAAGGACTCTGCGCAGCGGAAAACGCGGGAGAGAAACGGCGGGATGGCCGGCGCGGACGGCGCAGCGGGTTCAGGAGATGACGTGGACCCGATTGAGCGTGAAATTGCGGCGCTGACTCATTTGGAGGGTTGCGACGGCGTCACGTCGCTACACGGCGTGTTTGAGGACGCCACGTCGGTTTTCCTCGTTATGGACTTGTGCGATAGTGGCGACTTGTTCTCGCTTATCGCGGACACGGACGGAGTTCCCGAGGACGAATCACGTCAGCTGTTTGCTGACGTGGCGCGCGCGGTGAAAGAATGCCATGACAGGGGCGTGTTGCATCGAGACATAAAACCCGACAACGTACTCCTTTCTTTACGCAACACAACTACTACGCCTGATATGGGTAGCAGTCCGAGTAACCCCCAGATTGCGGGGTTGGACTACAACTACCCCTCACCTACGAGTAACACTTCTTGGACCTCCGCCGCGCCTTTATTTCACGGTTTCCGCGCCACGACTGCGTTTCCGTCACCGTCGCCGAGCCGCCGGCGCTACGACGTGAAGCTAGCGGATTTCGGCCTGTCGGTGATTCTAATGGGGGGCGGGCGCGTGCGCGGGTACGCGGGGAGTTTCCCGTACGAAGCGCCAGAGGTGGTTGGGTTGAGAGAGTACAGTTTCGCAGCGGATATCTGGAGCATGGGCGTGCTTTTGTACGCGTTATTGTCTGCGAACTGGCCCGAGTTCAAGAACAGGCAGGCGCTTAACGAGGAGACGGACTGGACTGGCGCGTCGTGGGATCAAGTGTCGGAGGACGCAAAGGATCTTATCCGTCGATTGCTGACGGTGGATCAAGATCGACGGCCCACGATCGATGAGGTGCTGAGGCACCCGTGGCTGGCGCAGGCGACCCGCGTTGATCGTACCGAAAGCGTTGACTCCGCTGACTGCGTTGACCGCGAGAAGGGGACAAAATTGAAACAAAATCCGTCGCTTCTGCCGCCGCTCCTCATCCCCTCGCAATCGCTCGATTCTCGCGAGTCTACCTCCCTCGAGTCGGCTTCGTCCATTCCGTCGGAAGCTTCCTTCCTCTCCGCGCTTGCCGCCACGCCTGCTTCTCTCCCCACGCCAACAGCTACTTTTACTGCCACCAGCACGACGTATCATGCGGCGAGTGAAAGGAGCAACGCGATCGGCGCGGTATCGGGGGGGATCCGCAGTAACTGCGCCAGCCGCGGAAGCAGCGCTTCGGAGACCCTCCCCGTCAGTGACAATAGCGGGGTGTGGGATGGGCCTGAGGCGCCGTGTGACTCTATGGAGGGGTGCGGACTGAAAGGGCGTAACCCTAAATGTCACCCTAAAAGGCCGCATCAAAGGCTGAGAAAAGGAGGATCTGCGGAAAATTCAGTCGACGGCGGCATGACGCGTGGACCAATCGCAACCGAGGAAGAACGGAGGTGCATGTCGGAGCCAAGCGGCGGGAGTCACGGAGGACAAGAGGAGAAGGACGGTACTAGCAGCGGAAGCGCCAGGAGGGGAAGCGCAACCGGCGCAAGCGCAAGTGAACCCCGTAACAAGGATAACTATGCAAGAGCAGGTTCCCCGTTAGCGCGACGCGGGTCCATCAAAGAGTACGCGGCGCAGGTGGTGTCTAGCCTAAGATGGCAGCCTGGCTGCTTCTATTCGACCGCTGAAGCCGTGGCTCCCGAGGCGGCCTGCGACGACACCGACGCTTCTTCCGCCGCAACTACCGCCGCAACTTCCGTCACTTCTGCCGTCGTGCCTCCTGCTACCGACATCGGAGCCTCTAAAAGTGGAACCGCGGAAACCCAAAGCCAATCTCCGAAGGGTAAAGAGTCGGCGGATATGGATATTCTACGAGCAATGGAGGTCCATCTATCCGCGTTCTTTATGACGAAGCAGTTTAGTAAAAAGTGTGCTTGAAATGATGTAAATACGAGCTCTACAATTTTGTTGTTTAGTTCAAAATGTTAAACTGCTGCAAGGTCCAGTTTGAGCTCTAATTGTTCAACAGATATGCTCTAGAAAACTATCACGGTTTTTTTCATCAAGTTGGACCGTGTTACGAGTGCAATTGAGTGAACGAACGAGAATTGCACTATCGAAGCAAGAATACAAATGAGCGAAGGCATTAGCGAACATTATATAGCGAAACTATAGTGGTAACGGTAATGGTCGCGCGACGAGCCTGGGACTGAGGTTGGGAAAGTGTCGAAGCGTAGGCCCGGAGCGCGGGTTACCAGCCGAGCCGTGAGGTCGGGATGCGATGTGCGAAAAGGGCGGGATGATGAATGATGCGATGGTCGCGAGTGGTAACGGTGCTGTCAAATGTTGTAGCCTGTAGTGAGGTTTGTCTTAGGGGGTACAGAAGTTAGGGTTTGTTATATGTACCCCAACCAACATCAATGGCATCATCATTCCTCATTCTGACATGGTATCAGATAGGTTAGGATCCTGTGGGATCCCGTTCCTCCGTTCTCCGTTTGTCCCTCCCGAGCCTGATCCTACCTCTCGTTCGTACCGGTTCCGTTGTTACCGCGCCTAGTACCGAGCCTAGCGTCCTCTCCCCCGTCGCTTAGCGCCCTTTCTCCCCGTCGCCTAGCGCCCTTTCCCCCCCCCCCCCCCCGTCGCGTCGCGCCCTTTCCCCCCGTCGCCTAGCGCTCTTTCCCCCCGTCGCGTCGCGCCCGTTCCCCCCGTCACGTCGTGCCCGCCCTTTCCCCCCCGTCCCGTCGCCCTGTCCCGTCGCGTCGCCCTGCCCCGTCCCGTCGCCCTGCCCCGTCGCGTCGCCCTGCCCCGTCCCGTCACCCTGCCCCGTCGCGTCGCCCTGCCCCGTCGCGTCGCCCTGCCCCGTCCCGTCACCCTGCCCCATCGCGCCGCCCTGCCCCGTCGCGTCGCCCGGTCCCGTCCCTACGCCCTGGCCCGTCGCCCTACCCTACGCCCTGGCCCGTCGCACTACCCTACGCCCTGGCCCGTCGCCCTACCCTACGCCCTGGCCCGTCGCCCTACCCTACGCCCTGGCCCGTCGCCCTACCCTACGCCCTGGCCCGTCGCCCTACCCTACGCCCTGGCCCGTCGCCCTACCCTACGCCCTAGCCCGTCGCCCTACCCTACGCCCTGGCCCGTCGCCCTAGCCCGCTCTTCCGCTGCGACTGAGTCCCCTTCCCACCTGAACCCTAATTTGCCTCTTCTCCCCGGTTGTTACTCGCCTGTTCGTTCGCGTTAGTTCTCACTATGGCGACTCCGCGAGTTCTTCGTTTCGACGCTGACGGTAGACCACTTGACTTTTCCGTATGGCTTCATCGCGCTTGCCGTCTGTTAGAGAGTCAGGTCCAGGGGGGCGAGACCCTCTGGTCGCACGCTACTGGTGACCTCCCCGAGCCCCCCGAGCCTACAGCTTTAGGCTCTGCCCCTGACGACGCTGCTACGGCTCGCTTTGCCCGTCAGCGCGCTGACCGGACGGCTTGGACGTCGCGTGACGCTGCGGCCTGCATCGCACTCAGCAGCCTCCTCCCTGAGTCAGAGGAGGTCCACTTTACTCAGGTTCGCACCGCTGCTGCGTACCTCACTGCGATTAAGGCCCGCTACTCTACTCCCGCTACTGTCTCTCTTGGCCGTCTTTTCCTCCCGTTCCTGTTTCCTGATCTCGCCTCGTTTGAGCGCTCTGCTGACTTGATCGCTCACCTCCGCTCGCTCGACGCTAGTTACCGCGCTGCTTGCACTGAGGCACAGCTTGCACTGCTTCCTCCCCCCATGGCGATTACTGTCTATTTCATCGCCACTAGCCTCCCTGACCGCCTAGCCTCCGTTCGTGACGCGCTTCTGCTGAAGCACCCTAGTGAGCTGACTATCGAGGTCCTTGAGTCTGCACTCAAGGACGTCGAGAGCAACCTTCGCTCGGTAGCTGCCGCCTCTGGTACTGTGTCCCCCCCACTCTTCCACGGGTGCACAGTCCCGCAGTTACCCACCTTCACTGCCTCTCTCGCCACTCCCGCTACTGACGCGACTGCGGCTGCTGTTACGACTGCGTCGCGGTCCCGCGGCAAGGGGGGCAAGAAAGGTAGTTCTGGTGGAGGTGGAGGTGGAGGTCGCGGAGGTAGTGGGGGTGCTGCTGCTCCTCCAGCCGCTGTAACTCCCTCTCCTCTCTCCCCCCGTCGCGTCGCCCTGCCCCAGGTGTCTGTGTCGTGTCAGGTTCCTACGTCTGCTCCAGTCGCTGCGTCGTGCTCCTGCCGGTCGCTTGCCCACCCCACCGTTCTGTGGCACCACCGGATGGGGCACCCGTCCCTTCCTCGTCTGCGCGCTATGTCTAGTCAGCGTCTTGTCCTAGGCCTCCCACGTGTCTTGCCGTCGCTGCCGCCTTCGCTTGCGCCGCCGTGTGGTCCCTGCGTCGAGGGTCGGCTGCGCGCCGCCCCTCACTCCTCCTCCCTTCGTCCGGCCACCGAGCCTTTTGAGACGCTTCACTTGGACGTCTGGGGCCCCGCCCCTCGTCTAGGCCCTGAGCGTGAGCACTACTTTCTGGTGGTCGTTGACGACTTCTCCCGCTACTCCACAGTGTTCCCTCTGGCGAAGAAGTCTGAGGTGACTTCTACGCTGATCAGGTGGTTGCTCACCACCGAGGACACTCGTGGTCGTCGTGTCAGCTGCCTCCACTCCGACCGTGGGGGTGAGTTTCGCTCCGGCATTCTCGCTGGATTCTGTCGCGAGCAGGGCATTCGTCAGTCCTGGACGCTTCCAGAGTCCCCACAGCAGAATGGGGTTGCTGAGCGCCGCATAGGCCTGGTCATGGAGATCGCCCGCACCTCCCTGACTCACGCCTGTGCCCCCCATTTTCTGTGGCCCTACGCGGTCAGGTACGCCGCGCACCAGCTGAACCTCTGGCCACGTGTCTCTTGACCAGAGGTTTCACCGACCAGTCTTTGGACAGGGTCCCCTGGTGTTGCGTCGCGGTTTTGTGTCTGGGGGTGCTTGGCTCTTGTCCGCGACACCTCCGCGGACAAGCTCTCGCCTCGTGCCGTCCCCTGTGTCTTCCTTGGTTTCCCTGAGGACTCCTCTGACTTCACCTTTTACCACCCTCCCTCTCACCGGTTCTTTGACTCCCGTGACGTCCGTTTCGAGGAGTCCACTCCGTACTACGTCAGGTACCCCAGTCGAGGTCTCCAGGTTCCTCCTCCCCCCCTCTTCCTGACTGCCGCTCCCCCTCCTGTTCCCCCGGCACAGCCTCCCCCCCCTGGTCCAGCCCCGTCGGGTGTGTCCCAGGCTACCCCTCCTCCTTCGGTAGCCTCTCCGGTACAGCCTCCCTCCCCACAGTCCTCCTCGCAGCGTGCCGCAGGTGCTAGCTCTCGAGAGGTTGGTGCTGCGCCTGTTCCTGTACCGGTTTCTGGTTCTGGGGGTGGTGGAGTTGGAGCTGGAGTTGGAGCTGGAGTTGGAGCTGGAGTTGGCACTGGAGTTTCTGGTTCTGGGGGTGCTGGGGTTGGAGCTGGAGTTGGAGCTGGAGTTTCTGGTTCTGGAGTTGGAGCTGACCCGGTGGGTGCAGAGGACTCTTGTCGTCCGGGAGCTGGTGCTGGTCGCGCGGACACTGGGGGTGAGAGTGCGCCTCCTTCGGGTTCTTGTGAGCCTGGGTCTGGAGCTGGTGTTAGTGCTGCCTCTGGGGGTGGTGCGCCTGGTTCTTTGGGGGTGGACTCTGGAGCTACCGCTGCTTCGGACACTACTCCGCCCCCCCACCCCTACCCGACTAGGCACCTGGCTCGTGTTCGCCGTGCCCGTGACGAGCAGCTGGCGTTGGAGAGAGAGGAGAGGGAGTCACAGCGGCTGGAGGAGCAGCAGCAGCAGCTGGAGCCGCAGGAGCAGCAGCAGCAGCAGCAGCAGCTGGACCCGCAGGAGCAGCAGTCCCAGGAGCACCCGCTTCCGCAGCAGTAGCAGTCGCAGCAGCAGCAGTAGCAGCCACTTCCTCCTCCTGTCTCGGGTCTTCGGACCCTTGGTCTCCCCTCCCCTTCTCCTCCCTCCTCCGCCTCTCCTCCTGTCTACGGTCCCACGTTTCCTCCTCCTGACTCCTCCCCCGCTGTTTTCCCCAGTTCTCCGCCTTTGTCCTCTCCTCCTCCGTCTCGTTCTTGGGCTACTCGTCGCTCCCCTCGTGCTCGTCCCTCGTCTCCTGTTCCCTTCACTGACCTTCGTACTGCCTTCCTTCTTTCTAGTCCACCTCGTCCGTCTCAGTCTGTGCTTCCGTCTCCTCCTGAGTCGGCCCTCACTGTGTCGCTCCCTACTCCTGTCACTGACTACTACCGCACGTACCGTCCTGTTCTCTCTCGTGTTCTCGCCTCTCTTGTTACTCACCCTCGTGCCTCTGTGTCCTCTATGTCCGCTCTTACTGCCGCAGTTACTGACTTTGCCTCTACCCGCCGCCTTGACTACGCCACCACGCTTGTGGCTGCTCCTCCTACCAGTCCTCTGGCCGTCGGGGGTGTGTCTGCCCTTGGCTGTGACGCCCTAGAGGACAGGCAGTTTGAGCTAGAGTTCCTGGCGGCCGCTTCCCCTCATCTCTGTGCCATGCTCCTCGCCCCTGAGGGTGACCCCGACGCCCCTGAGGATGACCCGAGCTGGCGCCAAGTGCGCAGTTTCTGACGCGTCGAAATCGAGGCCGCGATCGGCTCAAAGCGCGCCCGAAGCCCTGCGCACCACGCATCCCACGTGCTGTATTGGGCGGTTTCGCAGAACGAACTCCAGGTAACAGCTGGACCCGAGGGCCCTTCCTCGTGCGACGGTGGCTCATAGGCGCGCGGCGACGTCACAATGACTCGCCACCAGTCCATGGCGGGGCCCCTGAGTAGTGAAACCGCATACCGGATCTTGGCGGCGTCCGACTCGACGTAGTTGGCGTCGAAAAACACATTCATCGTGAAGACCCACGATTGAACTGTCGGGCCGCCGCG